TTTCCTTCAGGGTGTCACCCGTGATGTGGTCACACACGACTCGCCTGAGCTGCGGGCAATTCACGCGCGTGCCCACCGCTATGACGACCGCGTCGAACACCTTTGGACATACTGCCAGGTTGTTTCGGCTATGATGATGTCGATTGCGCACGGCTCAAACGATGTGGCCAATGCTGTTGGACCCTGGGCTGCTGTGTACAGCACGTTCCATGCTGGCGTTGTCGAGACCGACGCACCCACCCCGATCTGGTTCTTGGTTATTGCTGGTCTGCTGCTCGGTCTTGGATTCTGGTTCTACGGATACCATATCGTTCGTGCTCTTGGAAACAAGATCACGCAGATGTCGCCGACGCGTGGCTTCAGTGTTGAGCTTGGAGCAGCTATCACCGTGATGCTGGCTTCAAGACTTGGCTTGCCCGTTTCCACGACGCAGTGCTTGACTGGTGCCGCTATGGGCGTCGCTCTCATGAACTATGATCTTGGCGCCGTCAATTGGAAGCAGCTCGGCTTTATCTTTGCTGGCTGGGTCTTGACTTTGCCTTGTGCGGGACTGGTTTCGGGACTGATTTGTTTGATGGCATTGAATGCTCCTCATTTGTAAATAGATATATTGGTTCCTGGGGTTGTTAGCTTTTTTTTGGCCCCCGAACAAAACTTGCTGAAATAAAGATCTATCCCATTCTAAGTTATTATTAGGGCCGACAAAAGTAAACCCGAGAATATAGAAAAAACTAAAAATATATCCGAGGAAGAAATGACTATTTATCGCCGGGCATGTTCAGCTTTGTGCAAAGGCGTTATGAAATCTTAAATCGTCACGATCCAGTCGAACGACGGGTTTCCTTCTAAACACATAACAGAGTATGATCCTCTATTTGGTGCGCTTGTAGATCTTGCCAAGGAAAGCCTCGAAGACTTCCTTCTTCAGACCCTTGGACTCATCGACGGCCGCAATCTTTTCGCGCAACTCGCTGACAACCTTGTCCTCGTACTCTTTATACACCTTCTCCAGCTGAAGCTCGTTGAAAAGGGCCTTGACCTTGGCTTCCTCAGCAGCGTCCTTGCGGCCGTAGGAAGCATCTAGGAGCTGGCGCTGTTCGGGAGTGCAGCGCTGGATGGCCTGGTTAACGAGCCAAGAGCACTTGTTGTCCTGAATATCGGTACCGATTTTGCCAATGACAGATGGGTCACCGAAGTTGTCGAGGTAGTCATCCTGGATCTGGAAGTACTGGCCCAGAGGAATGAGGATGTCGTGGGCCTGCTTGAGGTTTTCCTCGGTAGCCAGCTGCAGGTACATAAGCGCCAGAGCGACGGGCAGGTAGAAGCTGTAGTAGGCTGTCTTGTAGGTGACGATGAACATGTACTTCTCCATGGAGAAGTTGTCGAGGTTGACGTTGTCCTCGGGGGCGGTGATGAGGTCACAAAGCTGACCCAGCTCAGTCTGCCAGGTGGTCTCGTGGAAGAGCTCGACAAGGTCAATGTAGGCGGGGTGCGAGCGGAAGCGCTGCTTTAGGATGAGGTAGATACTAGACTCCAGCATGAAGGCGTCGTTGATCGCGATCTGGCCGACGCCCTCGTGGCGGTACCAGCAGGGCTGGCCACGGCGGGTGATAGAGGAGTCCATCATGTCATCGCTGACCAGGAAGAAAGCCTGGAGCAACTCAGTCATCCAACCAAGGATGCTGAGGTGCTCGAATTGCTCCTCGGTCAGGGGCTGCTTCAGGAGAGCAAGGCCAGTATCAGGCACCGAGAGGCCACGATTGAGCTTACCGCCGGGAACATTGACATTGAGGGACTATAGAGCACAATTGATGGTGTCAGTCATGATTCATGATCTTTCCTCAAGAGCAATCAATCAAGAGGGGTTACATACCTTCTCGAACCACTCAAGCGCATTATCAGGGAGGTTGTAGCGCTTGGCATGGGCAAGGATATCCTGGGCCAATGCAGGGAAAATAGCCTCGAAGTCAGCGCGCTTGGTAGTAGAAGCCATGATGACAAAGTGTGTGGTAAAGACTTCAATGATCTGAAGAACGAAAACACCCAACTAGTATTTGGAAATGAACCGCTTCCCCGCGGAGGGACGGTTTGTCCTGTTTGTACTGTTTGTACTGTTTGGTCTTGTGTTGCTGTTTCTCCAGGCGCAATCCGAGGACGACGTGGATTCTTCAAGGCCATTGAACGATCTTCACTGTATTTTAGACACTACGAGCATTAATATATTGCTGGGAACCTTTGCTGCCGTTATTCGCGTTCTTTGCAGTTACGCGGGTTGCTGTCTCACCCATATCAACAACGCGACGAGGGCCAAGACCATTCATTTACCACCGGACCTTTGCAACTCGAGATTGAACCGCTGCGTGGTGAGCTTATTCCAACTCAAATAAGCATGAGATCGGATTACCACAAAACATCTTGATATACCCAGAGCTTCGTCGGTGCCACAAAGCTGGGTTTGAACGTTCTACCTTAAGAACACCTCCGCCTAGTTGCGACAAAGACGCCCGTTATGGAAGAACCTACAGATGACGGAATCCGGGAGCTCATGTACCAGCTGGAAAATGCTGCAATCAAATGCTCTGAGCGATGCCTTTACCAATCATCAAAATGGTACGACTAATAAGCTTCATTCGAACTAGCCTGATGTGCTAATGGTGTTGATGAACTCAGGGCCGCTGAAATGCTTGATTCCCTCCGGCCTTTAGATCACGAAGATACTGATCTCGAGTCTCCGATGGAGATTTCAGATCCTCCTCCGCCAGCAACAAATCCTTATCTCAAAGTGCGTGATCCAGTAGAAGCAGCCCTTGAAACGCAAGAGTCCTACAAATACCTGCTCGCCAAATCATACTTTGATACCCGCGAATATGACCGATGTGCGGCCGTATTCCTCCCTCCGACAACACCGCCCGTTCCTTTATCGATTACCTCGCCTAACTCCAAGCCGAGGCCATCGCGGTCTTCACAAAAGGGCAAGGACAAAGCTTCGCCGTTTCAAAGCTCAAAGACACCAAAGACCCAAATACAGCACAACCCATATCCAAAGCTCAGTCAGAAATCGCTCTTCCTCGCCCTGTACGCAAAATACTTAGCCGGAGAGAAGCGCAAGGAAGAGGAAACGGAAATGGTGTTAGGTCCAGCAGATGGTGGGATGGCGGTCAATCGAGAGTTGTCCGGCCTTGCTAGAGGTTTAGATGGATGGCTATCGGAACGAACCGCACAAGGGTTGGACGATCGAGGGCAGGGATGGTTGGAGTATCTTTATGCTGTGGTTTTGTTAAAAGGACGGAATGAGGAGCTGGCCAAGAAATGGCTGATCCGCTGTGTGCATCAAAACCCATACCATTGGGGTGCCTGGCAGGAGCTGAACGACCTCTTGGGAAGCACAGAAGACGTAAGTTATTCCCATCAACATTTCCTTCCGTCGGTACTAATTTTACCAGTTGAAACAAATCCTTGAACTTCTGCCGCAAAACGTCATGAGCTTAATATTCTACGTTTACTGCAGCCAGGAGCTGTACCAGGCCACAGAAGACACATACAGGTCACTCTCAGAGCTACAGTCAATGTTCCCAGAAAGCGCATTCCTCAAAACACAACACGCGTTGTTATTGTATCACTCGAAAGGTAAAACTGCCCCGGCTCCGGCGGAATGCGCAGTCGATCCGTGAACTAATATTATTCAGACTTCGAAGAGGCATCCCATATTTTCGAAGGCATTCTAGCCACATCACCCCACCGCTTAGACAGTCTAGATCACTATTCGAACATCCTTTACGTGATGGACCAACGACCTCAACTTGCGTTCATCGCTCAGGTCGCAACCGCCACCGATAAATTCCGCCCAGAAACCTGTTGTGTTGTGGGTAACTACTACTCATTGAAATCCGAGCATGAGAAGGCAGTGATGTACTTCCGACGTGCACTCACCCTCGACCGGAACTTCTTATCTGCATGGACACTGATGGGTCATGAATACATCGAGATGAAGAATACCCACACCGCCATCGAATCATACCGTCGAGCTGTCGATGTCAATCGTAAGGACTACCGCGCCTGGTACGGCCTGGGACAGGCCTACGAAGTCTTAGATATGTCTTTCTACGCTCTGTTTTACTACCAGCGCGCCGCAGCACTTCGTCCGTACGACCCAAAGATGTGGCAGGCAGTTGGATCATGCTACGCAAAGATGGGCCGAGTGGAACAGAGTATCCAAGCTCTGAAGCGAGCATTGGTGGCTGGATCATTACAGCCAGATGATGGCGTGCAAACGGCCGCCGGCGCAAGTCCTGGCTCTGGGAGCCGCAAGATTCTCGACCCAGAAACCCTGCACCAAATTGCGACACTGTACGAGCGTCTCGGCGACGAGGAGGAGGCCGCTGCGTACATGGAGCTCACTCTCCAACAAGAGTCTGGTGCCCCTGCCAACGAAAACCCAGATGACGACGACTCCTCTGCCTCGGATAATGACCCTCACAGCGATGCCGAGGTTGAGCATTCAGGAGATGAAGACACTGATCTATCGCAGCGGAATCGTCGTAATCGCAAGCCTCGCCCAAAGGCTGAATCATTCGCTATGCAGAACGATGACTCCATTGTTAGTGAAACGTGGAACGGTACCGGTGTGACAGCAACTACATCCAAGGCACGGTTGTGGTTGGCACAATACGCGTCACGGAACGGTGATCTTGACCGTGCGGACCAGCTAGCGAGCGAGTTGTGCCAGGATGGAATTGAAGTAGAGGAGGCCAAGGCGTTGATGAGGGACGTACGGGCGAGAAGGGAGGGTGCAACTTAATTACACCGATTAAATGATATATGTATGGATTATTATGATAGCGAAACATCCATGGATTTTACTGGTCTTTATGAATAATAGCTACGATTGGAGCGCCCAGTTTCACATCGCAGAAGCGAGGCAAGCATTAGGGGTTAGCTATTTCTGTGTGAAGAGTATCCATATCTAGTATAATTATCATTCGTAAAAAAGCCAGGGGGTATCACTTATATAAAATATGAACTAGTGGTTCGATCGAGATATACTCACCCAATACAGCAATGACTGTTTCATCAAAGGTCATCTCAATCCATGGGGTTCTTAGTACAGAGCGCCCAAGCTCTGATGTCATGTCATAACCACATCGATTCGATTCAGAGTGGAGCTCATCTTGTCCTATGGATATACCATCACATCGCTTGCTGAGATTCCACGAAAGACATCCATAGAAATGATCACGTCCAATATTTGTCCACGTACCACGCAGGCAGAAACGAAGGTCCCCGGGGCATAGATCATGTTCCAACATGCTCGAGCCCAAAAAGAATATGCTTCCCATGCAGGGGACTGGACTTGTTCCAGTATGCACGAACCTAGAAATGGTTGTGGCGAGACGGTGCATTTCTCTGCCTAACCGAGTTACTTTCGGGTTTAAAAGGACAATGCCAAATCCTGCGCCCTGTGATGCAGCATAGGGATTTGATTCTTGAAGAGAAGAAGCAGATTCATCAGAGCAGAGACATCGGATGAATTCAAACAAATCACAAGATTCGCGCTCATTGCTGGACTTTTCACCAATTCGGGGAAGTGTAAAGCTCCCCAGAGAGATGTCAGGCGTCCATATGGGGATAGTTGTTAAAGGAGATTGAGGTGACATCTTGCGTTTCTGCTTGCATGATGTAGGCACCAATACTCTTTCCAAAAGCTGATTCTGTGTCTCTTGTAATTCTTGAGAATGCCCATCATGTGCGGAGATGAGGCTGGTTGTCCGGTTGGGACACGAGAACCCCAAAGATTCCTGCGATGCGATCATTCCATCATTCTGGCGTTGATGACATGATAGATTCTCGTTGTCCACGAGTATACTGGTCCCAAGAACAGGATTATTATCTTTCGCAGGAAGTATTGTCTCATTGATGTAGACTAAAGGGGAAAGTAGACGGTCACTGTATGCTCGATCGTGGCTGTCTTTCCCTATTGAATCTTCATGCAACCCTTCCATCAATGGGCGTACATCCATGAAACTTTCTCCAAAGGGAGTGGTGGTTTGGGGGGCCTGGGATAACGTGGAATTTGCCTCCTCGTCCGTGTCTGAACAAGTCGCTTCTGGGCTTGGGGATCGCACCATATATTGATCAAATCCGCTCCCAACCTTGAGGCGTTTTGACCATTTCTCGCGTTCTTCTAGTTCATCCACAGGCACGGCCCGGGCATGTTCTGCTGCACTGAGCAGTTCATGGAAAGAGGTACACTCTTCCAGCGTTCGATCCGAGTGTATTTTCAAGATCCGAGGAAATCGAAGTGTGAAGTATCTCGCACCAGACGGTTTTTCAAATCCACTACCCAGCATCTCAACGATGAATGGGTGCTTGAACAAGGTGGTTGCAGTGGGAAGGGTGTTGTGGCCGTAATCAATGTGAAAGCCTTCGAACGTTTCAGGTTGACGTGCATAAAACTCGCCATCTTGGTTGAGGGCTTGCATGGTCTGAATGCTCATGCAGTGTCGGCCAATCACATCAACAACTCGGAAACGTGGCAAAGCGTTGCCCTCTTTGAAATGCTGTGGGTTCAGAAGGCAACCTACGAAAAAGTGAGTCCATTTCAGCCCCTTTATTTGTCTTAGATTAGGAGCATCACGCGCGTTGTAGCTGGCTCCGACCAGGGCAAGGTCTAATGTGTCCCCAAGGCCTGGTATATAATCTTTTTTGAGTTTGATCCAACGGCCAAACATATAATCCACACCAGTAGAGTATATTGGAAAATACGGCTCGTCGGAAGCCTTCAAGACATATCCCTCCCATCGTTTAGTAATTGCTTTCTCGAAACTCTTTTCGAGCCGATGATAGCTATCAACTCGGTTGAAGTCAAGAACTTCCTGATGGGCGAGCTCCGCTCGGCCCGGGATGGTCTTGACAACTTTCTGCAAGAGTAGTCGTCTTTCCCGATGAGGCTTGGCAAGACATACGTCGTTGTCAAGGAGAAGAATGTCAAAGAACATGATCATCAAGTGCTCGTACGGTTGCGGTCTGTATCAATTAGTAAAAAGACCGATACTTTAAAGGGGATCGTCATTTACGGAGAATCATTATCGACGCCAATCATGGTGCCAGATCGTGGAATAAACCTTCGAATTTTGTTGAAGTCCATTAGGTCACCGTCCTGGTCATTCCATACAAGCAGTTCTCCCTCGACGATACAGCGGTGCGCAAATCTGCAGTCGGGTAATCCAGTGCGGAGCGTCTCTTCTATCACGGGTATAATCTTATATTTATCTGCGGTCGAGTCCTTGCCACTTTTGGAGAATATCTGGATGGGGGTATACTTGTTAGAGAGATCGACGTGGATCTGACAGTATTCACCATCGTATTTCCGTTCAATACTCATTCGTCGACCGTTGGCCATTTGGTGACAATGTTTGATACTCCGGGCTTTGTAATAATCAGGTCGTCCCACCTTCATACCAGGACGAGGGCGCAGATGTTGTAGAGCAATCATGCTCAGACTTCTGGCTGATTGGGGATCCGGGCTTGGAGGGAAGTGCTTTATTGGGTCGGAAGCAAGCATCTCTAACGCCCCTTCAAAAGAGTTCTGAAGCTGGAGCAGTTGCGGGAGAAGGAAGTGAAATTTCTTCAGTGTATACTGTTCTGGCAAAACGACAGGAGAGTAGCTTTTGAGAATCATGCGAGTGAGCCATTTGGCGTCGCGGCTACTTGATCGACGGTACAATTTCGATAGAGTGTCTTCAACTTCCACAGCTGAACGATTCCGGCGTGTCAGAGGGCCAGAGAAGCGGCACCGTGATGCAATCATAGCCATGGCGCGGTCGATTTCTTCTACCGACAACTCCTGGCCTAGAGGAATGTAATTCTCGGCTTGCCGCATGACAATTTCGACACACCCTCCGAGATCAAACCCACAGGGAGTTTGCCATCGATTGAGTTCTGAAAGTCGCGATGATCCCAAACCCAAGCAGCGCCCGATGACTCTTGATAGCTGCATGGCTTGCAGCCAGTATACTCGGTCCGTTCGTTTTTCGGGGAACATGCAGGAAAGTAACGCGACCCTGTCTGTTTTGGCATGATGAATGGTCCGTTCATGTCGAGAAAACCACTGGGCGACTGTTCTAATGTCCGGATTCTGGTTCCTGGCCGCCGTGGATGCCTTGGCCGTTTTGTTGTCGTCCAGGTTGGATAGTAGATCACACAAGAGGGTGAATTTGAAGCCCATGGCCCATATTCAGCCGAGCCACATAGTAACTCAGCTCAAATAGGGGAATAATCTGAGTAATAGTCACGTCGGTCAAAACTCGAGAGTCCCGAGATCGAGACTTTCCCGTCTGAACGCGAAAGAGGAAAGAGCGATGGCACGTGGGCACGTGACCACTTTGTCCCGATTTGTATGGAGAACTATACGGAGTATAAATTAGGGCGACAATGTAAAGGCAGGTCAATCATTGTCATTCTAGGGGCTTTCAGAGGCCAAATGGCTCAAGTGCGCAACCTTGCCATCAGTACAAAATCGAATTAGAGGGCTAGTATGTATAATATTAACCAGCGAACAATTATAAAACCTCTTGATCCATCTTGAGATCCATTGTGCAGTGGTCAAGCCATATGCGATCAGAGATATTTGATGTGACAGGTCTTCATACCTAGGAATCATTTCAAAAAGCATCCCAGTGAACTCTGGCGACTGCCATTCCACTGTATTCAGTGTTGCAAAGTCAAACCCTTTGTTATATATTTTAGCATCTCCCCAGCCAATGAGTCAGACTTTGCCATCAGAATCCAGGATCAAGTTGCGAGGTGCGACATCGTAGTGCGTGCGTAATGTTACACTTCTTGAAAGTAAACACTAGGGCATCAGGTGGTGCATGATGAAAGTGCTGGGTGATCTCCAGTCGTCGATTGTACCCCTGTAGCCGCTCCGTGGAGTTGAATGCACCAGCCCCCGTCTCGAGGAAAAAGCGAACACGGAATACACAGGCTGAGTAGCATACCGGGCCTGGCGCTAGTTCCTGTCCCTCGGGTAGGGGAATAGAGTGTACATTGTTCATCATCGAAGCAACTTTGGAGACGACGTCCTTGCGTTTTATGAAGCGGGGTAAGTGCCTAGAAAGAAGCTCATGAGAGAAACTAAGTCCGCTTCGTTTGGCGTATATAATCAAATGATATCTGCCACGTCACTTGAATTATTTGTTCTCCCGTCCACGTAGAGGTGACCCGCCTCTGCTTCTAGAAGCTTTATGGCTTCATGGTCGCTTGAAAATCTCTTAATAATGTGATACCGAACTTTAAGGAACCGGATTTTGAATATAGCTAGCGGTATAAGGGATAAAGCCATAACTGGATAGATCACAGTTCAACACCATCCGACTGAAAAACGTGAGGTATTCAATAATGATACAAGAAATGTACTGTGACAGCAGGCCAATATCTCCCGTGAATCTCTTTTCGAGATTTCCATCTCCATTCGTGTTGCGAAACCATCCAATGTAATAGGAAAGAGTATATTGTTAAATGGACTAGTAGTAGCTATAAAATCTTCGAGAAACTCAAGATTCTCAATCTGGCTGGATCATTAAAGAGGGTTAATATTCGCTAGAGAAAGCTGTAGCCAAGGACCTCAACATCAATTCGGCTTTCTTGTCGAAATTACCCACACCTTTCGCTGCGATTGATTTCCATTCTCTGGTAGCATCTTGTAAACGGTGATACGAATGAACAAACTCCATCATCCAGTTGGTAAACCAATATGCAATAACTGGATGGAGGGATTTCAGCCTGTTTGATTTGCGAATAAGCGTGCTAAGGCTGCAAATCCCCACGAGTAGCCCATTATGATTCTTATGCATTTCATTCAATTTGTGATTGTGGTATAAAATCATCAACCTAGGGGATGCTAGCTCAGAGTCCCAAAAGTGGTAGGTATATTCGTATGTAAAGGACAATTACTGGCGAAGCAATAGAGTTATAAGCTACATAGCAGTATAGGCAACCAGAAAGACGCTCGAGACCAACCCATAGATTCTAATTAATTTGGCACTCAATTGTATCAGAGCTTGTCGCTCCATCTTCAATAGGACTCATTACACCTCTTCCTTGCCAGCCTTGTGAGCCACAACAGTGCCAAGCTCTTGGCCCCTGGGGTCCGAACCTGGTAGTCCACTCGGTGAATCAGCATGGACTAGGTCAGCGGACGGAGCAGTGCGAGAAATTCCAGTCAGGGGAGCACTTTGATCAGGGTTTCCTGCACCGAGTGTGTCTGACATCTCTGCCACCGAGGATCCTGTATTTCTTGCTCGTTTCCTTCGATGACGCCGTACAAAAAAGGTCACCAGGGCAGCAAAAATGAGCACTACGCCGACCCCAGCACCAACTCCAATTCCGGCCATAACACCTATGTCATGTTTGCTTCTGGGGTTACTGCTGGGGGTGCTTCGACTCGTAAGCGTCCTGGTGCCATGCGCAGTACCGGTGACACCCGACGGTTTGATGGTCGCAAAGTCAAGACCTGCAATGGTTGGCAATGCCGCGCTGGAGTTGATAGACCAGTATGAATTTATCGACGTGGGACAGGAAGGAGAAGAAACGGTAGATGGGGGATGGGTATTTGCAGTCACAGCAGACCACTGGTTTTTCAAGGCATCGTAGCCGGCCAGAGTTGTTGGTGTACTAACTCCGGAAGTGGTGTATGAAACGAGCCCATAGTTACTCGCTCTACGTGACGTTAGTATCTTATTAAACAAGAATTAGGGACACAACCTACTCGTGCCTCCACTGGTAGACAATTGAACCACTCCAAATACCGGGCATATTAGACTGAAATGTCGCAGACTGGTCCCGAAGGAGCTGTGAAGCAGGGGTATTGCAGCCATCTTCAGACAGGAATATGGGAACCGCTAGGCCTTCTAGCTTAGCAGTCAAATCGTCGTAAGGAGAGCCGCTCATGGACGATTTGCCACACCACTGGTATGCATTGACTGAATAGAAGTCGATAGCCTCGTTACTGTTACCTCCACACGCAAGATATTCTCCCAACTCTTGTATGTAGGTAATTTCCGCACTTGTGGCATACCCAATTGGTATAGAACGATACTGCCTGGCGGTGGTATACGCTTTCATATCTCGAGCTGCAGCCTTTAGATATGGGGCTAGGTCAACTGTAGAGCCTATTTAATGAATTTAAGTCGTATGCAGACAGTGGGGTGGGGGTTTCATACCATGATTCTCCATGTGTGGGCCGGAGACAATCTCATTTCCAATTAGAAGGCCGAGGAGATTGCTGTACCCGGCCATCGAATCAAGAACAGCCGCGTATTGTTTGAAAACGTCCATTTGCCAGGTGAAGTTGGCCTTGGAGTTCGAGATGTCAGTATTCATATGTAGAGAGCACCTGTCAATTGGAAATATTTACTCCGTTCGAGCTAACATCCATTCCTGTCATATTAAAAATGGTCGAGTCCCATTGACTTGCCATGTTCGCAATAACGTATATTCCATTGTCCTGGAAAACCTTCATGCATTTATCGTGGCTCTGAGTCGCATCCGTATAGTACACATTGATACTGTTGGCCCCCAGTGCCTTTATCATAGGCCCATCGATTGCGCACTGGCTGGCTCTTGAATCGGCCAGAACATCGATTGGAGTTGAACCAGTGGTCCTTTCGGCATAAGCAACATCTGTTTCTGACATGTTAGCTTTGTATCAATCGCACAGTTGTTTATACGATATTTCTTGCCTTTGATCTGAAATCGAAGGCCACCACTAAATAATCCGTTTCCTGCAACTGAGATAACAGGCAGTGACATTGTGAAGTCGCGCAATGAAAATGCAACGAAATGTCAAAAACAATATGGCAAATATTGGGTATATAACTGGGAGATAACCAAGACATAGGTTTTTTTGAAGAGGGGGGGCATATCTCGGATGCTACATAGATGTGTATACTTTCCCCGACCTAGCCTAGCGCTGACCTGTGAAGCGGTCTTTTTAATTGCAATAAACTCAGTTGATAACGAGCCCCTGTATTTTGAATACAATGGCCGTTCGTTGGCAGCCGAGTGCACGAGCCAGAGCCAGAGTCCAGGATTTCACCGGTTATTCATATTCATCATTCATGGACCTAAATGTTTACACTCCAATAGACATATTTCAAGTGTACTTCGGCTTCTTGTTTAGATGCTTGTGAGATGCTGAATCTATTGATGAGCCACTAAAGACTGTTCAGTCAATAAAGGCGGATTCTGTGCCTCCATCGTAACCCTAATTTTGTTCGAGCTTTCCTTCATTGCATCCAGAGCACCGGTTTTATGATATTTGCCTCGGTATGGTTCTGTCTCAAGTGGTCTAAAAGTAGCGGCCGCATAGATTCTTCCACAAGACTGTAGTTTCGCGCTTGATAACACACAGAGAAGACCAACCGATAAGAGAACAAGTGCTATAAGGACGGCGATTTACCCCTAGTATAGACCTCGGCATGAAAGACTACAGTGGCCTTGACCCGCTTCCGGAACACATTGCGAATGCGCAAATGACAACCGGTTATAATCAAGACTATCTTGCTAGAATGTTATCTACAACTCCTCTAAGTCATCCTCGTCGAGAATCAGCGGCCTCTAGTCAACTACTTGAGACTACATCCGATGAAGGTGTTCATAAGTGATATATACATGAGCGATGGGAATTTCATCTCCGTGCAATACTGATACGCGGTGGGACAATTGGGATTCTCGTGAGTCTGCCTTTGGCTGCAGCAGTCCTTGTCATTTGTGGTCAGTCCAACAAGTACCGGTCCGAGTAAACGATATATGATGGGAGGCTTGATATATGAGCATTTCCCTAAAAACAAGGAAACCGACCAATGGGTGGAAGGGTGACAGCTTCTTTTTTTTCTTCTTCTTTCCCCTCCTCTCATTCTGGAGTAATAGCCCTACGTGGGTTTCCAAATGTGTCGGTAAGGAGTTAAGTGAGTAGAACTGATCTTAACTACTAATCTCCCGGCGTGCGGCTTAAATTCAAAATATACTGTCGGATACCAATACCACAGTGCCATACATGGTAGAAATATAGGGTATTGAAACCAGGAAACTACTTGGACCGCCATACTAGCGTGCTGTATATAAAAGCGTACATTATGTTTAGTCACCTTATCCACGGTTGTTAGAGTCGTCCATATCATCCATACCATAAGGTATATAGGTTGCTGTACACCCAGATTTCTGTCATAACACTATAATCAAACTGCTGTAATAATGTAATGCCCAATTATTACTAGTAAAGTAGGGGTAGAACGTTTTAAAAGCCAACATTTTCATTAAAACAACCGTAGAACACACGGATTTTTTTTTTAAAAAAAGGGTTTAGCCTATAATACTGTCTTATAGTTAACGGTCATATGACTATGTACCTACATAGGTAGTAGTATTGATGATCATAGGAACTTCCGTATGGAATTCAGAAGGATTATACGAGGTAGCCAATGAAAAACGGCACCCAGGTGGTCAAGACCTACTATGGCACTAGCGGCCGGAGACTATCGTACTAGTATAAACTCGTAAATCGGACAGTTGAATTGTTTTATTCGTAACAGTAAGTTTGTGATAGAAGTCAAAATACACATTTGAGCCCATGGGCTAGTTCAAACCCGAAAATGACTTTGAAGACTATGTATTCGCCAAACACCGAGCCATTTGTGTAAAAGTAAGGACGCCAGTAGAACAAGAAAAAGAGAAAGCCCTCTCCCTTCAGAGAATGCCCTGCTTTTGCAAATCCAAGTAGATCCTTTCGGGCATAACATTACCCTCTGCATCCTCCATCTGAACAACATTATCGCGTGAGTCTCTGTCCTTCTTCCGATCCTTCTCGAGCTGCTCCCAAAGCGCCATGGCTTCATTGATACTGGTGATTTCACGGAAGAGATTGGTGTTGGATGTGATGCCAAGGCACTTCAGTCCGTGGACGTGGAGATTCTCAGAGAAATGTTTGTCAAATGCTCGTCGACCCATATAGGTGTAGTTTCCGCAAATCTCGCACTGGTATTCGACACCGAGTCCATGAAGCTTGTAGAGCCAGAACGGAATAGGTTTTCCATCCCATGCCAGTGGCAATTTCAATGGGTTGTAAACAATCTCCTCGTCTTCTTCCTCCGATTCTTCGCCGGCACGAGGCTCGGGACCTGTGTGATCGAGTCCAGCCTGCACAGCTTCCCATTCCATTTGACGTTCACGTTCGGTCATACCCTGTCGGCGCTCAACATTGATTCTTGTCGCTTGTCGCTCCTCGCTTAGGACATTCGTCAACGATCGAATCTGGTGTTCACGTCGTGCAACTTCGCGTTCCTTGAGGCTGTGGGCCGAAGACGTGCCTTGGGAGGCAGATAGGTTTGTTTCGGATGTGCCTGCTGCTTTGCGGGCTTCTGCCGCTCGAATGTGCTTCTTACCAGTCAAGTGGCTCCGGTGCACGTTTTCGTTCTTGAATTCCTTCTCGCAATCTGCGCACCAAATTCCCTCACCGGTCCCTTGAGTTGTTGGGCCAGATGTACCATTCTCAGGCTTTTCTTCTGTCCAGCCCGGAACCTCCTTCGCCGTCCACTGCTTTTCGAATTCCTGGTCAAAGCTGGCGAAAAGCTCGTTCAAGGGTTGAAGTGGTTGAACTCTCTTGATGAAACTTTCCAGATAGCTAGCAAGCTCGCCAACGTAGCTGAAGTAACGATCGGAGATCTTGTCTTTCCGCTTGATTGGCATGGCTGGCATTGTGAAGGAGTCGAAGATGTCGAGGTATTGGACATATGACAAGCGCTTAACCCCAGGAAGATTCAGGTAATCTTCATGAAGGCTTATGAGATCCAGGTACTGTCCAAAGCCTTCTTCGCCAGTGAACATATTATCGATTGCGGTGCGGGGAGTCTCTCCTTCGGCGGTCTGACGGCGGTTGTATGCTTGCTCAAGGTTCTCGATTGGTTCATTCGGGTAGCGCTTGTGGTGCTCTTTGATTTCCCCCAGCTGCTTGTAGAACTCCTCGAATTGGTCGCCTGTCGAAATAGATTGCACTTCCTTCTCCCGCAGTCCATCGGCATCCTGGTAGATCTCCAAGAGGCGTTGGGACTGGCTCTCGATTCTCTCTAGAAACTGGGCGACTTCATGGTCGCGAGCCAAGCGGCCTCGGGCCTGACGAATTGGTATATTAGAAAACGTAACTGACATGGTTCGGCGCTATACTCACATTTCGGGGCTCCTCCGCCACGCGATCAGCGATAGCCTGTTCCAGGCGCTCTAGATCCTCATGGATAAACCTTTGATCTTCGAGCAACATATTTTCAATATGACTGCCACGTAAGAGCTTCTTTTTATTGGCGCGCAAGAAGTGTTGACAAAATATCGTGGCGATCGCAAAAGACGTTTGCAATTGGCAGCTCCAACTTGCGGGAAGGTCATGTGACCCGAACATTTCCACCGCGAAAAGTTGGCCGGTTGACCTCACTTATTTTAGGCTTCACTCTTCGTGAATCCCATAATCATTTATTAGCTGCCGTTGAAATACTCAAATTTACACCATGGCGGACGGAATCGACAGACGCGCCGAGGGTATGTGGTTCCGACCTTGAGTCAACATGAAGCATGCTAACAGCAACTAGAGCGCATGGAGTTCAACACCTCCAAGGAGGTGACGGTCGCGCCGACCTTTGAGGACATGCACTTGAAGGAAAGCCTGCTTCGCGGAGTCTACGCTTATGGATACGAATCGCCTTCGGCTGTGCAATCCCGTGCGATTGTTCAAATCTGCAAAGGTCGCGACACCATTGCCCAAGCCCAGTCCGGTACTGGTAAAACTGCCACATTCGCGATCAGTACCTTGCAAATCATCGATACTGTTGTGCGCGAGACCCAAGGTACGCATTCCCCTGCTTAGGCTGATCAGATCCAGTCCTAACCACAATCTGCTTTGTAACAGCTCTGGTCCTCTCCCCGACCCGTGAACTCGCAACCCAAATTCAGTCCGTTGTTATGGCCCTTGGTGATTACATGAATGTCCAGTGCCACGCCTGCATTGGAGGAACCAACGTCGGCGAAGATATCCGTAAACTCGACTACGGCCAACACGTTGTCTCGGGAACTCCTGGTCGTGTGGCTGATATGATCCGTCGCCGAAACCTGCGCACACGTCATATCAAGATGCTCGTTCTCGATGAGGCTGATGAACTCCTTAATCGCGGTTTCCGTGAGCAGATTTACGATGTTTATCGCTACCTGCCACCCGCGACGCAGGTCGTCGTGGTCTCTGCCACCCTCCCATACGACGTCTTGGACATGACCACAAAGTTCATGACTGACCCCGTCCGAGTCCTGGTCAAGCGTGATGAGTTGACACTGGAGGGTATCAAGCAATACTTCATTGCAGTTGAGAAGGAGGAATGGAAGTTCGACACACTTTGCGATCTCTACGACACCTTGACTATCACCCAGGCCGTTATCTTCTGCAACACCCGCCGAAAGGTCGACTGGCTTGCCGACAAGATGCGTGAGGCTAACTTCACGGTTTCTAGCATGCACGGCGAGATGCCTCAGAAGGAGCGTGATAGTATTATGCAAGATTTCCGTCAGGGAAATTCTCGTGTACTCATTTCCACTGATGTCTGGGCCCGTGGTATCGATGTCCAGCAAGTCTCTCTTGTTATCAACTACGATTTGCCTACCAACCGTGAGAACTACATCCACCGTATTGGTCGTTCTGGACGATTCGGCCGCAAGGGTGTGGCCATCAACTTTGTCACCAGCGATGATGTCCGCATCCTTCGCGACATCGAGTTGTACTACTCGACCCAAATTGATGAGATGCCCATGAACGGTAAGTCAATCCCCTATGATTTCTCCATTACTGTACTAACGACGCTATTGCAGTTGCCGACTTGCTTTCATAATTTCCACTGGTATTGTGATTGCAATATCTTTTCTCACGCCAAAAGCGATTTAGCTTCATTCCTTCTGGGGTCTTCTGCAGGTGGAGAGCGCTCGCATTGTTGATTGAATATGACTCGGAATCCGGTACGATGGGTTTGAGGGAAATGCAAGGCCAGCTCTAGCGTGGAGGAAAGGGATAATAACCTATTTCAGTAAGTCTACTTACTACCACTCTATTAACATCCAACGCTAATACTCCGAGGTAGTTTTCAAGAATGTCAACCGATTTGCGCACCCAGGAGGTATTTACGATTTTGTTTATTTCCAAAATTTCGGGCCTCTGGCCTAAGTAGCAGGGACCTAAGGTTTTCTTTACGTTTGGAGTTTCTTCTTTTACTTTACTTTTTGACACTAGGAATCATGAATGATGGAATCAGTTTTACTCTTCTATAATGCGGCCCTCCTTGGCCTCAATTCTTTGTCTATCATGGCGAGATAATTTTGAGCCAGTACTAAGAGAAGGAGATGACAGATAGAGAAATAGCTACGACCTCGGGAGCTTGGGGAGGTGCAATATTTCAACTGCACGGCAACAAGGCTGTTGCTCTATGGCTGCGCTAGTTAGTTCCTACTATATCGAAGGTCTACATTAGAACGAGGAATATAAATAGTAGATCTGATTCAATCCAAGAGACACAAAACACCGTTGATTCAATAATGACCGAGAAAGCTCCCCCACCCCAAAAAGTAAAACCCAAACTCAGAACTGCACCAAAAAAGGAATGACTGAACATATATACTCCTTAGGACCGGAAAGAAGATATGGATCAACGCCAGCTTCCTGTATTGAAAGAAATAGATGCTAGCTGCAGAGAGTAAACAGCGTAAGGAGTGAAAGGGGGACTCGAACGATGTATATGCGCAAGACAGCATGGTGATGATGTCAATTGATGGGGGGAGTGAAACACACAGAAGAGAATTCAAGAAGAACAAGAAAACATTGCAAGACAGCAGGTTTATCGTCTTTCAATCCAAAGCTCCGGGTATGTTCCCTCAGTCGGATACGGTATCGTGGGGAAACTAAATGAAGACAGACAACGAGCGTGAACAAAACTGGTGCTGGGGTAGTCATTGTCGATGTGTAGTACACAACTATTAGAAAGCGGATGTCGTCCTCAATGCGCTTGTTCGCGTAACTCCATTTGAGGGTATCCCGCTGCGTTGAACTGGTCCTACTGGACGGGATCGATTGTCCTCACGGGACCAGCTACGAGTCCGAGTTAGCAGTGTGTTTAATGTTAGACGAGGATAAGAATGACTCTTACATCCTTACTGCATGGTCGTCGCCTGCTGATGCGAACATTCCCGGGTCTACCGGGTTCCATGATATCGAGTTCACGCATCCGGAGATATGTCCTTCCAGAGTCTCTACAATGTTTCCATTTTCCTTGTGCCAGATGTAGACTTTGGAGTCTGGATATAATAGTAACAGTTAGTAACAATACCAGGAATGAGATGTAGAAATATTCACCTTCACTTCCGCTGACGACAAAGTTCTCGGCTGCTCCTCCAAACGTACTGCGAATCACGAACTCGCCTTGCTTTTGTCCCTTGAACTGACGGATAACAGCGGTAGTTTCCATGTCAACTAGTTGGATCTCGCCCTCAGCCAAATTTATAAGCATATGCCGCGAATCTTTGCTGATAGCAACCGAGGTCGGTTTGCTCGGCAGTGGGAGACAGTAGTCCTCTTCGTATGTAATCATGTTGTACACATGGACCTTCGCTTCTGTGTCGGCAGCAACAAGGCGTCGTCCGTCTGCGCTAATGGCACAGTCTTGTACACGGAATCCGCCTTTCCACGTGTATAGAGATTGACCGCGCATGCTCCAGTGACGGAGCTGTGATTCAGCATCGAGAGAAGCTGTCACAAAAGACTCACCATCTGCTGCCCAGGCAGCTGCTGTTACCGGTTGACGGTGATGGTTAATAGTGAGCAGACAACGACCACTCTGAAACATGCACAAGTCCGGGTTAGCATATAATTCTACATTCACATGGGATTGTAGAAATTATTACCTCTACGCTCCATACACGCGCCTTCTTATCTTGCGAGCAAGTAATTAGTTTGGAGTCATCTGGACTCCAACTGGCGAACGCAACTCCGTCCTCATGTTCCGTAAGTCTGTGGATAATGCTGAAATCTGTCGTGTTATAGACGAGCACATTATGATCCTTACCAGCAGTAACGAGTTTGGAGCCGTCGTGAGAAAACTCGCAATACCATACTTCATCGGAGTGCTGGGTCAAGTCCACAGTGATGTCCAACGGGAAATCGTTTCGGTCGCACATGTGGTCGGAGTAGAGCGACGGAGGGTCGGCGGTATTATGATAAACGCAGTTGTTGATTTGAGTCCGCTTGACATGATCTAGTAAGAGGGCCAGACGATGTTGCGGGATCATCACGGAAGGAGAAATGGATTCTGCGGCTGAATTAGCAAGCCGGTTACACCACCGTTATTGGCCAGATCGGGCTTACTTGACAACTCGCCAAGCAGTCGTTCACGCGATGAGCTGACGGAGCCATCCCATCCCGGTTGGGCATGTAAGACCTCGGTCGGGCACATAAGCAGACTAACCCAAATAACCAGTAAGCAAATCGTTTTCTAGAAATGTCTATAGATCGGCATACCTTGATAGGGCGTGTAGACGCTCGACGTCAAAATTCAAGGGCGTCAGTTCTGAGCGAAGAACGTTGAGAGCTGCAGGTAGATCACGCGCTTCTAGCAACTCGAGGAACTTCTGTTGTCGCAGATAGAATAGCATCTCGTTCCTGTCGGCCTCCTCCGCTAATACCAGGGTCTCCTCTTGGGGAGATTTCCCGTCGACCTGTTGTGACCCGGCATTTCGAAACGATTGAATCAAGATTCTCTCCGCTTCTGGCCATTTCCCACCTAACACCGCACTCCGGAACGTTGCAACCCCAGACGTTTCCAGTTCATAGCCGCTCTCTGAGCTCAACAAGGATGCCGACTCATTATAACCCAGCTCGTACAAACTCTGTATCAAAATCCGCGTCACCTCCTCCCGGTTGTGGCCGTAGTAGGTCGAAGACTGAGATGGCCCTTTAGAGCCATTTGTATGAGAGCTCCCGTTCGTTGCCGCTTGCCCATTCGGACCAGTCTTCCTCGATGTCGATGCAAGGGATTCATTTGAAGCGTCTAAGAAGCCATTTTCTGTTGATGTTCCGTCGGGACGCATGATTACCAGGCGCCTGCGCTTGGGGGATGGAGGTTGGCCGTCCGGTCGGCCAAGAACTCGGCTGGGGTAATTCTGAGATGCGGTCTCACGTGCTATTCGGGGAGGGTGTCCGGTCTCCGCCGAGGAGGGGCCAAGGATATCCGGGCTGCTCGAAAGGCGGCGGCGACGGTTGGGCCGAGGGGTAGATGAGCTGGGTGGTTGAGATGCGGCGGACAGGAACTCTGACGTTTGGGACCCGGGATTGCCTACCGAGGCGGGAGCTGTATTGACGGGTAAAGAAGGATCAGGGTGGTCGGGAGTGATAAGGGGATGATGCGGTGGTGGATTGTGAGCCAGTTCGACAATATCTCTAGATCTGCCCAATCCCCTGGCTCTTGGAAGAACCAGGTGAGCAGACCTCAAGCGGTGGCGGGTGTCCGATAAGTAATCGCCCGGGAGCTCCGTTCAAGAGGGACGCAGTTGTCACAGGGTCAACTTGATGGTTACTGGTTTGTGCTAACGTCACAGACGTAACAAATGATCAAGCTGTAGATCGTCAGAAATCACGCGGTTGTAACGTTCTCCGCTTTGAGTTGCGAACAGGTTGTGGCTTATCGGGGAGAGAAAGCGATAAAGAGATGAGAACTACCAGTCCACCGGTCCACCCACGGGAAGGCAATGAAACTCCGAGTATTGGATAAGGAATATCAAATATCAAATATCGAATATCGAATTTTAAACGTCAAATGTCAAATTGCAAAAGTTAAGAAATAGGATTGGGTTGTTGGGTAGCGTTTGTATGTAGCCCTGGAGGACCCCATGGCCCCTATTTAGAGCGTAACATGGACCTCTACTATATTCTCTCTTACTATACTTCCTAGGAGGATTTTACCATTCTACATAAATTATCTTTGTACTACAATCCAAAGCGCGAGATAAGTGCAAAAACAGCGAAGAAATGAATTATATGTTCCTCCTTTTCGCCAAAGAGATTATCCACTATAAAGGAGCTATCTCCAATATGTGACAATATTTTGTTCGAGTCTAGTTGATGATGTTGGACACCAGATGGCAAAATTTGACATTAATACTGTAGGAAAGCTTCAGTTAAGAGCTCCCATATATCGTATAGATACGAGCAGCAAAACTATATATGGGCTTACTAAAATCTGACACATTGGTCAAGTGATGAAGAACAATTGACAAGTCTCCCGAAACCAACCCACAATCCAGCATCTGCCTATTTGTTCAGCTTTCGGATAACAGGGGAAATATGCGTTGACCTCCATGATCTAGAACGTCCTAAATGTACTCTGTCATATAAAATTCTCTCTGAGTTCATGGCTTCAACATCAGGAGTCTTGCACTTCGGCACTTTTGGTTGTTTTCCATTCCTACCAATTATTGCTCTTGTCAAATTGGCTTAACTCTCACAGTCTGCTTCAAGTTCGATTTTAACTATGCTATGATGTTTGGTGGATGGTTTGGGCGCTAGCTAACAGTTCCTCACGTGTGATAGGCGTATTCGACTTTCTTGAGAAATTGCTGTTACTCCCGACAGGACCCCCAGCAAGCTGCAATTAGCAATATGGGGATAAGCTATGTATGCAACGTACTATGTAGGTACATAAGCCCAAGAGATGCTGACAGTCCGACATTCCGACTGATCCTCCCGAGATCTCGCCGACAATCACGACTTCTATCCCGGTCTTAAACTATGCAAGGCAGCCCCCGACCCCATAATGAAACTCCTTATCTCAATGTGGTGTTTTCCCGGGTAAGCTTCTTCATAGACCAACAACACCTGGATAACGCGCACGACCCGGCTCAGGTGGAGTCGTCGACCGCGTGGGTTACTTATGACTTTGGGGCCAGGCGGAGGATATACCCGGGAATGAACTCGGCGAAGCAAAGCTTACTCCTTGGGCTGGCCAAGGCTGCCTGTGATTTTTACATTGTTCCGATCGAGGGGAAGGACATTCATCTGGACCTCGAGACTGGCTTCGTCCAGGAAATTGCATTGCACCCTAAATATCTTGATATCGCTCTGGAACTAAGGGATAGACGCACCAAGGAAGGATATCCTGGACCACTGATCTCAGAGTTATGAGGCCGAGGCCGAGGCCATGAGCTGGTAAGACGGTCTCTACAAGTAGTTCGAATATCAGGAGCTTAAATGAATCGTCATAGATCACCCTTGTGGCAGCCAGCCACGGGAAATATGCGTGGTGGGTAGAGTTTGCAGGTAGCATCTCTACGAAACACAAGATTGGCTTCTACCATTTATGACATACTAGCTGGCCAATAAATACAAAATAGAGTCTTTAGCGCCTTGTATTACCCAGACCTAGATCGCTGATTTCGCGAGAGAAGAGATCCTTGATTAATTTTTCAGATATATCTATAGCCCTACTTTCAGACTATCTGTGAACTTTGAGTGAGGGCATGGAAAAGAAGTATAATACATGGGCCGCTGTAGCAAACGAAGCTCCTAAAGCCATCCCTACATCATTTCTGCCAATACCAATTATCACATCCACTCCTTGAACAAATACAGCGGCAGCGACGACAGAAGCTACTGCTGGACCACCAAGACAGAGCGGGAGAATTCCGGTAAGTAATTCCAATGGTACAGCGCGCACCGCATACATGCGCTGATAAAAGTGCTCGCCAGTGGTAACGAGAGGTGAGCCAGACAGGGATGCAGGGTTTGCAGTGGAAATTATTGCGGCTGTTGCGGAAGAAAATGAAGCGAATGCATTCAGGACAACCAAAAACTGATCCATTGTCGTATAATGAATGATCGCTTGGTTGATAGTAAGGATGATCGTCTTCGTAAGAGCTATTTGGTCTGTGAGCAATGCACGATCTGGTATTCTTTGGTATCTAAATTGACCGACCTGTGATTGCACAACTGATCAAATAGAATGTAAGCGTATCAAAGCTAATGTAGGATAGAGAAATGACAGATGTGGGAGCAACAGGTAGGGAAAGTCGGGGTTAGCGGAATGACTCGGAGATAGTTTGTTTATGAGGCCGAAAAGTTGGTATATGTCCGTGCACGCATTATCTTGAACCACCCGTGGACCCGTGGACACCCCGATCGGGAAGATCGCGATCGCCTTAAATCTGGGGCATACTGTAACTTGAACACAATAGTAAATTTATTTTACTCACACCCGTTGACCGAGTGGATATACTTCTCCAAAAGTCTAATCAAGATGCCCCTTGCCTTCCAAAATGTGAAGTTCCTTGGGCTTCATGAGTAGTAGACCTCTGCATAGCCCATAAAGCCTATAGCTCAACCCAACCCAACCCACTAATGGGTTGGGCTTTGGGCCCACCCTTCTAGCCCATCGGCCGGCTATGGGCCCATCCACCGAGCCCATAGGGCCTATTGGGGCCTACAATGCCCCCATTATTAACCAAACAATACAAACATGCCAATTTATCGCAGCTGTATAATTAATGCATTTTTTTCCTATTTTTGGGGGGGTATTGAAATTACCAAAGCTTTACTTTTTTATAAGAGGTACTTATTTTTATTAGGGGTTTATATAGTAAGTAGAGGTACTATAAGTGTTACCACAATTGACCATAGAAAGTAGTATTAATCCTCTATAAATAATATATATCTCTTTATACTAATACTTAGTAATTCCTTCTAGGTACGAATTTAGAGTCAAATTGGATCTTTTTAGGGTTATTTTGTATAAAATCTGGTATCATGAAGCTAAAATCAGTATTAAATCCACTTAATTCCTACTTCTTACTATGATAATATAATAATACTAAAGATATAGGTTGGTACCTGCGTAAAATATAGTCATTAATCATCTACTTTATGTATGCCAAGACTGTATTTGTGCACAGAAATGGGCTTTTGATGGGCTTTGAAGGGTCCCCATTAATGGGCTGTGGGTTGGGGTTTGGGCCGGGGGTCTGGGCCCATTGATGGGCTATGCAGAGGTCTAATGAGTAGTCTGGTGTCATTTACGATAGTGTTCTCTTTAAACTAGGCCACGGCGTGGTGAAGATCTTCAACCTGCTGCCTTGCATCGATCTGGGCGCAGGAATGGCGGTTAATATGTAGCCTTGTAGGAACGACCGCCGGCCCACGAAACTTACAGCATACCTTGGATTTTCATCGCTAGCACCTAGGCCGCGAGTATCAAAGACAAGGGTGGTGATATCAGGCTCTTGAAACCACTTTTCAAGGTCAGGTAACATGGCATCCTTGGGCATATTGAACTACCCAAAGGTCAGTCAGTCAATTGGAACAAGTGTAAGAAGTGTAAATAGAGTTCTGATTGAATGACCTATCGTGCCCGGTTTATTGACTCCGTAGTGGCTGTCTTAAGTAATTGTTCTTTCTTTCCAAAATAGCAAAGATCGAAACTTCGCGTATTTCAATTTCACCATATCAAACCTGTCATGCATGCACTGAACTATTCTGCAATAACAGATCGCAAAAGACTGAACATCGGTCCCCCGGTATGACTTCTTGGTCGAACTTCTCAAAAGGCTTCTCACTCGATCTTGCCGCCTTTTCCACATGTTTGTAGCCACGTAGTACTGTATTGGAAAATCCGCCTCGATGCAACTCTAAGGTTGAGAAAGGAGTAATGGCAGATCAATGACCGAGATGAATAAGCATAATATTGGCATCAAAAGTTAGATCTCTGCTTACCGAACCATTTCCATACGAAACCGTCGATTGCCCTCCACCGCTCTCTCAAAGTTATCTGGCTCCGTCCCGCCTTCTATGTCTATATCAAGGTATTCTATGACCTAAGATAGCAGCTGTTCAGACTAATTCCAGTCCTGCGATTCCGCTATGGAAGCCTCTAGTTCTTTATCGCTGAACACAATTGAGCACACGGCAGAGGAGATGCTGCTGAATACCGATGGAGTCGTGATATCTACCAAAGCAGCATATAAGTTAATTACGTCTGCGTCCACCCTGTCTGGCGAAGGAGATACTGTCGAATTCTGAGATGGGGAAGTTCTCCACAAATCCATGTTTAGAATTGCGTACACCTGTCGCGGCTGTGTAGTAGGGATTGGCTTCTCCTAAGCGACAGACAGTTTTGCATTGTGCATACTCTGAGGTTGGGAGGAATCGTGCTTAAAGAATGGGGGATACCCCGCTTGTATAAAGCGGGGGAATATTACAGCATCCTGCCAATCGATGATACTGATGATTTTGGTTGACATTCTTTGCGCGTAGAAGAAACAATCTGTTGAAACCTTCCTCTGCAAACTTAGTAATATCAGGGTAATATCCTTGTTGTACTGCTCCGCCGGCGATCCGTTGAAGCTCTGTTCGTCGAAACTTGACGTCTCGTTCAAACGGTTGGTCGCGTTGAATCTAGTTGAAAGGCTGTAATTATGATCAAAGCAATGATAGGCATCACCTACATCCATCGTCGTGATGGTGGAAGGAAGCAGACATGGCAGGCTGCCTGGAACAGACCACCGGTTTCCGCAAACGGGGAGCGGGTGATATCAAGCACCCAGCTGCGCAGGGTTAGCCTGCCTGGAGATTCAAACTCGGCATCAACGCTGGGTAGAACGCTCGTCATTGCGTTCTTTTCGGAAATAATTAACCTGGAGATAGAAAATGGGGGATAGTGATGGTGGTTGTATAGGTAGGAGGCATGTTATACACGGACTAATCACTTGGCGAGGGTTGATATGGAAAAAAAAACGCACATAGTGATAATCGGTTAATTAGGTAGGCCGGCACCCGAATATTCGGGCATCTGCAAATCCGGAGACTTGCCGTCAGAGTCGGTGGTCGGTGGTCGGCGATCGGTCCGAGCCGGTCCCCTACGTTAAAAACGCGCTAATCCAATTTTAGCCATTCCCCCAACTCCTGTCATACTGTATTGTATTCCCGGGTAACGATGGATGTATAATACCATAACTTTGGAACTTGATCCAATTTTTCGAGCAAAACGACGAAACAAATATTCCTTTCGTGAAAAAAACAGGAAGCTGCCATTCATATGATTTCACTTTGCCACCTTTACTTGTGTAAGTAATAGGCTTCTTCCCAAGTACTCTTAAGCACCACTCTATGTTAGGTCACTGGGTTTGGTCACTAACTATCAACTCAAATGGTGGGTGAAATTTGTTCCTAATGTACTGTTAAAGGACACCTTGTCCCACCGTGTACGCAGCTTCTTGATAACCCATATTTGCAGAGTTTATTCAACAGATTTACAAGTACCGCAGTCTATCTACCCTGAGTAGTGTAGCCTATGGCTGTGATGGCTGTTAAATTGCATATGCTGGGTTGGTACCTTACCGATACCCCTTACAGGTCGGACATGACAAAGTCTAAAGGGGTAATAGTCTAATCGGGGGCACTACACAGCAGTTCTTTGTTTGACTTCTACTTTTCATCCCCCTTCTATTACCCATGTGCATGTGCATGTGCATTGAGGGTTGTTCAACCGCTATGACCGCATGAGTCGAACAATTATCCTTTTTTCTTTAGAGTTGTATACATGAACGAGTAGTTCTGGTATGGATGGCAGATCGAAAAATAAAATATACAACATACATAGTCTTGTGAATGGCCCGTGCGGAAAAGTGACGGTCTCCTGAGTTCCAGCTCTAGATGCTGCATGAACCAGCCAATAGTCAAATTCGAAAGTTTCCACTGCTGCAATGTTGCTAATGTGATATGAATCATATTTCCGCGAGATGTATGAGGTCAATAGTTCCATCCTTTCGTATATGCATACAAGGACATGATGGATCAATCTATCTTCAGCTCCAGCAAGGGGTGGTCCTCATGTGGGTAGCGTTGTTATTTCTGTAACGCAATCTGCTTACTTGATCATATTCTGGACCATGAAGTAAAAGGCTGGTCTTTCTTACATTTCAAGGCAAAACATTTACGGTCAGTCCTATTGCAAGGATCTCTGGCAAGTTCAACAATAATCGAGTATTTTGAAGCAAAATCATGAATATCCTAGAAAGGTTCAAGTCACAGAAGGTGCCGCCGGCAACTGTACCAACAGATACGGTCGTTCCCATCTATGAAATTGACTATTTGTCCCACAAAACCATGGAGTTGATAATGAGATTTGATGATGTTCTCGACCCAGCCAAGCTTCAGCAATCTCTCAGACGGCTGTTGGAAATCGGAAACTGGAGGAAGCTCGGAGCGCGCGTACGTGTCAAGGTAAGTTCACACCAAGCCAGTTTACTATGAAGGTGATTATCTTACAGAGGATATCAGGGAGACCCCGCTGAAAATAAGTACGAATATCATATACCAGAGCAGTACGATGATGTGCGCCAGGGCTTCATATACCGAGTGTCGAAACACAGCGGTAGCATCAACAGTCACCCCACTGCCGCTCGACTGCCCGGACACAAAAATGGAACTGCAACCAGCTCTTCGCAAGACTTCGGTGAATTGGGCCTACAGCCTGGAGACCCCAGACATCTCGTCGACTGGGCGTATACTGATCTCCCACAACTGTTCTTCCACCACATCGCTTTTACCGATGCCACCGTGATTTTCATGACATATCCGCATAGTATGATGGACGCCATGGGCCACAGCACCTTTCTCCGTGCTTGGATGGCTGTCCTCCATGGGCGAGAGCATGAGGTTCCCGAGTTAAGTAGCTTGGAAGACCATCGACGCCCCTTGGCCGAAAGGACCCCTGCTAAGAATTATCTCCTGTATGATAATTTGCTGAGTAGACTCGGACTCATGCTATTTCTGTTCAACCGCTTCATTGAGGATATATGGGCTACAAAGGAAGAAAGAATTGTTTGCGTCCCTGGGGAGTTTGTTCGGGAGTTAAGAGCCCAAACACTCGACGAGCTTGACCCGAGCAAAGAGAAGCAATTCCTGAGTGAGAATGATGTGATTCTTGCATGGTTCACTCGGACCATTCTTTCTGCTGCCAAGACGTCGGGGAAACGATCGCTCATTCTGATGAACTGGTTTGACATTCGCTCGACTGTCCTTCCACCCAAAGTCGGACATATCTTCAATGCAGTCATTCCCGCGCACACAATGGTACCCATTTCGGAAGTGCTAAAACAGCCACTGGCATTCCTCGCAACTCAGATCCGCCACTCACTGGCTCAACAACGAGCCCCTGAGCAGATAGAGGCCTGGTATTCAATGGTGGCAGCCAGGCTAAAGCAAGGCCTATTCCCGTTGGTTGGAACTTCGAACGGGTTCACAACAACTTACTCCAGTTGGCATACATCGGGACTGTTCCGTCTTGATCTCTCGCCTGCAGTTACGCAACAGGGTCTTCCTCTAGATCAGAGGACCAACAAAATCGGTTACCCATCCTGTGTGTTTTCTCCCAATTGTTTTTCCATGCTTAGACTGAGAAATGCGGGATGCTGTCTCGGCAAAGACGAAGAAGGAAATTGGTGGTTTCAGTGGCTTCTTCGCAAGCGAGAGTGGAAGAAGATTGAAGAATATCTTAGTCAAGCTGACGAGGACACTTCGAAGACATCCCTCTAGGATCGGGACTGGATGGTGATTGAGGCAACCGCATATCACCAGATGCGGTGTGCCATGTTACTGAAGCCTCTATCTAATCCCATTAAACAGAGAAGCCATGTGGGGAAAGTATATCTCGTCCGTGACAGTTCTTCCGATGCAAGTCAAGCCTATGAGGTATAGAAAACATAATGATGTGTTGGGACAAACACTGTCTGGTACAAAGGCCTCAAGTAGATGATTGTTTCGCGACCGATTCGCTAGATCCTCGTTGTTAGGGAAGAAGAAGGGGGGTTAATGGCATCATACAGGAGATTCGAGTTAATTACAGCGGGTGAGATATCAGTGCGTCATGTAAAAATACAACGACCAGCTTGATGCTCTTCGCAATACACACATTTTACCATTTGCTCTGCATAGTAAGATCCTGGTATTAGTTGATACCAGTTCCACCAGTTCCACCTTGTTCGACACCTATGACTGGCGTATATGGTCTCACTTTTTGAATCGTAGATATTATTCTAAACCCGAGAGAGAGAAACGATATACTCCCGCATTTGTGCTCAAGGCCATTCTTAACCTCCAGCTGTTACTTCAAGGCTTATGCTTTGCCAAATATGTGAGTTAGCTGAATTGACATTCCTACTACGTCAATCGAGAATTCAGGTTACTAGGAATCAAAAGCAGGCCCTGGTTAAATATAAACGAAAAAGTAAGATTCTCAAACAACAATGAAGAATTATAAACATCACACGTATATAGGTTTATAGCAAGTCTGCAGTGCCCGTTCCCTTCACATCTGAGTGCCCATGCCAACTGTAACCCTAGAGGCAAGCTCTTGCAAAGGCTGATTCTCATAGATATCTGCCACGGTGATACGTAGACCCGAAGTGCGTGCCTTGGTGCATAGTAGCATTGCTTTGAGAGAATCACCTCCCATATCAAAGAAGTTGTCCTGGAGCCCGATCTTGTCGGATGGAAGACCGAGAACTTCGGCAATGAGACGGATAATCTGACGCTCATCTTCGGTCGTTGGGTGTTTTCGAGTGACAATGGGTATATACTCCTGCATATCCAGGCAGGAAGTTGCCTCGCGTAAGGCGAGTCGGTCGATTTCCCCTCCTGGTGTGAGTGGAATTCTCCGAACAGGCACAAATGCGACGGGAATCATGAAGGATGGCAAATAAGCTCGTAGTTGATCTCGAACAATTGACATCTCGGAGAGGAATTGAAGTTTATCTGGCCAAACCAGGAAATTGCAGCCGTCGTTACTTTTATCCTCATTCCTGTTTGAAACCACGGTATTACCACCATATTCTACGAAAGCAACAAGTGCCGTAGACTGGGATTTTCCGTGGCCGTTGAGGACGACGACATCTGCAATAACCTGCTGTCCTGTTGTAAGAAGAGGCTGGATATGACGCTCCACCCTGTTCAACTCAATTTGTCGGCCAAGGTGTTTCTCTGTGTGTTTGCGACCAAAGAACTTGATTGAACCGTCACCAGTGACCCTGACAAGGTCCCCTGAGCGATAAAGTTGGCTGGAACGGCCAGGAGCGCGGAACTGACGAATGAAATGGGGCGGATCAACGTACAGCGCGGACGTTCGACCTAGGTCGTCCAGATTGCGTCGAGCCTCGATTGGTCCCTCAATCAACAACTCGCCAACCGCTCCGAGAGGAGCCAATCGCGAAGGGTCAGATGGAAGAGTCACCCAGCTCGTGCAACCCATCATGGGATAAATCATCCCGGTCTGAGAGTTGTGCTTGAAAAGTGTGCCAACAGCGGTCTGGCCTTGGCCGTTAGATGCAGGAGAAAGATTCAGCTCGGACATTGTGGGTGTACGAGAGACAGGACGCCGATCGTCCCATTTTTGCAATCGAGTCATATCATCCGGGCTTACGAGCTCTGCATCACCTATGAGTTGAATGGCACCCGCGCAGACTTGGTGAAGAACGTGTTCAAACTGGAATAGAAATTGAGAGGCCTGCTGGGTGGGAAGAGCCAGCGGGTCAAATGTCATTGTTGTATTGACTTCATTGCCCTTTGGTGACACAAAGAAATCGACATGTAAGGCATCTCTAGCGAAACGCGCCAAGTCGAGCTTTTCTGGCGCTCGGCGTCGCAGAAGACCTAGCTCCGGAGATGCCTCATGCTCTGTGACCTGGAAGATGAGATGGGTCTGGAAATTGCAGGCTAGTTCAGTATCAGCATTCATTTTCCGAATAGCCTGCAGCCCAGTATGTTTGAAAGTGACCATCTCAGCTGCAGAACGCTGGATTGAGAGCAAGGCATCTTGGACGGATTGTTTAGGCAATATGCGGACTCTGAAGGGGACTGTTGCAAATGTTGGGCCCGTCATGAGGTCAATATTTGATACAGGAGCATCACGACCAGATGTTGTGAGGCCAAATACCACATCTTCGCTGTCGGTATAAGCTGATACCACAACGGACCAGGCGAGCTTTATGATATTGACCAGCGTGATATTGGCATGTGCAATTCTTGGTATGGTGATGGTTCTGTTCACTGTCATGCGCTCCTCTATCTTGCTTGAGGTGGTTGCATTCCGTGGATCTGGAAATGGGACTGCCTTGAGATTTGAAAATTCTGACGTCCAGAACTTTTGTGTTGCTTCCGCCTCCAATGACAAGCAATAACGGATGAACCCAGTGAAAGGCTCAACCCGGACACTCCGGCCGTGGTAGGCTGATTCTACCTGCCGCATCAATAACGGGATGGACCATCCATCATACAAGGCGTGGTGGAACGTGAGGACAAAGTATGACATCCCAGGTTCTTCCACCAAGGCAAAACGTGCAAGTGGCTTTCCCAGGCCCATGAGTTGGGATACATCCTCCTTCAAATATCGTCTCAAACAGTCCCCGTAGTGCCAATCAATGGTGCTGGCCTTCTGAACAACCTGTACCGTTGTTCCCCCAAGAGTGTGAATAATCCTGGTGCGCAATATGGGATTTTGGTCAAGAACAGTTTGCCAAATTTTGCGTAGTTGATCCGGCCGGAGATGCGATGGTATTTCATACTCGTATTGTGCATACAGCATGCCAGGTCGTTCCTCGGCCATGGCAATTTGGTTTTCTTGTCGGGGGCTGCATGGATATATATCCTCGATTTCGGCTCGAGGAATGGAACAAATCTCGGCCGCTAGGTCCAAAGCATCCTCAGCCGTGTCATTAGTGAGAAGGGAGAACGGTTTTGGAGGACTGTCAGTTGGCTTATTCAAATCTTGAATGGCTCTGGCCAGGTCGCTAAGGACAGGGTACTGGAAGATGTCGGTAACAGAAAGCTGGAAACCCTCTTTGCTGGCGAGATTGGCCAGCTTCATTGCAGTGAGTGAGTCTCCACCTACGGAGAAGAAGTTGTCCTCCAAAGAGATATCGTTCTTATTCGGTAGTGCGAGGGCTTTCGTCAATAGTCTGTGTAGGATGATCTCATTGTCTGAAGATGGACTGCGTTTTGGCGCGGGTCCCACAGAGCTGTTATAGGTTTCGATCTCACTTCTCGTCAGTGTTGCGACCTCTGCCTGGAGCCTTCGGAGATCTGTTTTGCCAGTTGGGGAGAGAGGAATTGTGGAGATAGGGAAAAAGACTGATGGTACCATATATGATGGGAGCTGGTCGGCCAGTTCTTGTTTCAACCCTGATAAAGCCAGGGAGAATGTGGCACTCGGAGGCAATAGGATGGACGTGTTGTTGCCTTGGAGTTCAGCATTCGAACTCCAATAGAGGAATGCCACCAACAATGGAGGTGAACCGTCCTTCAAGGTAACAATGCTGGCAACACTGCTATGTAGAGAGGGAACGCACTTATTCACGCATGTCTCGACCTCGCCAAGCTCAATACGTTGTCCACGTAGCTTAACTTGGCTATCCTTCCGGCCAATGTATCGCAGCGAACCATCTGTCAGGTACTGAACAAGATCGCCAGTTTTGTAAAAGCGATATGGATGGTCTTTGATGGAGACCTGTGATCTCCAGGCAGGGGGATCGATGAAAACTTGTCGTGTCTTGACGGGATCTCCTAGGTAGCCCCGACTCACAAATGGGGCTTCCACTAGCAATTCTCCAATGGCACCAATAGGGAGTAACGTGGAGTCATTTTGAGGATCAACGACCCATGTACGGCCTCTTTGTGAGGTTCCAATGCGTTGTCGGTCACTGGAAACGAGGGGAGCTTGGACCGTAATCACCAGTGAGCACTCGGCTGGGCCGTAGCCTCCAATGCAATTGATCCCAGACCACAGGGCAATATCACTCTGACGGGGGGTCTCACCAACGAGACAGACCGTTTGAAGAGAAGGGTAATCGGACGGATCAAGAGCTCGTGCGACGGAGGGCGTCAAAAATACCCAATTTGCTTGGAAATCATGGGCTGCCCCTGCTAGATTGCTTCTTCTGTCATTCTCAGAAGGGATACAGATGCAGCCTCCGATAGTCAACGCGCATAGCTGGTCCAAAACAGCCACATCGAAGGAGTAAGAGGAAAATTGAAGCACTCGGGAGTGGTGGTTCAGTTTTAGTACGTCCCTTTGTCCACTTATTTGTGTAGAGAAAGCCCAATTTTCGATAACGGCACCCTTGGGACTTCCAGTGGAGCCTGAGGTGAAAACAGCATAGACAGCATCTCTTGGCCCAGCCGGCGGATAATGATTCCGAGGCTTTTTGTCTGCCTCCCTGCAAACCGAATGCTTCGACTGTTGTGAAACTGTGACGACCTCTCTCGCTAATTGTGAGGCCAGGCGAGCGGTTGTTGCAGATGAGACAACCACATTGGCGTTGAGGGTCTCACACATAGCACGAAGGCGACTCTGGGGAAAGGAGACGTCGAGAAGAACAAAGGCTCCTCCCGCTTTGAGAGTAGCCAATATAGCCACCGGGGTCCAACAAGACTTCTCCAAGCATAGAGGGACGAAAATATTGGGTCCTACACCAAGAGATTGCAGCCTAATCGCCAGACTATCCGACAGCTCATCTAGTTCGCCGTAATTGAAGGACCCATCCCAGGCACAGACGGCAGGGCGGTCAGGCTGTGTCTGACAATGGCGAAGGATTAAGTCGGAAACACATTGCTCTTGGATCTGGATCTCTTTCCCATTCCAATCTGATATCTTGGCAAGACTGTCAGGGGCCAATAGGCTCGCTTGACCTACTTGCGTAGAACTGTTGCCGGTAACATGACGTAGGGCGTATGAGAAGCTCTGGAGGATTGTAGTCGCCTGAGCTTCGGTAAACAGTAAACTGTCGTAATCCACGTTGACCCGAACACAATCCTCCCGGAGCTGAACGCTGAGTGTCAGGACATACTCAGTGGGATCGTGTCCCCCCTCATGTTCTAGGATGAGGTTTGACGCGTGGTCATCTACCCTGAATTGCTGTACTGAGACTAAAGTATTGAACAGGGACTGGCCTGCGAGTCCATGCGCATGATAGAGATCTGCAAGTGGATAGTGCTGGTGTGAAAGATTGTCAAGAATGGTGTCCTGTGTATCTGACAAGACAGAAATAATCGGCGATGTTTGTGGCAGATGGATGCGTCTCACGAGCAGGTTGAAGAATGGGCCAACAGCATCTTCAATACCTTCTATAGGGATGTCACGGCCGGAAGTAAGATAGCCGAAACAGACATCGTCTGTTCCTGTAAAGCATCGCAGGACAAGTGCCCAAGAAACGTGAACAAGGTTTGTCGCGGTAAATCCATGAGCCTTACAGAAACTCTGGACATCTCCTGATAGGTTTAGAGTTTCAACGACGGATTTCGTACCTTCGAAAGGGGTATCATCTTTATCCTCAGAGCTCAAGGCTCGTAAATTGGGGAAAAGGCAAGGTTCTAGACCTTTGACGTATTCCTGCCAGTAGTGTTTGGACAACTGATATTGAGACTGCTGGTCCTCGAGATATGAAATGTAGTTCCGGTAAACGGGTGGAAGGGAGGAAGAAAGGGTTCCATCATAGGCCATTGAAAGATCCCGTTGAATGATAGGATTTGATCCTCCGTCAATGAGAGAATGGCTTATCAATAGTTCCATTCGCACAGACCCCTTCGGCTCCTTGGTAATGAAGAGTCTGTGGCGAGAATGAAGGGGAGTCTGGGCCGAGAAGGTTCGGGGTTTGGAAGAGTTGGACAATTCGCAAACCTGGATTTCAGCTTGGATTCTCCGCAGCACCACTTGATCGGGATAGTTGCACCCAGATACGGGTATGAAAATGGTGCGCAAGATTGGGTGGCGGTCAACAACCTGCTGCCAGGCGCTTTGCAGTCGTGGGATGTCGACCGCATGGTCGTCGGCTAAAGAAACCCGCCAAATGGCTACATCGAGATATTGATGTGGGTTCTTGGCTTGACTCAGCAGTATACCCCGCTGGACTGGCGAACAAGGATAAATATCCTCGATTTCATGATTCACCAGACCAAGATCGGGGAGAGTATGCTCCATAAACCGGTCCAAGTCATTGTATGTCAGAGATGGTAGCATGGGGAAGTTGGATAGAGTGTATTGCAAACGTGTGGCAACCAACCTCTCTGAAGCCTCGTGGAGCGAACTTTCACATCGCTGGACCCAAGTAGCAAGGCCGTCTTGATGCTTCATTGACCCATTGGTGAAAAATGTATAGGCAAGACAACCATCAACCACAGATACAGAAATGTCGACAAGCGCAAACCGCTTCACTCCTGCCGCTATATCAGGTTGCTGGTCCTTCCTTTCCAAACGAAAGAGGCTATCGGGACGCTGCAACTGTTGGTAGAGCCCCACGTAGTTAAACAAGATCTCCACCGGTCCATCTCGATAAAACTTAACACGTCCCTCGGCGTTATGGTACCGAGAAACAAAGTATTGCCAGCCGTTAGCAGGAACTAGGCGGCGGCTGTCCTTGGTTTGTCGAACAGCTTCCAAGATATCATCCTCCGGGGTGAGGGGCACGTGAACTGGCCACATAGTTGTAAACCACCCTACTGTCCGTGTGAGGTCAATGCTGGAGTCCCAAGGCTCACGACCGTGTCCCTCGGTGAATATTGTCGGTGCAGGACGATTAGAAAAGGTCTGCACAAACGAGTGTAGCACTGCGGCCTGGAAGATCTCTACAGCCTGGGTATCAAAGGCCTTGTTGGCCTCACCGAAGAGGAGGCTTGTCGCATGCGGAGAAATTTTGAAGGAACGTTGGTGAATAGCTTCATACGTATTCTCTGAAGGTGTCACCCCCCAAAACTGTTCCAAATTGATATCATCAGGTGAGTGGAGTGGAAGGGCAAGCTCGGGCCGTATGTTTGTTGCGGCGTATTCCGCTTGCGCCTTGATCCATCCTTGGAAAGAAGAAGACTTTGACCCTGTTATACGCCCGAGCGACAGTAATTCTTCCAGATCTTGAAATATAATCCGCCATGATACAAAGTCGATCACCAGATGGTGAGCAAGCAAGTGCAAATACAATTCTTCTTGACCAACACTGATGATGTCGACTGCCATGAGAGGTCCATTCTTGATGTCGAGCGAGTTCTGGCTTTGAGCAGAGATAGAATCAACCTCGAGGCGGGAGTGGACGGCATGAGAACGGAAAGAAAAGGAGGAAACCGGGTCTTTAGTTAGTACCTTCTGGGTCCATTGGCCATCTGGATGTCTGTGAAACCGAGCTCTCAGCATTGGATGGTGCTCCACAATGGTTGTTATGGCGCGAGAAATGTCCGCCGCATCAACTCGACGCGTGAGGCGTAACAGGAAACTCTGATTGAAATGGTTGTGTCCTTCCGGAGCAACCTCGAAAAACATTTGCTGAATTGGAGATAGCTGGAATTCGCCTTTCAGCTGGTCCTCCTCAAGATATGTTGCTCCTGAAAGTGTGTCTTGTGATACCTCCTGGACTTGTACACATTTGGCCAACAGAGCAATTGTTTTGCTTCGGAGGATATTAGCCACAGTGACCACTAAGCCAGAGGAGCGTGAACGAGCGACTACCTGCATAGCCGATATGGATTCTCCTCCAAGAGAATGGAAAGTATCATCCAGGCCAATACGATCGCATTCGATGTTCAGGACACTCGACCAGATTTGTTGGAGTTGGATTTCGATTATGGTCGATGGTTTTCTCGACGGACCCTGGCCCTCATGACGAGTGGCACCTTCATATTTCGAAAACATCTCAATCGGCATTCGAACAACCTCCTCCCGAAGCACCTTCCGATCTGTCTTCGAAGTTTTGGTCAGGGGTAGAGTCCAGAGAGGAAGCAGCATGGCCGGGATCATGTACGGCGGTAGCAAGGCTTTTAGCTTCTCACAAGCTCTAAATGCCTCGGTCCGGAAAGCATCAGTTGGGGGGGCCAGGAATTCCATTTCACCATCGATCCTGCCTCTGGCCGATGCAGACAACTGGGGGCAGCAGATAAAAGCGACCAACAAGGCAGACTGCCCCCGCCTGACAACTTCAGCCACGACCTCTTTGGCGCCTGAGAACTGGTTTCGCAGATGGTGCTCGATCTCCCCAAGCTCCACTCTCTGTCCCCGGACTTTCACCTGGGTATCCTTCCGTCCCATGTAGCGGATCCAACCATTCTCTGTCCACTGAACGAGATCACCCGAACGATATAATCGTCCCGCCGGCGCGGGATGGCGGAATCGCCGAAGCCATGCGGGCGCCTGGATGAACGCCTTGCTGGTCAATTCGGGCTGATTCAGATATCCTCGGGTAACAACCGGGCCCTCAATGAGGAGCTCTCCGACGGAACCCAGCGGCGCCAATCGATCTGGGTTCGAGGGAACTGTAACCCATCCGATGCCACCTAGCATGGGCCCAATGGTACCAATCACCCAGTTCTCCGATGGTGTGATCCTTCCAACGGTACAGATGGTGGTTTCCGCTGGGCCATAGCCATGGACAAGTCTACGATGAGACCATGCTCGCACGTTATCGTACGTAAGTGATTCTCCACCGAGCAGTACCGTCTTCAAGCTGGGAACATCTGCTGGGTCCAAAAGCTTCACAGCAGAAGGGGTCATCACGGCCCAATTAATTTGTTGACGGTTGATAAATCCGATGAGGTCATTAGTTCTCTCACTCTCAGTAGGGATACAGACACAGCCTCCACGGATGAGTGTCGAGAAGACTTCGTATACGCTGATGTCGAAGGCGTAGCTGGCAAAATGCAGAACACGACTGTCGCCATCCAGGAACACGGCGGGCCCATGGTGGTCAATGCTAGTACACAGATTCCGATGCTCCATGATGATTCCCTTCGGAGTTCCAGTACTACCTGATGTGAAAATGATGAAAGCTGCATGTTCTGGTGTTACCACAGGCAAACGATCTACCGTGGGTACGGGGTCGGTGACATCTGACAAGGATGACAAGGCTAGCACCTTCAAAGGGCCAGGCGAACACTCCTCAAGATGCTGTTTGCGAGAAGGTGATGCCAGAGCAAACTCAGAATTCGTGGTAGTGAGCATCTGTCGTACACGGGACACAGGTAAGGTTGGGTCGATATTCACGCATGTCGCCCCGGCTCGCATAATTCCCATCATCCCGACAACAGGCCAAATAGACTTTTCAAAACACAACGCAACAATTGAATTCTTCTGCACGCCAAGGCTAATCAATATCTCAGCGAGACGTTCGGACAGCCTAGACAAGGCCCCAAAAGAGACTGTCTCATGCGATGTTGAGATGGCAAGATCGTTTGGTTTCTTCATGCAGTGCTGCAGAACCATGTCATGGACCGTGAGATCTGTACTCACTGGCAAAGATGAATTCCAGCTGCGAAGTTGGGCCATCTCGTCCTCGCAAATTACCTCAATTTTTGAGATCTCGTGAGCCTGCGTCGTGCAAATCTGGCGGAGCACATGGACGAATTGCGACATGATCCGACTAGTCTGTGCCTCTGAAAGAGCAGCTGTGTCGAAATTCACCTGAATGTCCATGATATTATTTTCACCGGGGAGACCACAAACGATGAGGAGGGGGTAGCTAGCATAGAGCGTGTAGTCAGTGGCGGAAGACGAAAGAGACAAAATCCGAGACCCAGAGCCCTTAGTGTTGTCACTTAGAGGGGGCTGGATTCCAAGGTGGCTTCGAAAGTTACACGCAATGGCAGCTTCCGGGCTTATCTTTCGAATATTTTGGATTCCCGTTTGCTCATACATAATGAGATCAGTGACATGATTCTGAATGGTTGTCAATGCCCTTTCCACAGTGTCATTGGCTTTAACAGACACTCGGAACGGTACTGTTGCCACTGTTGGCCCGGTCATCTCGTCAATCCGGGGGACCGCAGCACCACGACCAAGTACTGTCAACCCAAACACGACATCTTCGCTCTGGGTATATGCGGATACTACGATAGCCCAAGCCAACCGAATAAGGTTTGACACGGTATATCGACTATCATGAGGCAGGTTTATAGGAACAGCGCAGTTCACAGATCCACGCGGGGCTGTTTGATCATCATTGGGGACTGGAGTGGCTGAAGAAGGGAATTCCGCCACCTCAAGACCGTCGAATTCGGAAGTCCAAAATTTGCGTACTGCATCCTCGTCTTGACGAACAAGGCGGGAGATGAAGGGACTGAAATCCTGATATTTCAGTTGCATTCCGTGGTAAGCGTCATCAACCTGCCGCAGGAGATTGGAGATGGACCAGCGGTCGTGAATAGCATGATGCATGCTCAGAACCATTGTTTGAGAGGAGTTTGGCGGAAGTTCCTCATGTTGGGTTGTTGGCGCGCCGTGGTCGCAGGATGAGTTTACTAATGCAAACCTCACCAAGCGTTGGCCAAATGACATGGGGTCCGCGAGATCGTGGGCCAGGTATAGTTCCAGTGATGGAAAGTGAGCGGTTGGGATGGTGGTCCAGGAGATGGACTCGTTTTTTACCACAACTTGAATGCTTCGAACATCCTCTGTGGGGACAATTCTGGTTCGCAGAATGGCATTCGAGTCCACCACACATTGCCAGGCATCTTGTAAACGTTTGACATCAACGCCGGGAGAGAGCGACAGGATTAGTTGAGCTGTGTACATTCCGGTCTTTTGAGCTGTCAAAGCCATAAGCCCTTCCTGGAGGGCAGTCGTTGGATATATATCCTCGACCTCCTCCCTTTTCAATCCGCACAGGGAAAGGGCTTGTTCCCACACCTTCTTCTGTCGATGATGTTCCTTCGGTAACAAGGAAAATGATGCAACAGAACTTGACAAATCGCAGGAATGCGGCGAGGAGGACTCTTTGGCAGTTGTTAAGCGGGCATGTTTGGCAAGATCACACAAAATCGGATGGTTGAATACATCAGCTACCGTAAGGGTAAGATTTTCCTGGCGTGCAGCTGCAACCAATCTCATTGCCGCGATAGAATCTCCACGAAGGCGGAAGAAATCATCATCAGCTCCGATTTGATCAAGATCTAACTTGAGTATCTGGGAATAGAGCGTCTGTAAGGTTATCTCCAATTGAGAGGACATTGGCGTCTTCACAGTGTGTGTTCGACTGTAAAGATTGAGCTCGGTTGAAGAAAGAGCCATCAGGGCATGACGCAGACGAAGTCTGTCTGTTTTACCAGATCGGGATATAGGCACCTCTGAAAGTGGGAAAAAAATGTTCGGCATCATGTAGTTCGGCAATTTGTCTTGCAGACGAGCTCGAGTTTCCGCTACCATACTCTTGAAGTGAACATCATCCCATGGGCCCAGGAGGCTGCTAGACAGCTCGTCCGCCCTTGGAGCCTGGCAACCGACAAAAGCAACAAGGACCGGCTCACTGTCAATTCCGTCAGGCCTGAAGACCTCGGCAATCACATCGGTAGCTCCATCAAAGTTGGACCGAATATGATGTTCCACATCGCTTACTTCCAGTCTTTGCCCGCGAAGTTTCACCTGGGTGTCTTTTCTACCCAAATATAGATACGAGCCATCCGCAGCGACCTGAACTAGATCTCCCGTCCGGTACAGCCGATCACCCTCGGAAGGTTTACTGTCAGGGAACAATGAGAGCCACTTCGGCGGGGGGATGAAGGAGTCTGCGTTTTTCTCGGGGTTATTGATGTAGCCTCGACTCACGACGGTGCCTTGGACGAGCAACTCTCCTACCGCACCAATCGGGACGAGTTGGTTGGGGTCTTCTGGATTGGTGACCCAGAACGCACAACCCTCAGGCCACCCGATGTTACGAGAATCTAAGCCTTTCATAGAGGGTTGAATGCCACAAAAGACAGTACACTCGGCCGGACCGTACCAGTTTGTCAAGCGAACGAAGGGGGTCCAGGTTTCAATGTCTTGTTGATTCATGGCCTCTCCAACAAAGCCCAACGTCTTGACATTTGGAACGTCATTCGGCGAAATAGTCCGCGCCACTGATGGGGTCAGGTATAATGAGTTCACGTTCATCTCCATAGCCACCTGAGCGAGTCGATTCAATCGGTCGGGCTCGGATGGAATGCAGAGGCATCCACCAGCAATCAGGATAGTGAGGTGCTCAAATATACTAACATCAAAACTGTAACCCGAGAACTGAAGCACTCGAGGGTAGCTTAGATGGAAATGTTGCATGTGAATCAAGGCGTTCTGGGCGTATGATCCGTGCTCCACCACAATGCCTTTGGGCTTCCCTGTAGATCCAGAGGTGAAGACTGCGTACAGTGCAGTGGACGGCTTAACTTTGGGGAGATTATGAGATCGTATGTTGTGCCTTGGCCAGGATCTGCTTGCCTTATCTCCAACTAGATGGACGGTGGATGTCAACTGGGCGGCAACGTCGGCATGCTCAGGTAAAGTGATCACAAATCCAGGATGGGAGAGCTGGTTAACGATATCCCTCAAGCGCTGGACAGGGTAGCTGGCATCTAGCAGAACGAAGGCTCCACCAGCCTTAATAACCGCAAGAATAGCGACAGGAGTCCAACGACTTCTAGATAAACATAGCGGCACAAATACGTCAGGTCCCACGCCCTGGGACACAAGAAAGTGAGAAAGTCGAGTTGAGTAAATCCCCAACTCTTGGAATGAGAAATGTCCATCCCAGGAGCAAACGGCGTCTGCGGTCGGTCGGGCCAATATTTGATATTCAATCAAGTCATGGACGGAAAGTTGAGCCTGACCTGGAAGTATCGCGTTCCGACGCGCCATAATACTCAATTCCTTCGGATCAAGTACCTGGGTGTCCCGAAATAGTTCGTCCGGAGCTTGTATTATATGATTAAGCGCAATAACCAATGCCCTGCTCAAGCGATCCGCTTCTTTTAGAGGCACCAAATGTGTCCAATGCTTCAAGGTGGCAAGAACCCTCTCTCGATCCGAGCGTACCTCAACCATAACATCGAACTCTGTGGGATCATGCAGGGCGGCTTGTGTAATTTCAATGGACGATTCCCTCCTTGTCTCAATGTCAGGTGGGAAGGTCAAGCTTGTATTGAAGATTTGGTCACTGTGTGTCAAACCAAGAGAAGCGCGTACATCCATGAGAGGGACGTGTTGATAGGTCAAACTGTCGATAAAGTCGGACTGGATCTGCCGTAAGGCCGTGCGAAGGGTGCTTTTTGGGTCGATCTGGACTCGGCAAACAAGCATGTTTATAAACGGACCGACCGCGTCTTCCAAGTTGGGCAGAGGCAATCCTCGCGCCGACGTCATGTATCCGAAGCAGACATCAGTCGTAACAGCAAATGATCGAAGGACCAAGCTCCAGGCCAGCTTGAACACTGTCGCAAGGGTGATCCCATTATCTTTGCTGAACTGATGATATCTCCCGATATCGCCCAGATCGATAGCCAGCGAGTTCCATTGCCGCTCTTGTACCTCCGGCCCCTTCGAGGATGATAGCAAGCAAGGACTAAACCCGTGCAAGTAGCGACTCCAAAATTCGAGGGCGCCTTGAGCTAAATTCCGACGCTGTGTAGCCACGTATGCGATGTACTTAGAATGAATGACACGAGGCATGCACGCCAGGTTTACTCCATCATATAGTTGCTCGAGATCCCGAGCAATAATGGAAATAGAAAGTCCATCGATGAGCGTGTGGCTGACATCAAGAGAGACAAAGACATCGCCGGTTCCTGACTTGTGGATCGTGAAGATGGGCAAGTCTAGCTGTGCGGGAGAGCTATTAGTGGTGGGCCTGATAGTAGCCATTTGTTTGGGGTCAACAGAATTGCACCGCAGTATATTCACATGTGGCTTGGCTTCCTTTGGCAGTGTAATCTGCATGGCATAGCCCTTCAGGTCTGTTCCCTCTATCAGTTGTGTCCGAAGCATAGGATGTAGCTCGATCAGTTGATTACATGCTTCCTGCAGGCGTTCGGCATCTACACGATATGGTTTCGTCCTTGATTTCACTAGCCAGATGACCCGAAGTTGATAGTATTCGGGAGTTTGTGCCTGGCTCAGCAATATCCCTTCTTGGATGGGGGAACACGGGTAAATTTCCTCGATCTTTCCAATTCCCGGAAGTGTTTGCATGTCTAAATCCGCATACTCGGCATTCTCTATTGATGAATCATCACCAGAGGTGAAGGACGTTTGAGCAATGGCGACAAGGTTTGCAATAGTCTCAGCTCGCATGACGTCCGCCACGGTAAATGCCAGGGAATGTTCCCGGCTAGCTTGAACTAGGCGCATAGCTTTAATTGAATCACCACCGAGCCGGAGGAAGCTCTGGTGAATGCCAAATATGTCTGCGTCAATTCCGAGGACAGAACAGAATAGGCCGTGCAGGATGATTTCAGATGGATTCACAGGCGGAACCATTTCGACCGCTACCTCGCAGCTGGAGAAGAATTCCAATTGCAGTCGGGTGAGCTTGTTCGCTGAAGATCGCAATACCCTGCGATCGATTTTCCCAGTAATTGTCAACGGGACATATGCTAGCTCGATATAGACAGTTGGAACCATATGGTCAGGTAAAGCTTGTGGAAGGTGGGCTCGTAAGTTTGTTGCATCAGACAGGAGGTTATCAGTTCGAACAAACATGGCGCCACTGTCCTGCTTTTGAGCTCCATGGGCGTCCTTTTTGTAGTGCAGGAAAAGGGCCAAGACGGAGGTCTCATCTCCGCCTGCAGGAACCACAGCTTCGGCCACTACGCGATTGATATTGGAAGACGAACAGCGGCTACCTGCGGCATCCTCGACTTCACTTAGTTCCACACGCTTTCCTCGAATCTTGGCCTGGGTGCCTTTGCGACCAACGTATCGAATACTTCCATCGGGGAGATATTGCACGAGGTCCCCCGTTTTGTACATCCTTGTGGAATGCAGGTGTCGGGGCTTCTGACTCGAACGCTTCAACCAGCAAGGTGATTCGATGATGGCCGCTGCGGTTTTTTCTGGATTGTTCAGATAACCTCTGGTAATACTCGGGCCTTCGATCAGCAACTCGCCGATAGCTCCGATTGGTGACAATCTCTGATCGTTGTGCGGGTCTACAAGCCACAAATTCGGCGTCGTGGAGATTAACCCGACATGTTGCAGATCTGCACATGGAGGAATCTGAGGAGTCACTGCACAAATTCCAGACCACTCTGAGAGCCCGTAACATTGATGGAGGCACAAGTCTTTTGCCCATATATCAACATGACGCTGTGTCATAGGCTCTCCGGCCATAAAAAGCGTTTTCAGGGTTGGGACCACCGAGGGCCCAATGAGTGAATTTGACGTGGACGGCGTCATGAGAGCCCAGTTAACCCTCGTCTTGTCAATGTAATCGGCGAGATTGTTCATCCGATCGTCGCTCGAAGGAATACAAACAGTCCCACCTGCAGTCAGGGTGCAATAAATCTCGATCACCGATACGGCGAACGTGTAGGATGCGAATTGTAGGACTCTGCTTGTGGGAGAGATGTGGAGGGCATTGTTATGTCGAACAATATCCGCCAACGCCTGGTGCTGCATAACACATCCTTTTGGCTTGGCCGTGCTTCCCGAGGTAAAGAGAATATAGGCAGTGGCCTCTGGATCCACGGGAGGGATGGCCGCCATTGGTGGTATTTTGTTCTGCTGCTGGGCAAGAGGGGGGATAGGAAATGCTTCGATAGAGAGAACAAGTACTGGAATTCCTATTTCAGCGGACAGTAGTGCTGGCTTTTGTTTCGCGGAGGCGATGACCAGTTGAGCCCGAGTCTCCTGGACTGTGGACTTCCACCAACTTGGTGGCTGCGAAGGGTCCATAGGAACAAACGCGCCATTGGCCTTGAGGACACTGATCTCAGCCACAACTGCCCAGACAGACTTCTCTATACAAACAGGTATAAGGCAGTCTGTACCGACTCCCAGCTGTCGCAGCTCGATGGCAATATCTGTCGTCAGCTTGTCAAGCTGCGCATAAGTGAGCTTCCCATCCCAGGCGTCAATAGCTAGGTGTTGTGGAAATTGAATGCACTGTTGGCTGATGAGGTGGGTGATAGATTGATGATGTGAATGATTTTGGCCTTGCGCGTTCCACTCCACCACTTTCTTCAAGTCTGCCGGACTCAGGAATGGCACATCCCTGACTGCTTGCTGCGCGGGAGCCTTCACAATCTGCTCAATGAGGTGCATAATTGTGGATAACATGGACGGAGCATGATTGTTTGCTGATGCGATACCATCGCAATACAGCGACATTGACATATCGGCATGATTGGAACCAACTTCCACTAGCAGTCCCAATTCCACTTGCTGCAAAAGCTCCGGAAGCTCCAACAGGCTCCCTTTTGACCTTGGCGCTATCCATAGTGCATACTTTGGGGGGCTGTCGATATCGAGTACAGTGCTCTCCTTTGCTTGACCGTAAAGGTCCTCCAATTTGGTGTCCGGTGTAATTATGATTTGCCGGTATTCATTGGAAGACCGAGTGTCAAACGAGTCACCCGCCGCTAGAGCAACCGCCTCATTCCCAGTATAGGATTGTAGCAAGATTGACAAGACAGTAGTAAAGAACGTAGACAAGGTAATGTCTTGGCTATTGCAGAAATCCCCGATGAACTGGGCGTTCTGGAGGTGATGCGAATAGGTTTCGCGTGAAATAGACGGTTCAATCATAGCTTCGAAAATTGGCAGGTAGTGATTTTCTCGTTGGCAGTTCTGACAATAACAAGCTCTGGATCTTACATCCAATATACCGCAGCTGTGAAATCCTTGATTGTATTGTGACTTGGGGGGAGGAGGTCATTTTCTCATCGAACCCAGCCAACAATCCATCGGAGATTTCTCAGCGTCAGCACCCTTGCAGTATACATTGTGCAGCCCAATTAACACTATCGGTTAAGTGCATCGGGCTATTGCTCGACGGGGGGGGCAATCCGATGATGTGTTGGGGAGGGGGTGGAGCAGATGTCCACGACGCGAATTCTACCACATAACACCTTTCCTGCAGCCGGGCCTGTCAAGCTGTGGGGCTATCGTATTGCTGCAACAGATCTACCCCCCCTTGCATGATTGTAATGAGCGTAGTGTCATACGTACGTGGGTCGATGTATGATACTGAATCCCTACGTGCATTTGATGTTTCTGATTTACTCTGGCAACCCGGTGGTAAAGATCAGCAGATTCCCAAAAGCAAGGGAGATCGGCCTAGGATCAATATGTATACAAAATCAAGAATCATCTTAGTTCTCACTAAAGAAACAACCAAAGTTTACACCGTCTTAGGACATACGCCATCCTCCAAATCGCATCGAAGTGAAACAACAGGCTATTTATGAACACCATGGCGGTGACACCTGCGGAAATCCTGATACCTGACATTTCCCTGGCTCACAAAGGCAAAGAAACATTGATATATGATATCAAACAGGTTCAGAAAGTCGAACAATCCCAATGCAATGTCCGACAACAACTCCTGGATGGCCTTATGGATCCGATATCCCCTTCTATTCCATCCATCCTTCTCTGGGACGACATCGGCCTAAAGCTTTTTGAGACACTCACTCTCAATCCTCGATATGCACCATTTCATTCGGAGTTAGGCATTCTAAATCAACGGGTGGAAGAGATGGTAGACATAATTCCCTCGGGTAGTCTCCTTATTGAACTGGGTTGCGGGTTAGGTCCAATTCTATCTTTTTCTCCATGAATACACCCTTACTTACTCAACCTTCTTACAGGAGTCTACACAAAACCAGTATCATCCTATCTGCGTTCGAGCGCCAGAAACGATACGTTACTTACTATGCTCTGGATGTCTCCCGTCGCGAACTGGTCGAAGGCTTAGGCAAGCTAAGGGCCCTCTTCGGGCAGTCAAAGTATGTGAAGCTGCGAGGTCTCCTGGGATCTTACGAGGATGGAATCGGTTGGTTGTCGCAGTATGTGACGACTGGCAATGGTCATGATGAGGGCGATGACGGTGCTGGTCCAAAGATGGTCACGTTTCTTTGGGTTGGGAACAGTATCGCCAACTTTGCTCCCGACGACGCAGCAGTGCTTTTGCAGGGGTTTTCGGTGATGTGCGAAAGCCTAAATCTCTCGTGCCAATTCCTTGTTGGGGTGCATACTTGCCAGGATGAGGCAAAGGTCCTAGCTAGCTATGATTCTACGGAACCTGCGCTGTGTGATTTTATCTTCCATGGATTGGATCAAGCCAATCAACATCTGCAAGAGGAGGTATTTCGCAGGGGAGATTGGATATGTCGTTGCGAGTTCGATTCAACAGATCATATGCTTCGCGTTTACTACGAAGCTGCACGAGAGGTGCGAATCGAGCTTGGCGGCGATCATGAGCGGGTCTTCAACTGTGGAGACCGAATCCTAGCCATTGTCAGTGGTAAATGGACTGTTGAAGATATCCAGCAGATGTGTGGTGGAGTGGGACTGGAGGTTTCTCGCAGTTGGAGGTCTGTTGACTATGAATGTGGTGAGTTAGGCGGCGTACTATCATTTCATTTGATTCACTACTGATTGATCCCATCTGTTCTCTTCCAGAATTTCATGCTATTCGACCTCAATGATCTGCAGGGCTAGTGCTTGTTGGCTTTCTATCTTCAGCTAACGCATTGAAAGAAACGGAGCAGGATGCAGGGTTTCCCGTCCTGCCAGACCATGCAGCAAACGATTATAGAAATTCAAGTTCTTGGTCCATTCTTTATATCTTTTATCGTTGGGTCATTTATCACCCTGTAGCGGTTATACTGCCCCGGCATAAGTATTGAACAAACAGGTGTTCAGGTAGACTTGTGCAATTTATTCAAGCATTTAACAAGATCGAATATATTCTATCATTTATGAATACCGACATGTTGTGATTATAAGCATTGTTCTGGCAATGGAAGTGATCATACTTAGTAGATAGTTCAGATTGCATTCAAACCTAATTTAAACTTTTGCCATCCTCTTCATATCTATCACAAGGGTGCAAATAATGGTAATTGCTTTTCGTAATCGTGCAGTTTGGTACGCCTGACGGAATGTGCTAACTATGGCTAGATGTCCATGATTAGGTTTTGGATATCAGTCGATAGGACCTTGCGAACTCCTTTTCTCGGACTCAGTAAGGAACAGGATGCATACACCGATGGGTCCACATTCCTCCTACTCATCATCTGTTGAAAATTCAAACCTACGACGGGACGCACGTCGCGTTTTAACGGGGATATATTCGGAAGGGGAGAAAACCAGGAACAAAACATAGCAAAGGCCGATCAGGGTTGCATCTCCACATTGTCAGTGCATACAATTTAAAACACTCAATTCGACTCGTTACGCCCCCAAATCTTGATGCACTCTGTCTTTCGTGTGATTTATATATTTGATCAGCATGCATGATACTTAGATATATCAGACTTCGTCGATCAGCTATTACGTGATATCTGCAAGATAACCCTTACCGACTAACCCCTACTCATCACAATAGATCTAGCTGTTGATCTTTGGATATCGGTTTTTCTTTTTTTTTTCCGGCCGCTCTTCTTTTTAACCAGTTGAGACCCACATGGACTCTTACCATCCTGATATTTGACAAACATCCGTTGTTGACGACATCATGTCTGCAGATCTTCATTGTCACATTGTGCTTGAAAATTGGAAGAAATTACAACAGTTAACTAGTCCAGTCGACAAGAGTACTGTGGTGGTGCGAGGAAAGAAGTTGACCTTGGCGGATGTGGTCGCGGTAGCTCGGCATGGAACCGCAGCTTTCATCGACAAAACGCCAGAACTGCGGGAAGAGGTGGATAAAAGTGTTGGTTTCCTGAGACAATGTGTCGAGAAAGGCGAGGTTCTATATGGTATGTAAAGTTCTGCTGTATGATTCTCACTTACAACCAGTGATCTGATTCTGATCAAATTGGCACCGTTTAGGCATTAACACTGGGTTTGGAGGAAGTGCCAACACACAAACCAGTGATACTAGGAACCTTCAAGTCTCTCTAATGCAGATGCAACAATATGGCATTTTATGCAATGGTGAGGGTCAATATCCTGAACCAGGAGACTCAACAGCCGTCACCGAAATGCCCGAGCCATGGGTGCGCGCATCGATGTTGGTCCGGTGCAACACTCTTGTACGGGGTCATTCTGGGGTTCGATTTGAGATCATTGAAGCGATAGTTGAGCTTCTCAACCAGGGATTCACTCCACTCGTGCCCTTACGAGGCAGTATCTCCGCTTCTGGCGATTTGAGTCCTCTGTCCTACATTGCCGGCGTCTTAGAAGGCAATCCAAAGCTCCTGCTCCGGACACCGATAAGGAAGGGAAATCTATGCAAGGAACATGGGCCACGAGAGCTCATTTCCTCGGATAGACTTCTGGCCCAGATCGGCATCCAGCCCGTATGCTTCGGCCCCAAAGAGGGTCTGGGCTTGGTCAATGGAACAGCGGTCTCTGCAGCTGTGGCTGCCATTGGGCTCCATGAAACGCATAATCTGGCAGTAATGTCACAGGTCTTGACTGCTATGGCAGTGGAGGTCATGTCTGGGAACCCCGAGAGTTTCGATCCCTTCATTGCCCAGGTTCGTCCCCACGAGGGCCAGATCGAATGTTCCGCCAACATCAGCAAATTTTTGCAAGGGTCACGACTCACGCAGGTAGTTCATTCATCTGAAAACCTGAGTATGGGCTCTTCTACTTCACTCCGTCAGGATCGCTATCCAGTCCGCACGGCGCCCCAATGGATCGGCCCATTGCTCGAAGATCTTAAACTGGCTCATAGCCAAGTGACCGTTGAGCTCAATGCGACTACCGATAACCCTCTGATTGACGTGGAGGGACGCAGAATACTGCATGGGGGAAACTTCCAGGCCATGTCCGTAACTGTTGCCATGGACAAAGCCCGCTCGGCTCTACAGCTCATGGGGAAAATGCTGTTTGCCCAATGCACAGAAATTATCAGCCCTGATCTCAACAATGGTCTACCGCCGAATCTAAGTTTCGATGAGCCTAGCCTGTCATATTGCCTGAAGGGAGTTGATATTGGTATGGCTGCCTATACCTCCGAGTTGGGCTTCCTCGCCCACCCGGTAGGTCCAAACGTGCAGTCGGCCGAGATGTCCAACCAGGCCATCAACTCGTTAGCGCTTGTTTCAGCTCGGTACACACAGACAGCGGTTGATGTATTCTCCATGCTCGCTGCCTCTTATATCTACGTGCTTTGCCAGGGGCTGGATCTCAGAGTACTGCAGCTGGAATTTCACGACGCCCTGCGCCCCGTCGTAGAATCCATCACCAACCGCGCATACAGCCAATTCTTAACCACGCCTACTGCTTGCAAAGACCTCCAATCGCTACTCTGGGCCCATATTACCGGTGCTCTCAAATCAGCGTCGTCCAGTACAAAGGACTCACAACCCCGATTCGCCATGATCGCTGAGTCGGCCCAGTCGGTGGTGGTGACGTTCTTCGCCTCTCGTCCTGGGGTGGTAACTGGATACTCTCCGCAGATGTCTACTATCCATGCCTGGGCTAAGGATCTGGCAACGGCCATGACTGAGGCTTTCCATAGTAGTCAACTTCTGTTGGTCAGCCCACAGTGCCCGACATCGACATACCTGGGCTCAGCGGCACGCATCATGTATACATATGTGCGCAGCACCCTGAAGATCCCTCTGAACCGAGGCCTTGTCGACCACCCGACCCCCAATCCCACGAGAAAATCAATAAACACCGAATCGGATCCGCGGACTTCTACGAACGCGGACACCCAGGGAATTGGTGCATATATTACTAGAATATATGAAGCATTGCGCTCCGATGCCTTGATGGTTCCAGTCATGGAGTGCCTGGTCCAAGGCAAACAAAACGGGCATTGAAAATGAGTTATTTAGTTCATCTGCAGTATTGACTTTGTTCTTTTTTTTTTTTTTTCATATTTCCTCTATTCACTCTGATGACAGAGACAACCTACGTCGTTCACTGTGATTTTCCACTGCTTCATCTACCCTGTTAATATATAGTTCACCTATATTCCCGACATCGTAGAATTCTATAAACAAAAAAATGCGAATTGGAGTGGACAAGGACTTCAAGCAGTATCAAGAATGCCATGAAAATGGCAATAATGACAGATTACGACTGTTTATTTTCCCTGCCATCTATATCCATTTTGTTGTCACAAATATAAGTCATGAAAGCCCTGGTATTACCGGTGATATTGCCTCTCCTGTCTTGATCTTAGCGGCGTGGAACTGACGTCACACTGGGTGCAGGGCAAGAAGTTCATTGTATTCCAATTATCAAAATATAGTGCAATACTGCAGGCACATCAGCCGATCCATTCCGGGTTCTGCAGGAGCTGATCGTACCCATTATTCTCCTGCAGGCGCATGCTGATCTACCCCTCCAGCAGGCCTACCCCTGGGCGGCAAGGGATAAGATGATATTCTTTCAATTACTCAGATGGAAGCAACCTTGGAACATCGCCTCGATATATAAGCCCCTCCATTATTACGGTAGAAATTCTTTTGTTAGCGACAACCCGTTGAGGACCGAGACCGATGAACACGACAGTCAATCCCAAGAATGATGGACAACAATCGGCGGGACAATCAAATTCCCCCCCAACCGCAGTCACCGGAAGAGCTGGCAGAGGATGAATTGGTAGAGAAACTTGAACTCCCTCGCTGGCACTCAATATCTTTGACAATCTCTCTGATGCTGACACTTTTCTGTGTGTCACTGGTAAGATTCAGTTCTTTCTCCTCTCTGGCCTAGAAATAACATGGTTGCGCTTCAGGATACCACCGTGCTTGCTACTGCTATTCCAAAGATAACCACGCAATTCCATTCTCTAGACGATGTAGCTTGGTATGGAAGCTCATATCTTTTTACTACATGCGCCGTGCAGTTACAGTTCGGCAAAATCTATTCTCTGTTCACCACCAAATGGGTGTTCATTTGGTCGCTGTTCGTATTTGAGATTGGCTCTCTTCTCTGCGCAGCGGCCCCCAACTCAGTCGCCCTCATTGTCGGACGAAGCATCGCAGGCTTAGGGTGTGCGGGTATCAGCTTGGGGTCATTTGTCGTCATGACCCAGCTGGTGCCCTTACGCTACCGACCGATCTATACCAGCCTGTTGACATCGATGCATGGGATAGCCAGTGTAGCGGGTCCCCTGTAAGCTCTATCATGGAAGGGCCAGCTAATGGCATACAAGATTCGAACGCTAATCACATAGCAGACTGGGGGGTGTTTTTACGGATTTCTCTACCTGGCGGTGGTGTTTCTATATCAACCTACCTATGGGAGCAATTGCCCTCGCGTGCATTATTGCTTTCATGCCGGTATTGCCGCCTGCCGAGCGACGCGACTTGAACTGGAAAGAAATATTTCAACAACTTGATCCTATTGGAACAGTTGTACTCGTTCCTGCGGTAATTTCTCTGCTGTTGGCCATACAATGGGGAGGAACAAAGTATGCATGGGACGATGGTCGTATCATTGCCCTCTTTGTCCTGTCCGGGGTGCTTACTATAACCTTCTTTACCATTCAGCTATGGAGGAAGGGCAAAGCTACTATCCCTCTGTCTATTGCTAAAGACCACAATATCCTTGGAGCTATATGGTTTTCCGTTTGCGTTGGTTGCACCCTGACCGTCTTCACCTATTATGTATGCCCGCTGTTCTAATTTATGCCACCTGACCCTGCTGACTCCGACAGCTTCCGATCTGGTTCCAAGCTGTGAAAGGTGTTTCTGCCACGAAGTCCGGTATTATGAATCTCCCTATGATTCTTGGTCTCGTCATCGTCTCCCTTATCGCCGGTGCCCTCACTTCATGGATTGGATACTACACTCCACTCCTTATAGTGTCCGCCATCATCACGCCGGTAGGTGCTGGCATGCTCACTACACTGGAAGTTGATTCTGGTATTGGATACTGGTTTGGATATCAAGTCCTCATGGTGGTTGGCCTGGGCATAGGTGTCCAGACTGTGATGCTTGTCCCACAAGTCACGGTCCCTATGAAAGATATGCCCATAGCTACCACCCTCTTGATATTCGGGCAGACTTTGGCAGGGGCAATCTTTCTGCCCGTTTCCCAGTCAGTCTTCCAGAATCAGTTGGTCTCCAACCTCCATCGATACGCCCCAAAGGCAAACTCCAGCGATATTATTGCAGGTGGTGTAACTGAACTGCGCAGAATCGTTTCCTCTGAGCAGTTGCCGTCTGTTTTGAAGGCGTACAACAACGCGCTCACTCAAGCCTTCTATGTAGCTGTTGCCATGTCTTCACTGTCCTTTTTTGGGTGTGTCTGGTTGGACTGGATCTCTTTGAAGAGCCCTAAGAATGCAGCAGAGTTGTCACTACCAGACACACCTACTATTGAATTGTCTACTCAGAGGTAGGGATACTTTATTTTTATAGCATAACTATTATAACTACAGATCACGCAATTCCATCTAAGAATTCAATGCGATACTTCTCTCTTACTAGTACTATGCTACTTTTCTTATATAATTCATACAACCACTCTGCGTAACTATTCCCTTATAAGATACAAGATAAAAAGCCCTAGAAATAAAAATACAACAGTGGTTCTAGGCTTTGGGGGTTGAATTTCTTAATCTTTGTACCAAATTGACACGCTGATTCCGGGACCGGATGAATGGTGGACAGAGAATTTGGGGTCTGTGGGCTTCGAGAATGAGAAATTTGGGAGAATCAGTGGGGTCCAAGAATTCAGGAACTCAAGATAACCATCCAAGGTTATTTATTTAAATCATTTGGGGGTCCACCGCTATCTTTATTCGTTTGCTCATGTGTATAGACCTCATTGATTGTGGTCCTAGTGGTTGGTGGGAATTCAAAGCTTCTTTCTCTCATCATGCTAGTGGCGATCATGCTAGTGGCGAATTTCCTAAAGAATTCCTGTATTCGTCTTGACTAGGTATAACCATTTCTCCGATCCGATCGTTCATTCCTCTTGCATCTGCTCCTAGGACTAATACGTACTTGTCGGAGATAAGTAACTTTTCACTATAACGAGATCCTATGCGTGGCAGCACCGCCCGCTTAATTTCGTTGTTACTATGCTCCCCGAAATCCACGACATTTGCTATATATTTCAACGTTAGGCTATGCTTAATACACATCTTGCTCGAAACAAAGCGAGGTTTGGGTGATGAAAACGGAGGTGAAAAGGAAACTTGTAGCTTTTTAGTCATAATAGAAAATGTACCTTTTGCTTTATGGGATGAATATTCGCGTGAAGAATATTCAGGTGGGTGAATATCCGCCCTTAGTGGTGCAGCAGCGAACTAAAAAATCGCTAGATAGGTGCTGCGAGTTTATCACAAGTCCTGGCTTGATCTACTGCTAAGTGTTGGACCATCTTGACCTCCGCAGAGCCCACAAAGCCCAAAGCCCAAAGCCCAACCTGGGCCCACCGATGGGCTCTGGGCCTAGGGTAGAAGCCTACTGAGCTTTTATGGGGACCTAATGGGCCCCGAACTGTGTAAACATGCCAAGAAATCGAGGTGCCAAGTGAAGTTAAACCCCCTTTTTAATTTTGTTTAATTACCTTATGTTTAGCACCGTTCCTAACAATGATACCTAAGGTAATATTTTATTAATTTAAACAATTTAGAGTCAATTGCTAGTTATATTTCTATATTACGTTTAAAAACCGAGAAAACGCGTTGACTTAGATAATTTGAAAATTACTGAGGCTTACCTAGAAAGTGGTAGCACTCTCATACAAATCCGAGATATATATCTAGTATTAAAACATCAACTTTTACCTTTTCTGCGATATCTCGACTTTGTCGGGATTCCCTGTAACATGTATTTATACACTGTCGTCGTCATGATTTGGTTCTGCCGTGTGTCACAAAATACTAAATCGAGTACATGGTGGAAACAGAGTAAAATCTCGACTTAGTATTCGACACGTGTATATATCCGAGTGGCTAGTTAAATGGTCTCATATAATCTTACAGGTGGCGCGGCCTGAGTTCCCGTCTGGATTACACACTTCATGGCTTCTCCACTGACGCCATGATGATGATGATCCCAGTCATACGGATATATAACCCGCTTGTTCTTCAGTCTCTAAGGTCCTCTCCAGATTCATCGCCAATAACACTACAAACACTCCTACACATACTATTAGTATTTTCCAATTTCATTTGACAATTTTCATCATGGGTTGTGGTTGCGGATCTACTTGCAGCTGCACTGGCGGTGCCCAAACCTGCACATGTGGCGACAAATGTAACTGCGAGGGATGCGGAGTATGTAATATCCCCATGATGTGTCAGGTGTGAAGGCTAACTAGACATGCCTACTTTTAGAAGTAAACAGTTTCTTCACGACTCCCATCTTCCAATACTACAACACCTTTATTTTTATTTTTATTTTTATTTTTATTTTCCCTTTCAAAGGCGGATGATGGATATGGTGACAATTTGATGAAATAAGTGAAGCTTTTGAGCACCAAAAATAAATGGAACCTATATTTCGAGAAATCAAATTGCATGTCTCGAATCAATAATTATTTCTCTGTTAAGTAGTCTTTTCTATGACATATAGACCTCATCGTTTCCCTTGCAACACTGCCTCGGAAGCTTTAAGCGCTCCTGTGATACTAAAACATACAAATGGCGACAAGGCATACATGATCTATAGATATAGTTAGCAAAATGTCTTTTTCCCTAATAAAGTCACCACTACACACCGTCAACGTCTGTGCAATAACCATTTTTTCCATCTCAGACGCCTGCGCCAATTCCGCCAACCCAGAAATCACCAACGCGGGTGGACCAACTGGCATCAACATCATACTAAACCAGAGCATTGGATCGTCACCAAGGAGCCAAGTCCTCTTAGCCAATCCATAAATCAATGAAACACTCAGGGCCGGCCAGACCACCAACCGAACGAGAAAGATAGTCGTGATAGCCTTGACAGGGATTCGGCTCGAATGCCCTTCTGCAACCATCCGCTCGAACGTGATTCCAAGCTTACACCCAACCATGAAGATCTGCAGCGTTGTAAACAGCCCGCCGATATTCCTGATACTCGCCGTCAGCCACGCATTGAATATCCCGCCATCTTCCTCATTGAAGAAGAATGCTCGGTGTAAAGAGGGGACCAATCCCAGCACTGCGCCGACAATGGTGCAGAGTATCGCCATGTCCGCGAATGGTGATTCGAAGGGTGCGAGGAGTTCCTGCTTGACTCGGTGGGCGAATAATGAGCCTAGCCAGTGCGTCAATCGCCGGATGAGGTTCTTGGCTGATGTTCGTGCTTCTTGGGCGCGCTGGGGAAGTAGTGATGTTTCTTCAGTGAGTTGCTCATCCTCTGCCAGCATGCTTGGGGTGTGATGTCGCTCCTCTGGGGTGCTAAGACTATCCTCGCGATCTTGCAACATCTTTGGTCCGACGATATATGCGATGGTTTTGCTGATCACGCCGCAGACAAGAAAATAACTCTGAGCACGGTCGATCGCTGATGATGTGGTTTCGCCATGTCGCAGGATCAGCTTCAGACTTCCTACACTCTCTAGGGAGTGGAGGAGTAACAAAGGTAGAGATGTAGTGTTGTTGAACGAACAAGTTGGTATAATCCATTGCGGTAGGCCAAGCAGACGCGACAAGAAATGACCAAGTCCGATCGATGCAGTTGTGTAGAGGACTGACCAGACTAGTAACGGCAGATAGATGCGATAAGTCAGTCATGCCCGGTTCATCAGGGGTTGACATGATATACTTATAACTGGAATATAGTTCATTGCTGTCCCAAGATGAAGCTGTTCGCCCAGATGCACGATGAGTAGTGCTGGTAGGAGGAGTTTCACGCCTAATCCCAGCATGTCATTGATTGTAGTCTCGTGGATCAAATTGAGTCGACGAGCAGCAAAACCGTAGCACATTGTCAACAGCACAGAAATGCAGGCCTGTAGTGCACCCAGGAAGGGTGTTACTAAACCCTGGCTGGGCATTTTGTTTTAGATAGCTGACGCTTTTAGCTACTCATGTTGTGATAAAAGAAGAGTTAATGGGCTGTGACGTCATAGTGATCAAGTTCAACTTAGGAATACTATATTTTCACCATTTTACCCTGCGGTATAGAAGCCCTACAAACGACTGTTCTTGTCATATATATATCATTCTCACCAGACAACATTCGGGCCTTCGGGATAATTCACCACCGAGCACGGGAATTCTCCATGGGGTTCTATAAAGGGGATAGTAGCCCTGGCTCTACTTGTCCAGGATCTTCAATTGATTCACGTTAAGCTTGAAATTTCTATAACAACTCAATGCTGCACATTCATGCCATAATTGTCTAAACAATTACAACACTACAGAGCACAGGGGTAAGATGTGAAGCGGGAATAAGCATCACCCATGGACCCCACATTGCGAGAACAAATAAAGCCGCATAAGTACTATAGAAAGTGGAATTATTTCGTTCTTTACCTTTTTTACTTAGTTCTTTAAAGGGCTATGCAATAATATTCTGATGAAATAGAGATAGACGATGTACTATAGCACTATAATAAACCAATAGTTGGTTTGTTTTATAGAAGCAGCTTACGAAGATGTTATAAGTGGTTCGTGGGTTAAATACCCCCTAGTAGGCAGGCATAGGTCTCCTTTGAGCCCGGGGTACGTACATTCTAAGTTAAGCGCATGGTATATTCACCTCTAGTAAATTGTTCCAACATGGGCATCCCTCGCAGCATCCTCGTCATCGAAGCCGGTGAACTAGGCACATATATTCTAAGAGCCCCAGCCCACCATCCTCACAGGTACGATACAACCATCTCAACCCTACTTCGGGAGAGCTCTCATAATGCCAAAGAGCCGAGCAAAGCGGATCGCATCGAGAGCTTCCGCAAACTAGGAATTACCTTTACTCCTAGCGACCTCACCCTCGACTCCAAAGGCAAACTCACCTCAATCTTGATTTGCGAAAGAATATAATTGTGGGGAACATTTGTCGGTCCTTTTTGCACAAGAGAGAGGAAGGGGGGTGCGGGGGGTTCCTCTTTGATTCCCAGGATCCTTGGAGACGACTACTTTTAGAGATTTTGCTCAAGAGCACCTCCGGATTTGGGTTGACCTTTTGACCACTCTTGTCCATTGTCCATTGTCCAGGAATGTATATTATAAACGAGGTCCAAGTAAACTATGGTGTTAGCTGTAATACATCCTGTATACGAACCAACTGGTCTATAGAAGAAAATAAGAGAAAATTTGAACATCTCTAACAATATCTATACCCCCACAGTGAAGTGAAGTCCAAGATACAAATGTGGGGGGCCTCGGGTAATCGGTCGGAGTAAGGCCGAGTTGTCCCCTTCATGAAGAACATAAAGAACATTAAAAAGAATAGATTCTCTTTCTACTCTTCATTACTATTAAAAAATTTCTTCTCTGTTTTCAATAAATGTCTTCCATCACCCTCCGCTCCGCCCTACAAACCATACCAGTGGCATAACGTATTTCACAAGCGAGCCGCCCACACAAGCGAGCCGCCCACCCCAACCAAAACGCGTCCATAGATTAGCACTTAGTCAATTCAACCACCTACCATGCCACCAATTCGATCCCGAAGCTCTAAAGATTCAATAGAGCAAGAGGGTAGGATCTTACTAGCTATCCAGGCTTTTAAGAATCGAGAAATCTCTTCAATTCGTGAAATAGCACGCCGCTTTGATATACCACGTACAACCTTACGCGACCGCCTATCCGGCTGTACTCAACGAAGTACTACACGCGCTAATTCATTTAAATTGACCCAAATTGAAGAGGATTCTCTTGAAAAATGGATTCTCTCTATGGATCTACGTGGAGCAGCCCCCCGGCCCTCTATGGTACGAGAAATGGCCGATCTTCTTCTTCAAAAGCGTGGAACTACCCCGGTTCTTTCGGTCGGCCAAAATTGGGTTACGAACTTTGTTAAAAGGCGTCCTCTCCTCTCCTCCCAATTCTCGAAACGGTATAACTACGAGCGTGCGAAATGTGAAGATCCTAAAATCATTATGGAGTGGTTTAATCTGGTTCAAAAGACAATCCTTCAATATGGAATCGATTCCGACGATATCTATAACTTTGACGAGACCGGCTTCGCAATGGGATTAACTGCAACTACAAAGGTTATTACGAGGAGTGAATACTACGGTCGGAGGCCGGTTTTACAACCTGGAAATCGTGAATGGGTGACTACAATTGAATGTATAAATGCTTCTGGATGGGTGCTTCCTCCGTGTATAATCTTTAAAGGCAAAGTCTTTATTGAATCATGGTTCGACGGCCTCCCGGAGGATTGGCGTCTTGAAGTTAGTCCTAATGGCTGGACTTCCGATGAAATTAGCCTTCGTTGGCTTGAAAAGCTCTTTATTCCTAGTACTATACGTACGAAGGGGGTATACCGGCTCTTAATACTTGACGGCCACGGAAGTCATTTAACACCTAAATTTGATGAACTTTGTGAGCAAAATAAGGTGATACCAATCTGTATGCCAGCTCATTCATCTCATCTTTTACAACCTCTTGATATTGGTTGTTTTGCGGTGTTAAAACGTACGTACGGTCGGATGGTTGAAATCAAGATGCGGAATAGGATCAACTATATTGATAAACTTGACTTCCTCGAAGCATACCCCCACGCACGAATTGAAGCTTTTAAATCGGAGACGATTAAAAATAGCTTCGCAGCAGCCGGTTTAGTACCATTTGGACCCGACCGAGTGATTTCAAAGCTCAATATCCGGCTCCGAACCCCGACCCCCCCTACCAGCCGGGGTAGTGAATCAAGCCGGAATTTTACCCCAAAAACCCCTTTTACAGAGAAAGACCTACGTCGACAAGCTTCATCAATTAAAGCTTTACTTCGTACAAGATCTCGAAGCCCGCCTAGCCCGTCAGATCGTGCATTAAACCAGCTTGTGAAAGGCTTCCGTCTTACAATGCAAGGTGCTATCTTACTCGCTAAAGAAAACAAGGAATTACGCGCCGCCAACGAGAAGCAGAAGCAAAAGCGTACTAGATCCCGGAGGCAGATACCTACAGAAGAAGGCCTCTTAGTACAAGAAGCTTCTCAATTGATTCCTGAGCTAGTGGAAGCAGATGAAGCACCCCATGCCGGTGCCGGCATACATGAAGAACCGGCTTTAGAACCACGTACGCGGGCTACACCAAGGTGTAGTGGGTGCAGATCAACTGAGCATAGATTTAATAGATGCCCAGCTAGATAGATTTATTTTAGTATATTCAATTTAATGGAGTTATGGTTGACATATATATGATTGAAATTAGTAGGTTGGTTGGGGTGGGCGGCTCGCTTGTGTGGGCGGCTCGCTTGTGAAATACGTTACGGCTTCTGGTTGACGTAAGCTTATCCCCCGCATTTGGACAGGGGCCCCATCAGCTCCCCGCTGTTCTTCAGTTGAACCTCCAAGGTTCTCTATCCAAAATATAAAAAAAAATTAATTGACCTCCCATTACAGCCTCCCCAGTGCCCCCGTTGCAAAGACGATCCTCCGCCGTAGCCCCGAGTTCACAGAAGGTGGATTCAGCTGGGTCTTAATTGACGCCGAACATGGATTGATTAACGATGGCCACTATTACGAGGTTTGTCCCCCAATCACTGAATTGAACTCCATAATTCAATTATTAACAATTCCACCTAGCTCACCAATGCAGTCGGCCACGAGGGCGCAAGCCCTATTATCCGTGTGCCCTGGCCCGAAGAGTGGATGATAAAGCGTGCTCTTGATGCCGGTGCCCACGGGGTCATGACTCCTATGTGTCACTCTGCAGTATGTGTAACCTCCCTCATTACCCGCAACTTTGCCTAGTTACCAATCGCTGTTTCTATCGCCAATAGGAGGACGCTGCCAAGGTCGTCAGCTACTGCAAGTACCCACCTGTCGGAGTCCGTGGATACGGGCCCATGTTCACGCCGCATTCATTCCCTGGTGTCAAGCCCGCCGAGTACGATGAGAAGACTCATGATGAGGTGCTGGTTGTTGTGCAGATTGAGTCGCGGCCCGGTGTTGAGAATGTAGAGGAGATTGCTAAGGTTGATGGACTTGACGTTTTGTTTATTGGTGAGATTGGATATTCCTGTCTTGGATTCGTGGAACGGGCTAATGTCTTTATTGCAGGACCCTTCGATCTTGCAAAGCAGATGCGTGTTACACGCGGTGGTGAGGAGCACGAGGCTGCTATCCAACGCGTTCTAAATGCTGCTAGATCTGCAGGAAAGAAGGCCGCTATCTTCTGTATGTGTTCTTTTTGCTGGTCTTGCGGTTGTGTCTAATACTATATCTTCTTCTAATACTGTATCTTCTAGGTTCCAATGGTGATGACGCTCTTCGCCGCACACAGCAGGGCTTCGATATGGTCTCTATCACCACGGACGTTGCTGTGTTCGGTGACGGTATGCTCAACGAATTAGAGAAGGCCAAGGGCAGCTCTAAGGTCCAAGGAAAGCGGGACGGTTATTAAACTCTCTCTCAATCATGTTGCTTATGTGTATATAGAAGCCACGCAATGAATTTAACTAGATTATCCGCGATTACTTGGTCTAACCCTTCCTATCCGATTCAAACCTTCCGGTGAATATTGGCTTGGTCAATTCCTCGCCATTTTCACTCTGTAGGCACCTGGTGTCAAGAACTTGGCGGTTCCATTTCCCTCAACATCAAAAACGAAGAGCGAGGTGGCAATACCGCCCCATGTCAACTGATCCAGCATAGTCCAGTCGCCGAGATCATAGAAAGAAGAAAAGAGACTCGACGATGAACCCACCCCTGGGCCCCGATTTTGAGTAGCAGTGTACGCACGGAAAGCGATTCCCCCAGTGGCCTGCTCGATGATAATAGACGGTACAAGACGTGCCCCGGGACCACCAAGAAGTGTAGGCACTAAACCCGTGATATCTGTGCCATTACTAATCCATGATGTAATCTTCAAGCCAGGTGCAGGCTGAGTAGGTGGAACAACAGTAAGTGTCAATGACGAGTTCAGATCTTCAGCTTTGTACGTGCCGGCGAACTTCTGCGCCGCCTCTAATGCAGCTTGCTCCATAAGTGCTGGGAGTAAGGCATCGACGATAAGATCGATTGCTAAGAGGGTCTCGCTGCTACGGCTGGCTTGTGTGCTGGCCGAGAGGAGAGTGAAACCGGCGTCGAAGTCTGGTATCACGACCACGATGCCTCCATAGAATCCCGAGTCTCCGAGTTTCGTGTATAGATCGGTGACCACGCCTGATCCTGCATGGACGAATCGATGAATTTCCCACGGTGAGCCGACCGAGTAGCGTAGGCTTGAGGTGTGAGTGATAGGTTTCATCCATTCCTGTGTCTTTTCAGAGGGGAGGAGGGTGGAATTCAGGAGGGCGATGCCAAGCTTGGACAGATCGTTTGTCGTAGAGAATAATCCACCAGAAGGGTTTGTAACACCTCCATCGGGAACAAACTGCTCATCAAGAGCCTCCGACGTGACGGAATGCGGGCGCGTGGAATTGTCAGGGGATGACGAGTAGGTGGACTTCAAACCGAGGGGTTCGAAAATAGAATCGCTATACCATTCATCCATAGCCTTTCCAGTGAGATTTGAAATCGCGAGACCGAGGAAGATATAACCACCATTTGAATACTCGGGGCTTGTCCAGGGAAGGTAAACTGGAGGTCTTGGAGCGTATGCCACATCCCAGGAGACTGGGTTACAGCCCTGGATCTGTTGACCTATGCATGATGGCCATAGCGTCAAGTCGCTCTCGTTTAGAGGGGGAAGGCCGTAGAATTTTGGATCCGTCAACGCGGGATTGGGAGAGTTTTCGAGGTACTTGTATAGTAAAAAGGTTTGTAGGAACTCCTCTGTAGCACCGTGTGGTATGCCGCCCATCTGGCCCGCAAGGGATCTGAGAGTGATTTTGTCCCACTGAACATCGTAGACTAGCCGAAATTTGTTACGTTGCTTGCGCACATGCTCGGCCAAGAATGGGAAAATTTCCGTGAGTGGAAGGTCCCATTCCCGGGGCTCCAGCTCTATAAGTCCAGCAAGAACCGTAAAGAGTTTTGACACACTAGCGACCTTATAGATGCTGTTTCCATCCACCTTGTTCACTCCCACCGGGGATTTTGCGACTTCACTGGCAGTGTGGTGGAATTGAAGGTCTTTTGCATTAGGGTCCAGCGAGGAAAACAACCCAGCGGAAAATGTGAGGTTCTTTAGCTCGTAAATCCCGCTGGTTTTGTTGGTTCGGTTATCGGCGAGGACGGTGTTCAGTTTGGATGTCAGGTTCTTCCAACTGTCGGCGACCCGGCTGTGACTGCTAGACAAGTCCCTGGGAGGAGGATATGACGGTCCTAGAAGGTTGGCAAAAGCTGCCGGGCAGCAGATCACGCTGGCCAACACATAATTTGATAGCCGCATGATGCTTTTTTTAAAAAAAGGCTCAATTTTTCAACTGAAAGTGAAGGTCGACGGGGACTAAAATTTCAACGAATGCTCCGTGTTGACGTCGTCTTATATATCCTTCAAACTGCCATAAATTTCTCTCGGGGGCAGTGACGCGATGCGCCGCTCCAGTTCGCTGCGTTGAACCATTTCTAGGAGTCCTGTTTGATGATCGTCGAGGCAGTGTTGTTGTGGATCTTATTAATCTTGTTGATCTATGGGGGCTGGGATTTCAATGGACATGTTCTTCAGCAATACGAACGTTCATGCTTCGCCAAAGCCACTGAGATTGCGCTTCATGGGGACACTAAACCCGATCAGGTGGCATGCGGCGCTCTTTTTTCTTGGCATTTGTTCCTTAGGGCCTGGTTATACGATCACAAGTCGTCTTTCTTTTCTTTGTAACTATACTATCCAAGAAGTGGGAAGATGTCTTATCTTTTTTTCTAAAAAACATAAACAAAAACAAAAAGAACTATGTCGCAGTTTGGTCTTGAATAATGTCATTATACCATCTTTAACCAAATGGATCGGATATACAGTAAAACCTGCTTACATATAACGAAGCAGAATGTTTGATACTAGGAGTATCTAACTCAGTGGATTGAATCCTTTCCAAAACTCACACTTCGCTTCAGTGTTCTGTGGTCCCCGATACTTCTTCATAGTGCATTTGCTTCGAATGGTCTTTTATATATTCAGTGGACTGATATTGATATGGACCGTGGCCGAGCTTTGATTATCTTCCTTTATATCTCTGACGTGCCATGTATGTACAGCTGTATGTCATATGTCTCCCTTGCACATTATGTATTGTCGTTGTTGGACTGATCAATCAATCGCGTCATTCGCAGCAAGGCAGAGAAACAGACGAGAAAAAGGGAAAGATGACCTATCGCCCAGAGAAAATATACAACTCAGTCAGCATCTATCGAGCGTGCCCTCAAATAGTGATGTTGCAGGATATGATCTCAACGACCTGATGATTCCATCGCTCGACACAACCATGGGCTTCATCAATGATGGCGATGCCCACAGCTGGAGCAACAACCCTGACCTCACATATAGTACATAGGGTGGCAACAGGACCCAAGAGGGCCCAGCGACCAACCCAACACTTTCTCGGACCAAAGGCAAAGAGTCCCTGACGGCGCGGCTGATGAAACTGAGCAACCGGGCCATGGGCGCCACACGAGAACTTGAATGCGCGGTCATTACTACATCCTTAACAGTAAACTTCCTTGCAGTCAATGAAGTGTTCGAGGCTGCGAATGGTCTAGTACACATCATCAACAACATCCCTCTGGCGGACAGCAAATATGGCCCCTCGAAATCATTGTCCCGCGGTGAAAACGAGCGACAGATGCCTACCGAATACAGCCCGATCTTTCTGGCTCTCGCCTCTTACCGGCACATCCTAGCCCTCTTCCACGCAATTTGTGATTTTATTAAGAGGTCGTTGGGGTCCATAGGTCAAGGGACAGAGATGCAACAGCAAATTTTGCACGGGCTGAGTCGTCCTCTGCGCAATTCATCATGGTTCTGCAGCTCATAATGCACCCACTGAACCGCATAGGCCGCAGCGTTCGAACGGAGAACCGAGAAAATACTGACCAAGACGACCTGACGTTCGGCCCAGACGGCGGTGGAAAAAGCGGCAGGTTAGAAAGTATTGTCGGCTCTGCTCAGATCATACTCAGAACCCTACCTGATGAGCACGTCAGGCTTAGTGAGGTCATTCAGGAACTTCAAGGTTGCATAGAGGAAGGACTGTATGTTTAAATTGAATAGAGTCGACAGATTTCTACAAGTCCCTTAGGATCCCAAGCCTTTGTTGTAATAATATCGTGTTAACTTGAGTAGAAGTGGGAGGGGTTGTTTTGGCACGAAGCGAGAATGGCCGCCTAAAGCCTATCTGAAGTATTCTGAGGTGCAAGGGGTCCTCAGCGGCCGCCTCTATCCGGAAATATTGTAGTGAGTACTCCACTAAAAAGAAATATACGAAAAGCAAGCAACTATCCCACACTGACTGTATAGAATCCTGAGTACTTTGACGTCTCAAAAGTCCCACTCTTTAATAAAGCTGGATTCTTTGATTGGAGAAAACCCCACAACGCATGACGATCATTCCGGCCCGAGCCACTATCCACTTTTGGATGAGCGGACTTAACGGAAATAAGGGGATTAGCGGAATTAACGGTGGTGGGCATACTACAATGGATTGATATTTGGGCATGTATACTAACTGGCCCCTATAGTTTTGTTAGCAAAATTCCTGGGCCATCGCTAATAAGGGTCTAAAGCCTATTATCTCCGCAAATTCTAACAGCCCTATTTATACAATGTTAGTTACTTTAACCCTAAGTCACTAAAGGGGACGGAGTCTCATATCAAGCCGAAGCAATTGACCCATAGCCAAACGAGAAACACGCATGTCACCATCAGCACTTCCACCTCTCTTGCCAGAGGACGCCAATGGCAACGGCAACCTCAAAGAGCTCGGAGAGAACACACATCAGGTCGAGCCTGAAAAGGAAAAGCAGACTGTCGAGTCTAACACACCATCCACTATGGTATTTCCGTCTGTCAATGGTGTAGACGACGGTCCTGCTACTGAAGAAAAAGCTGTGGATGAGCAGCCAAAGCCTGTTATGGAATATCCGAAAGGTATCGAAGCCTTGTTCATCATGGTTGCGCTCGTGCTCAGTATCACCCTCTGTTCTCTGGATCAGGTGAGTTCTACCGCTCCAGGCTTCTCGTAGAGTCGTCTTCTGCCAATGCACTACATCACATGCCAGTAAGTTGATACTCTCAATTCAGACAATTGTTGCAACCGCCATTCCAAAAATTACCGACCAATTCCACAGCCTTGACGATATCTCGTGGTACGGTTCAGCTTATTTCATGACTCTCGGAGCCTTCCAGTCAACTTGGGGCAAAGTGTATAAATACTTTCCCCTCAAAACCAGTTTCCTGGTGGCAATCTTTATCTTTGAACTTGGGAGTTTGATCGCCGCTGTCGCCCCAAACTCAACGACTCTGATTGTTGGACGTGCCATCTCCGGTCTAGGTGCCTCGGGTATCGCGCCTGGGGTATACACGATTTCTGCATTTGCTGCTGAGCCCACAAAAAGAGCTACCTACACGGGGGTCATTGGTGTGTCATATGGTGTCGCCGCTGTCTGCGGACCACTCATTGGTGGAGGGCTTACAAAAGGGGCATCCTGGAGGTGGTGAGTCAAGAAATCCTTTTTGCTTTGTCTTTGTTGCAAGACATGGGACTATTTTCAGTTATCACATCCCTGCCATGGCCTGACCTGACTTGACGCGACAACCTTAGGTGTTTCTATATCAATCTTCCAATCGGTGGTCTGGCCGCTTTTGTCATCCTCCTCACCTTCAAGACCCCTAAAGCCGCTAAAGTGGTCCAGGCTACTCTCAAGGAGAAGCTTCTTCACATGGATCCGATAGCGACGGCGCTTACAATGGGTGCACTGGCCTGCTTAATTCTAGCTCTTCAGTACGGTGGTGCAAGCCATGCGTGGGATTCCAGCGTCGTTATCGGTTTACTCGTCGGCTTCGTTGTCATAGTTATTGCACTTATAATCGCAGAAATTTGGCAAGGTGAACGCGCCATGCTGACACCACGCATCATATGCAAAAGGACTGTCTGGGCCAGCAGCGTATGGGGCTTCTTCTTCGCTGGCGCGTATTTCGTCACGCTCTATTATCTGCCTATCTATTTCCAAAGCATCGACAACGTCACCCCGATTGCCTCGGGTGTGCGCAACATTCCTCTGATTATCATGTTCGGCATTGCCACATATGGCTCAGGCAGAGCCATCACGAAGACGGGTATTGCAACTCCTTATATGGCAGTTGCCTCTGTGATTGTGACCATCGCCTCTGGCCTACTCTATACTCTCGACATTGGGACCTCGACAGGCAAATGGGTTGGGTATCAGATCTTGGCCGGCTTCGGATACGGCCTCGCCCTCCAAGTCCCGGTCGTCGTTGCGCAGGCTTTTGCTGCACCAAGCGACCTAGCTCCTACGACCGCGATTATTATCTGTATGTTCTCCTTGGACTTGTCCTAGCATGGCATCAATTTTCATTGTTCCCTTGTATCCCAAAGCTAACTATATCCCTCATGCGCAGTCGCTCGATCTGTCGGCGGCACAATTCTGCTCGCAGCAGCGCAATCCGGCTTCGTCAACCAGATAGTGCACAAGCTTGCCAACACCGCACCGGGTGTCGATCCCGACCTAGTCACGGGTACCGGTGCCACTGATGTGCATCGGCTATTTTCTGGAGACGAGCTGGACGGTGTTCTCCGTGCGTACGCATGGGGCATCAAGGTTGTTTTCGCAATTACTATCGCGGCCTGCGGCCTCACTGTCCCCTTCAGCTTGTGCAACAAATGGACAAATGTTAATGCGAAGAAACCTAGTGGTGGTGCTGCTTGAAACAGCTGTTCAGCGAATTATGCCAACGGAGTTATAGCCATTTTCTTGTTATGGAAATTATCCATCTTGTACGATGATTCGAATAGCTTAGGGGGAGGCAATGGAGGAATGCGTCGAAGGATAAAATTGAATGGAATTTAATCTGACTACCTAACGTAATGAAATCGTACTATCGAGTGGATCAATCCTGTAGTTTTCCACGAAAATCCTAATCAAAGCCAAGTTTCTCCTTTGGGAGAAAATGTTGCCAAATTGGCTGGTGCAATAACAAGACAAAAACATCAAGTTTAGGGTACAGTGACTTTGAACATGTTTCCACTATAAGGTATCTGGGGTTGCGCACAGGTCACCAAGATTGGTGACCTGTAGCAGCTGGATGTTCATATCTTGTGCAGTGGTAACATTGATAGTATTCTATAGCCTTTTCAATTCGTTGGGTGTCAGGTCCAAGAAATCTGGCCACAAGAGAACGTTTATTATTCTAATATAAAACAGCTACGTGATACAACTTTTTCAAAACTGCTTTCTTAAAAGAACCTAATCCAGTTGATTGCATGAGTAAATTAAACTTGATATTTCGTATCACTTGCACCCTTTGCGCAACATAGGCGACACAAACACTTCATTGCCAGTCCACGAAGCTTCGACACCCGCCGGCATGCCTAAAGCCTTGGCCTTCTGCATCCACTCGCGTACTGGTAGAACGTTGACCTTGGTGCAGAGCCTGTCATTGTACATGCTAGCGAGGTCTAATAGCACATATCTGTTTTCACTGCAGTAATTGTGCACGGCAAACGGTTCGCGGGGATGATGAGTATATGCCTTGGCCAGAAATTCGGGCACCACTTCGCTGACGTCGATGATGTCAAGCTCTCCCTACCATTGCTTGGGGTCAAGCGCCGGTACGGCCAGCATCTTGGTGCAGTATTTGTCTAGCGCCACTAAGGGAATCTGTTCGGGCGCATCAGGCCCCATGATGTTGGGGAAGCGGTGCACAACGGCCGGAAGTCCCTCCGCTCGCTCCAACAGTATCTCGCCCATCCATTTACTGACAGCATAGCCAATGGCGTTTTTTCAGCAGGGAATCGGCATCAGCTGGCGGCCAAAAGCTGGATGGCGGCACCTCAGCCAGCTCGTTGGTATCCTGTTGGAGCATGGCTACCGAGGACGACGAGACAAAGTGTACGGGGACGCGGCGTGGCGTAGCCATAGCGAGCAGATAATGTGTCGAGACGATATTAGCAGCCCGCATCATTTGATATGACTTGAGATGGGCGACATCCGCTCCCACATGGATGATCAGGTCTGCCGTCTGGCAGAGGCTCTCGAAGTCCTCAGTGGAGAGGCCCAGCATCGGTTTGACCAGGTCGCCCTTGTACTCGTGAATCTTTGCGTCCTTGATGCGTAGAGGGCGTGAGCGGATGCAAAGACAGTGCACATCTGCAATGTCGTCGTCTGCCACGAGTTTGCGTAGCATATGGGTACCCAAAAACCCTGTGCATCCCGTGAGAATGACACGGCGTGCGCTGATCTAAGGCACGTCCTTGGCCGAGTAACCGCCTGGCGGAATGAGGGAAGGTATCCCTTCGGTAAGCCCAGCAACTTCCTTCTGCCAATCCATTTGTGGGTTGTCATGAGCTTTCGCTGTCTGCGACTCTGCCTGGGACCCGTGCGATGATTTCGCCATCCTACTAGACCGTTCTCGCATACTCGCGATAGAGTGTGGTTGGTCGACATAAGCTTCAACACAAGCACGTTGACTCCCAGCTCTTTCAGGAACCACTCGCGAATGCGAACGGAAACGAGCGAGTCAAACTCCATGATCAGCTACGGCGATGTCAACGTCTATCTGGGTGGGGTCAAGCTAGAACCCAGGGACTGCGAAAAACACTTCACCAAACTGCTAGACCTTCTTTTGGATCTTCAGCTGTTGCCAGCTGAGCCTCAACCTTAATGTTCCCACCAGCTTGTTTCTGATCGGTGTCCTCTTCTTGCGCACCCTCTTGGAGAAGGTAGCATGACAACCGCAGGACTTCGTGCCACGGCTCCGTAAACACCTTCCTTATACCGGTGATAGGCTCGGATGGCAGGTCTGAGTCAGGTTGTCCGCACTCAATGGCCTTAGCTAGCATGTCGTGCAGGTCTGTCTCGCCTTGTCTATCTAACTGTGGTAGGAGAGACTTCTCAATGGGAGCATTCCACTTCATGTCTGAACGGTAAATGTAGCCCAATCCCGTAAGGAGCCCGATGACGACCATGGAGCCCGCTAGTCTACGTCGCACGAGGATTGACATGTAATGATTTGCCGCACTATAAGCGGACTGGCCGATATTGTAGGCGAAAGCCCTATAAAGAAGTCCAACGCCTCATCTTCACCAAAGAGCTCATCAATATTGCGAGTTCCGGCAACTTTTGGCGCTAGCACCGCCTTAAAGTCGTCTCAAGATGTGTCGAGGAAGGCGCGGCCCCGAAGCACCATAGCACGATTGATAATGCCTTCAATGGGCGGCATACTAGACTTGATCTCGGTATCTGCCGCTCTTAAGCCTTCTTTGTTCTCAACGCCCACTGGTATGACACGCAACTCGGCACCATTTTGCGACATGAGTTCGAACACTCCCACCGGAACATCAGGATGCCGGCTGGTCAACACGACATTTTGAGCCCCGTTATCCACCATTCAAAGAGCAATGGAGATTCCAAGGTCTCCTGTCATGCTGAAAAGAATGTAGGTCTTGTCAGCGGCGAACACCCCGTTGTGCTCGACGGGACCAGCCCTGTTAGGACAGTTTTTCTAGGACGAGTGGCGCGACAACCCGCGGCCTTCTTACTATAGCGGTCAAAACTTTACGAGACAATCCAAATTAACAGAAAGGCGAAATAACAATATTCAGTCTAAAATGACCTCACACTTCTATCTTGATGACACCCCGGCGGAGGTGAAGAACGCCAAGGTCAGGGACAGCCCGCCTGGCCCTTTAGGTCGGAGCTAATACGGGCATCTAGGGGCTGCACCTACTCACCATGTCGGCTCCGAATGGCCAGAAGGTCCAGATTTACCTTGAGGAATTGAAAGAGTTGTATGGCACCGAGTGTGAGGAAAACTAGCCCAATTGCTTCTTCACATGAGGTGCTGGCGATAATTACCTAGACACTAAGACGGTCATTGACATCAGCACCAATGGGCAGAAGAAAGACTGGTTCTTGAAACTCAATCCAAATGGTAGGAAACGAGTTTTAAGGCGTGAACAATTCTTAACCTCCAGATCGTGCCATAACCCCCGACTAAGAATGTATTTAGTTCCTAAATACGGATTTATCATCGTTAATATATTTATTGAGAATTCGATCTTCTCCGTTAGTATCGAGCTACTCTTATAGGCGTACTAGGGGACCGGGCTTCGAGGGATACTACTTATAAAACTCTTAGATCTTCTTCGGTGACTTAATTGGTACAACGTGCACGACCTGCAGCTCTTGAGTAGCTGTCTCGGCGATCGGCGCTCTAACCTGATTCGCCCAAGCTGCCCAAACAAGCTACGGAGTTCTCCGTACTTCTTATGTTAATTTAATTTTCCCTCGAACATCCCGAAACATGCCCAATCATCGTCCCCAGGAGCAGCGGACACTAAAGATGCCAAGATTTCCAAGACTAACTATTTTGCACAACCAATTTGGAATAGACGGAAATGAAGTCAGCTCCAGGGGGCTCAGCACTTGTTGATCATGTTTCTATGACTGGCCAGCTGTCCGAGGAAATATGGGCCACTCCATTTTTGTCTCATGTATGGAGTAATAACCATTAAAATCGATTCTCACGTCTTGTAGGGCGTGGAATGTTGATATGCGGGAAATACGCGCTAAGCCGAGAATGGGAATTTATCCACGACAATATAGTTCGGCGACCAATGATATGCAAGCATGAGACCAAATATGTGACACAGAGCATGCACCTGTGGATCCACAGCCCACGAGAAATATTTCCGATATCCATAAAATATTGCTAATGTAACCAAGCATATGGAGAGACTGCAAGGGACTTTAGGATCTTGCTCCTTTCATGTGTTCATATCAATGAGCTCAAATTGTGCGCCGATACCCAATAGACAAGAAATCGATAGATCGGTCCCCCAGGAACGTGGCAGTACTGTACAGTAACCAAGAGATCATCACATGGGGTAACTATCCTAACCTACATTACACAATCTGGTCCCAACTAGTGTTTACATGACATTATACATTACTCCGTACTCCGTAGCCTAGATAGACATGGCGGCATGGATTTGTAACAAATCGGGCAGGAATACAGTACCAATATACCCGCACCATTAACATCTGCAGGAACGAGAATTTTCGTTAGAGTATGCAGTATGCTTGTGCGACCCCTGCAAGACACCAAGCAGGACCAATACGACCAGACCCGCAAAGGGGCTTTAAGATGAACCCTTCCTCAGCTCCACCATTTTCGTAATTATGTATATATATAGCCTTTTCCTATAGTACCGTAAATTTGATGGATTATTCCTCTACTAGTGACCTCAGCTAGCCAGCCATCATGCGTCTGCTTTCCATACTTGGGTTAGCTAGTCTTTCCATTTCGGGGGTCTCGGCGGCATTGGCAATTGATGGAGAGCCAAATGTCAATGACACTCTCGTGCTGCAGCATCTCAAAGACCGCCAGAAGCTGATCGCGTTGGAGAAGACACACCGACAAGGTTCGTTTCAGACAATCTTATAAGCAAATAGAACCTGACCAGTCACCCAGATCATATTTTCCGACAGGGTCTCTCCGCAACTGCCAAACGGGCTGATGAGATTGTTCAAGCAATTCGACAGGATGAGATTGACCATTACTGGCGAGTGGCTGGCACTCCGGACGGTACAACAGAGGAACGCTTCGCAGGAGAAGTATTCCCCCTTGCCCGCCCGTATATCTCCAACACGACCCTTTGGAAGGTGATCAAGCGTATGCCCAAGGGTGCACTTTTACACGCGCATCTTTCGGCCATGCTGCCGTTTGAGAAGATTGTGGAAATCATAACCAACACCGAAGGAATGGTAATTTCCGCGTCGCAGCCTCTTGACACCGATGACGCCAAGCAAAATGCCACCATCACCTTCGCCCATAATAACGGCACTCTTCCGACCAACCAGACCAGGATTGATTCTGCTGACTACGTTCCTGACACGGAGATTCCTGTCAAAACCGCCGCAACCAACTTTGAAGGTGGTGACGCGGGTTTCCTTGAATTTATCAAAAGTAAGACAACCATTGAACCAGAGGACTCGATCCGTCACGAGTTAGGTGTCGACGAGATCTGGAGAAAGTTCCAGGCCTGCTTTGGTCCAACTGATACCATGGTCCAGTATGAACCCGTCGTCAGGAAGTTTTACCAGACACTCTTCGACGATCTGGCCAGCGACGGTATTAACTGGGTAGAGATCCGAAGCGGCGGATCCAGTGGGAAACTAGTCCACAATGGAGACGAAGATATTGACCCCGACCTCGACGTCTGGTGGCATGTGTTGGTTGAGGAGATTGAGAAGTTCCAGGCCACTGATCAAGGCAAGAAATTCTTGGGTGCAAGAGTTATTTGGTCGGATGCGCGCATAAAGAACCGCGCTGCAATCACCAACAGTATGACAAACAACCCTTTACCTAAAACAAGATTTCTGACCTCGATAGGTATGAAAATTGCTCTCCAGAGGAAGCAAAACTTCCCAGAGCTCTTCAGTGGCTACGATCTGGTTGCCCAAGAAGACCTCGGCCGTCCTCTTTCTGATCTGGCTCCGGAACTAGTATGGTTCCGTCAACAGACCGAGGCCTTGAACCTCACCATTCCTTATTTCTTCCATGCTGGAGAAACTCTGGGAGACGGGAACTCGACAGATTCGAACCTGTTCGATGCAGTCCTGTTCAACACGAGACGAATCGGTCATGGTTTCTCCTTGTATAAACACCCGAACTTGATCCGACAAGTAATTGAGCAAAACGTCATGATCGAAGTATGCCCGATTTCCAACGAAGTGCTTCGTTTGAACGAGGATGTTCTTCATCATCCATTGCCGGCTATGATTGCGCACGGCATTCCGACTGCAATCAGTAACGATGATCCAGCCATTCTTGGACAGGACGTGGCGGGTTTGAGTTATGATTTCTATGAAACCATCCAAGCCTTTGATAATATTGGTCTCGCCGGATTGGTAAGTTACCCGCTTTTCAAGATTCGCGCTGCTTGCTTACACTAGAAACAGGGTGCGCTGGCACAAAACAGTCTACGCTGGGCAAACTTTGAAGACCAGTCTGATAATGATTGGGTCCAAGATATTGACCGCGGTGAAGATGGAACAGGTACCAAGGCTAAGCACATTCAAGCTTGGAACAACGATTGGGAGGACTTCTGCGAGTGGATTGTGGACGAATACGGCTCCCAGTACCCGGCAGCAAACATTGACTGAAGTTTTGTTGCATTATGGAATTAATTAGATCCATGGGGTGAGCTCGTCCATCAATTGATAGTTAAGCAATTTAACAAACAAACAACATGCAATTATCGAAATGGCAAAGGTTAGGAGAAAGGACATCCTCTACTCCAAAGTTAAATATTACGGTCGAGACCTAGAAAGTACCAAGCTATGATATATTTGCTATGCTAAAATGTCGGATACTTTTATCATTTGTATCATGAGTGATTGATTTGAGCTGGAAGAAGGATATGGAGACGTAGACCGAATTAGTACGAGGTGCTTTATATATACAATTCTTAATGTTATGTATCATTTCGATACAAAAATGACAATGGCTTCAAGAAGTATAAATATTGGGCAAATTAATACGACCATATTAATCTTTACCTACTATATCTAGATCCTTCCCATTCACTTCAACGTCTTCCAAATTGCTGTCTGGAAGAATAGCTGTATCTATTTGTGTATCGATGTGAGGGGAAACAATGCTCAGACCAACATAACTACACCATCGTGCTAATGACAAACCGTAAAATTCAGCCAAATTCATATGTATGAACCCCTACTCCAATTTCAATACTTGAGTTTACTAAATTCATCAAGCCGGGAAGACTGGGTACTGTCCCGATAGCGAAAGTAACCAGAGCATGGAAATTGAATCCATGAAAGTACCGGTGGATACCTATAGGCTGATATAAGCGTGTAATGATCCAGTAATCACAAACCATAATGACGGCGATAGGTCCGAGGAAAATCGTATAGGCAACCATGAAATCAAGAAAATTGCCAGCCGATGCAAGTATCTTCTAGGGAACTAGTGGCTAGGCAAATAAAGCGTAGAGTAATTGACCACGACGAATATTAATAAGTTGAGGTGCAAGGGCCGATAAGTCATTCGCTGCGGCCAGTGAGTTTGCAGAGATATTTGACCTAAGTGCGGCTAGAGCAAAGGAAAATGCTCCGAAGAATTGAGAAGCTCGATTACTCTGAAATGAAATAAGAACGTTTGGATCCCACGGTATTGATTTGGTGTTATATTTGACCTGTCCGGCAGAAGAGACTGCGATGCCGATGAATGCGATAAGTGTGAACATTGCGGGGAATAGAAAGACATAGAGTATATATGCCACCGAGGGTTGACGTAGGAATATCACGAAAAGTCTGCTTGACTAACGCTCAAACTCGTATAACTTCCGATGACCGATATTAAAGCAGACATCATGGCCAAGGAATAGGATAGGCTAGTCAATTGACTCTTTTGTGAAAAGAGATTGTCTGAATTTGACGTACTGACCAAAGCCCAGACGAGCATAGCGATCTATACAGCCGGCATAATGATAGCCTTCCCTAGAAATAGTTAGCGTAGCTTGTTTGGATAGAGAAGTAGAAATGGGATCTGAAAAAGCCAAAAAAATGAAAAATCCGATAATACCCTGGGTGGTAATCCCTTCGCTCTCTGGAAGCGCATTTCGGATGTCTAGGAAACTTGGCCAGATAGCTCCAATCATGACAGCCACCGAATTTCCCCCCATTCGCAACCTAAGTGGCAAACCAAAACACAGCAAGAATCAATCTTAAAATGATAGGAATATATCTATCCATGGCGTTGGGTTAGACTCTTCTGAAGTTGGATTTCCTCCAGAGTTATTTACGAACGTCTTTGGGAAAGCCAAGGAAATGGACCTACGACCTACGGCCCATGGAGGTGAGGAAGGCGATGTTTCTTACATCAAAGGAGCGCTTGATTATTTACATGTTAAGCGGATTGATCATGGTATTCGCCTGGTTGAAGACTAAGTACTTATGAGAGAAATCGCCGCAAAGGGGACATTGCTCACTACCTGCCCGCTGTCAAACGTATACGTGCGCATTGCCAAGTCCGTCGACTCCTTACCACCTCGGCAATTCCTCGATATTGGAGTGCAATCTTCCCTAAATAGCGATGACCCAGCTTACTTTGGCGGAGGCATACTCAAGAATTACTGTGCAGTCCAAGAAGTGCTCGATTTCAGCATCGATGATTGGAAGACCATAGCGATTTCAGGGGTACGTGGAAGTTGGATTGAGGACGAAAGAAAGAGAGTTCTTTTGAGGAAAATAAAGATGTCACTGAAAGATTCAGATCGGTTGCCTACATATGAATTCCAAATCTTGCACGTAGACCTCAAGATAGCCCACAAATGGGCCCAAGCCCCTAGCCCACAGCCCAACCCAACCCGCAGTGGGCTTTGGGTTAGGCCGTCGAATCCCGACCCAACCCACAGCCCATTTATTGGGGGGGGGGGGGGGGGGGCAGCATAAAGCCCCATCAAAGCCCATTTCTGCGCATAAATACAGTCTTAGCACGTATAAAGTAGCTGATTAATGGCTGTATTTTACGGACGTACCAACCTGTATATTTAGTATTATTATATTATTATAGTAGTAAGAAGTGGGAATTAAGTAGATATTATACTCATTTCAGTATTATGGTACTAATTTCGTACAAAATCACCCTAAAAAGATCCAATTTGACCTATGGTCCACGAATTCGTACCTAGGAGGATTACTGAGTATTAGCATAAAGAGATATATATATTATGATTGACCGGCCTAGGTGACTGAGCTGTTTTAGAATCACTACCTTCTCCATAGAAACGGTAATTTTAATACCCAAAAAAACCAGGAAAAAATGCATTAAATATAGCCACGGTAAATTGGCATGTTTGTATTGTTTGGTTTATAATGGGGGCCCATAATGGGCCCCCATTAAATCTGTGGGCTTTCATTCCGGGCCCGTCGGCCCGCAGTCTAGGCCCAAAACCCAGCCCATTTGGTGGGTTGGGTTGGGTTGGGCTGTGGGCCAGGTGGGCTTTCTTGAGGTCTACTTGCACGCATCCCCTTGATACACAGCGGCTTTCCAATAGTCATTTGCCCCCCGAAGCTAAAGGGCCGTCAAAGCCCAGGATTACATAGTTTAACCACTACATACCGTATTCCTGATAAATAGAATATGGGAAATTAACCCTCAATAGTCGCGCACTGTCTAGCCTAGATGAATGTCTACAACTTAGTAACTATATATAAATCTCATGTTTTCTGATAAGTGTATATTAGACTCCGAAATAATAATCTTCAGGTTCAATATAATTTGTTGCTTAAATCTTCAAAAATCACAATGACTATCAAGCTAAGATACATAAATGACATTTATAAAATCATGCTCGGACCATAAAGAACTGGGAAGGAAACATCTTCCACACAAAGATAAATCCCAAACCCAAAGTTGCTGCTGCAGTAAAAGCCGCGAGAAGACCTAGACGCGCTAGACTTTCAATGCCGGGTCTCTCAAAATTGGTCCTTCGGCGCTTTCCCAGGCGAGTGGTGCGAGTGAGACTAGGCACGTATTTGAACTCGAAACGCGACTCCCCCCCGAGGCCCATTTTCTCATCAAGGATGAGTTTGTAGTAGTACCTTCGACGGAGCTGGTAGAGTCATTTTTTTAGAATATATCCGAAAGTGCGGGTAGTCTCACATACCGAAATCATCATCCTGTCGACGAAATATATCTTCGGCACAATATATGAAACAGCCATGACCCAGAAACAATATCCCCAGATCAACATGCGATAGTATAGACTAGACCGAGGGATATCAAGCTCATCGGCCAGTTGATCTCCATTGAGTAGTCGAGTCATTGCCTCCATGAATTCCTTGGATGCGAAAGTCGGCGCTGTATTCTCCAGGCCGATAATGATGTTCTTTGCTAGGACTTTTCCAGTCTCAGTGGGATCGATCTCGGAAATCAGAAGCGACTCCATCATTACACGAGCCTTTTCTGTGCTCGCAAAGGGATCTGTCGGTGTACCCATATAATATGCAACCAACCTCCACAGCGCTATATAGTCATCTGTCTCTTGCTTGCTGGGGTAGATGCCCTGTCTAGGAAGACCGAGCCATAACACCGCGCTGCAGAATGTGTTGATTGTTCCAATACAGTCGAGGTCGTTTACCGGTATTCCGTACTTGTCGATATCGTAGTATTCAGGGTTTTGGTCAACTAGACTTAGGATCCTCTTGCGGACCGACGAATGAAGTAGTCGGACACGAACACATGAGATGTGACCATCACCGCCTGGTTTCATGCTCTCCGCTGAGTCATTTATCTGAAGTACATGTTGAAGTGTCTCGAGTAATCGTTGATGTACTACCTTCGCCCCGAAACCGCCCGTCCGTGAAAGGGTCTCGACGACTCGCATTGCTCCCCTTAGATAAGGATTAGCTCTTGGTTTGCATTCATTAGCAAGGAATAGAAAGATGCTCTTACATTCCACCAAGTAAGCTTTCAAAGCTGAGCTGTCGATGAGGTTAGTTCGCATCTCATATCATACTTCATGCAACCGCTCACAACATTGAGAATCGGTAGGCCATATCGGAAAAAAGCATCCTGGCCCCGTTGGATTTGATCCCAGTCAACCCACTCCGGAGCTGTATTGATCTCAGTCCAGAGCTTGTTGAGTTTTGGATCCTCCTCCGCATAGTCCCTCAATAAGCCATAGAGGTCCTTCTTGAAAGGTCGTTTAACGGCGCCGTCATCAAGGGATGGGATTGTTTTCAAACGCTCTACACATTCGTCGGCTAGGGAATCACAGCTGTACTTCAACGACTTAAGGTCATCGGCAGGGGAGTGGAGGTCCGTCCAATGAAACGAGTAACCCCAGTAGTGGCACACGGTACTATTTCCGCTTTGGGGGCTCTTCAAAGCCATGGTTTTGGTGAACTCAGAGTAGAAATATATCGAATATTGTGTATGTATTTCTATCCAAGGTCATGATAATGTTTCTTTATATTTGCTTAAGCCAGGGGAAGTGGGGTTGGGGGTATCGTGACATGTGAAGTCACTTCAGCCACTCGGATCATCAACCCCGGATTTCTATATCTGGTTAGCCTCGCCATTTTGGGTTTAATACCCCCACGTCAATGCTCCCGAAATAAAACATCCAACCTCGCCCTCGTTCTCCATTTCTCTTTCACTCTTTTCGTGTATCTCCTATCTTACAACCCGTCGCTGTTTTGCTGCACCCCTAGACTTTTCCTAACCAGAACATCCGTCCGCCCTACTCTCCCACTTTCTAAGTTCCACACAGCCTCTCAGTCCTGGTTGCCTGTAGTTTTACAGATTCAGGATTAGGAGCATCTGGCCTTTATGCTATCGCTTTTGAAAGAATGACAATCCTTTGGTAGGTGTCAAATATAGAAGAATAGTGAGCCTATCCTGCCTACTGAACACCATCCCTCTTTTGCTTCTAAGTTGGTGACCAACCGCTAGGTTGACAAGAAGAATTTAAATGAAGAATGATTTGAACGTATGATGCTCTCGAACAATTGTAAACGTTCATGGGGAATGAAGTTGCTTCACCATTTAGCTCGAAAAGGGCATGAGGGCGATATCATCGATACTTCTCGTCAATAACTATGTCAATGAATGAACAAAACACTGAAATTGAAAGAGAGCCAAACCCCAGCTGCACCGCTCAAGTGAACGGCGGTCCGAGCGGTATAGTATTATAATTCGGATGCCTAAGGGGTGGCCAAAATTTGGAATTTCGGTATATGATATATGTTGCGTAGACCGGGATGTATTTCGTACAATGAGAAGAAAGACCTGGTATACAGAATCCTTCGAAGTATGCCGCCTTATCCCATGAAATTAGGCCTTGGTGCCTATATATAAAGCCATCCATGCATGTCGTGCCACCTGCAGGACTGGCTGGCTGGTCGAAGGCTTGGGATATGGTCAGACCCTCGATTTCTTAGGCCAACTGTATACACAAGTATGGAATGTCTAGTTGGGCCTTCGAAGGTGACACTACTGGAGACACTCTACGTTAGTCAGTACACACTTCGTTGCAACCCGCGTTAGTTCTTTAGTTCTTTTAATCTGCTAAATTTCCCTCGCACAAAAGCAAACCTGGATTAAAGATATATGGGCCGGGTCACTAGCCCTTGATTGGCTATACTTTGGGGGGGGGGGGTACTGTCTCCATCTTCGCCTCGGACAATTATCACCGGTCCGACGGGATCTGGGTCAGTTACCGGGGGGGGGGGCTGTGGAAGTGGTTCCCCCGCCACATGTAGCAAAAGGCTTGAATTTATAGATATCGACCATTCCAACTGCTTCTCCTTTTCGCCTTTCGATTTCGGTTTCTTTTTCTCCTGACAAATTTGTCAAGGTCCACCCGTGGACGGGCACCATATAAAAATCATCATTGTTTTTCATACAAGTACATATTGTAGTGGGGTGCGTTGTCGTTGACGCGGGTACTGTCTGTCTGCGAACCAGAAAAAACCAGGCAGGTTATTGAGTAGCGGAAGGTAGGAGAAGGCAGCCAAGGGGTAGTTTGTAGAAAGATGGTTGGTTATTCTTCTAATCTCTTACTCGAAGCACTTAAATACACGTATTCCGGTTAGTCAGTTTTCACTGCCATTTCCCTCTACACACAACGCCCCCCACCCATAGACCATATCAAAACCTATCAATCTCATAACGTATTAATCTCAAAACATCCATCAGGCGTATCGTGCGCAAATCGGGTGAACGGGTGGTGTCTTTTCGGGGTGATCAAAATGAGTGTAGGCGAGGTATATAGGGTATCATAGAGATAAAATCATTGTTCAGCCGAAGTAATATACTCTCGTTGGCAGTATCTTTTAACTACCCCTCTTCTCCTACCTTCTCCGGAGGTCTAAGTGGATAGATACTACTCCCTACGTTGGTCACCATAGAACAGGTTATGAAGAAATACGAAGTAAACTCCACATAATGTCCCACGCAAAGTAAGAAGCGAAAGTCTGTTACGTGCTTAGATGGTAATAGGAAATCTGGTTCTCAAGGTCTCGCCGTATTTATAAAAAAGCAACGGAAGAGGAGCGAACGCTAACCCGATGAAAGCCAGGAGGCTATTTCCCCAACCAAGGCCCAGAGTCTCGTACATGGGAGGTCCTGCAAGTGGCAACAACGCACCGAACAGGCTGCGCAAAACGGTGTTCGCAGCAAGGGCGGATGCGGCTGCCTCAGATCCGAATGCATCAACAAGGTAGAGCTGGGCGGGCATAAGGATCAGAAAGGCACCGAGGCCAATGAACATGGTACCTAGGATTGGGACAATCCAATGAGTAACCTTTTCGGCACTCCATCCGTACCAGAAGAAGCCAATGGGGACAATGGGCGATGACCAAATCATGAGGATGAGGCGTAGCTCCGGCCGCTCGAGAGTTCCCTCGCGCGGCTGCTTGAGTAGCTTGTCGCTGAGCACGGCGAACAGTCCAATGCTGATTATCATACCCACGCCGAGACCGAGATATGCAAGACCAGAGATGTCGGTGGCGAAGTGGTATGTTTCTTCGAACACGGCAGGGAAAGTAGTGAAAAGAAGGTAGATGAGACCGAACATGAAGGCGCAATAGAGAGAGAGCGGGAGGATGATAGGTGATAGTAGCATCTTGAGGGGTCGCACAGTAGCGCGTGCCAGGATCTGGGCTGGTGTACGGTCTTTGTTGTAGGTTCGAGCTCGTAGCTGACTGTTGCCGGTGGACTTGCGCATAGCAGCTGCCTTGCGCTCGAGGATAGCGGGCTCGAAGGTTTCCCGCATTAGGACAAGGGCAAGCAAGGAGATTAATCCCGCCTAAATGTTGTTTATGTCAGACTATGATCAGATGACAGCGATATAGGGCTTCCCATTTACCAGGATTAAGATTAACCAAAATGTCCACCGCCATCCAAGGTACTCAGTAACGAATCCGCCTATCACTGGGCCAATGACCGGGCCGAGAAGCGGACCAAGACCAAATAAAGCCATCGCTTTACCACGCTCGCTAGCTTGATAAAGATCCGCGATGGTCCCTCCCCCAACCACCATTGGAGCAGAGGCGGCACAGCCACATATGAAGCGGAATACCATAAACATGGCCGTATCTTTGCTTAGTGCGCAGCCAATTGTAAATGCGAGATAGCAAACATTACTGAGATGGTAGATGATCAAACGGCCGTAGATTTCAGACATGAAGGAAATCAGAAAAGGACCAAACACGTAACCCAGAAGATATATGGATACAGTGAATGAGGCGACAATGGTGCTGGTGACGTGGAAGTCCTCGACGAGCTTTGCAGCCCCGGGAGCGAACATCACCGCGGCAAGGTTTCTATTTCATTCTGTCAGATATCTCTGACAGCTGGAAGGTATGTAGAAAGTGGAATATGTTGTAATATAGAAGGTGCTCTTACGAGTATAGAGTGAAGCCGCTGACAAGGAGGACATGTCGCAGCTTGAGTCCCTTTTTCCAGTTCCGGGGGTTTTCCGGGTCATTGGGGCCCTGCCAATCAACAATGTCGCTATTTTTTGACTCCATTTTAACGAAAGTATCCAGCATCATCACTTCCGTATCTGAGGACATCTCAGGAAATGTCATAAAACGAAAGGACGTTGGGTTGTAGGAATATAAAAGTTGCAGCTCACTGTAGAGGCAATTCTTGGAATCTGAGGGAGTGAAAGTTTGTGTTATAGAGTGATGTTGGTTTAACCACAGCACCGGAGGAAGAATTAAAGAGTTATATGGAGTTTAAATGTAAATGAGTGAGTGAGTAAGGAACAGAACGATGGAGACGAAATATAAGGAACATAAGGAATATTGAAGACCACCTCCGCGGAGGATGGTTAGTCTCCAGAGCACGACGGAAGACAAGGAGATGGAACATGCAACGACATGGTTGATATCTCTTCAAGACATACATACAGTGTAGTTTCCATCTATGATCTGTTCCAGGCCTAGTAATGGATCAGGCCACATTCAGTTGGCTGCCGTATTGATCTTTCCAAAGTCTGTAAATGAATCCGAAGGCAATTGATGTGTAGGCATCCAAGAAACCCGTGGTTTGTCTTCGTTGGATTGAACCCTGAGCTTGCAGACACAGATCTAAGTCGACCGTCCGCGGATGGTCGGAGTAGTGATCGTCCGAAATGTCCGAAATATCCGAAATGCCCGGATATAACGGTGGGGGCTAGTGATTCTGATCACTCGACTACTGCATCCTCCGAACTTCAAGATTCTACCACATATACCTATCTATAAAGTGCACGAACGCAAAAGTCTACACTTCTATTCATATATGAAATCAACTTCGTTGGATATATGCCAGGCGTCATGGATCCCGCAAACAGAGCAATCCAGGAACTGACTCCATCCAATACCTCATCCGGAAAGCTTCAACCTCCACCTTCTAGGCGTCGAGACAAGGCCCAGCTTAGCTGCAAGTCGTGTCGCTCGCGGAAGTGAGTACGTCTTCCTCTATCCCATGTCTAATCTCTCGGAATCTGATACTGTTCTTCAGGGTCCGTTGCGATCGTTTACGTCCATGTAGCAATTGCTCCAGCCGGGGGCTTGGCTTCTCTTGTGTTTATACCAAAACCACCACCTCAGTTGCCTCTTCACCTGCGCAAGCAGCCTCGTCAGCCCGCCTTCAACTTCCCGCCACCAATATGAAGGATCGTATTGATCAGTTAGAGAGTCTGGTTTTGGAACTCATGCACCAAATTGAGTCAAGCCCTCGTAAGCAAAGCCTATACAGTCTTGAAACAATTTCCACAAATTTGGGGTTTCAGATCTCCAAAATGAGCTCTTTATTACTGGCAGATCTATCCGACTTGGAGAGCTTACGAAGTCAATAGGTGAATCGCCATTGGGGGACCTCCGAAACGTTACATCTGATCAACGATCTCGGAATGACCGATCCAATTCGCGCGGAAATTTGGATCGAGTCACTGTGCTGGAATATGACGCGCAGCATTATGTCTCCCCATCCCCATCTGACTATGGTAGCTTCAGGACTCCAGAGACAAGTGTCAATTATGTTAGTAGCTCGCATTGGGCTGGCATTTTAGATGGTATTACCGATCTACGGAACCACCTCACACGGGATGAGGAGGCTCATCCTGTGGTTTTGGATCCTACCTGGCAACCGGCAAGCTTCCCTAAACCCAATTTGCTCTACAGTTGCGCAATGCATCAAACCTCTGCCTCAATACTGAAGTCTCTGCCACCTCGCCCTACTGTGGACAGATTAATTTCTCGTTACTTCAACATCATTGACATAGCCCCTGGTATGCTAAGCTCTGCCCAGCCCCCATTACTTTTGAACAATACCCTGACCATGATCCAAACTGACTACTGGGAACCAGGTATTGTGCACAGTGGCAAATTCCTCCGAGAGGTACGTACGATTCGTACCACCCATCCATACTCGACCTGGCCACTCCCACGTGTAGACCTGGTCCCACTTCGTAAACCCTAGCTGACCCTGGGAACTAGTACGAGAGATTTTGGAAGGCACCACATGACGCCCCAATCTTGTGGATTGGTATTCTATTTAGTATTATGTGCCTGTCGACCCAGTTCCTGCAGGCCTTTCCTAGTACCACTGGGTGCTCTCCTACACTCGGACACTTAAGAAAGACATCCCAGGTCGGAGACAATCAATCATTGGTAGAGACGTACAAACAGAAGGTGATCCAATGTCTCCTCCTGGGTCATTACACAAAGGGTGGACCATGCGTTCTGGAGACACTGATTCTCTATTTCCTGATCGAGAATTTCCACCTCAAAGACATGGAGATTGGTATTTGGGTCCTGGTGGGAAACATAGTACAGATTGCCATACATATGGGCTATCACCGCGACGCGAAGCATTTTCCATCCATATCCCCCTTCGCCGGTGAAATGCGGAGGCGTGTGTGGGCGATGATCGTCCAGTTAGACTTTAGCGTCTCTACACAGTTGGGGCTTCCTAGGCTGGTCAAAGAAAGTGACACCGATACTGCCGAGCCACGGAACCTGAATGATTCAGACTTCGATGAGGACGCTTCCGCATTGCCCGATTCAAAGCCCGAGACCGAGGTGACACCTACTCTCTACGTCCTAGCCAAGCTCCGGCTACTCTCGGTAGGAGCTAAGGTCGCCGATGTGGCTACGGAACCACAGCCACATGCGTATGCCCACATCCTGGCGCTTGATCAACAGATTGACGAGGCTAGGAACACGATCCCATCCAGTTTGAAGTGGATTGACCTCGCATCGTCCCTCAATGTCCCATCTCAAATCATGGTTCAAAGGATATGGCTGGAGGTGATCATCCATCAACTGAAGATTGTCTTGCATAGGACGTTTCTTGAGCCCTCTCGCCTTCACCGGCAGTATGACAGCTCACGGTCAGCATGCTTGGATTCTGCGATGAAGATTTTAGAATTCCAGCGTCTCGTTGATGAGGAGACACAGGTAGATGGTCTGTTGTACCAGAGCCGCTGGAAAGTTTCGTCTGCTTTCATAAACGACTTCCTTCTGGCCACAAGTGTGCTTAGCTTCTATGTCCAAACTCATAATAATGAAAGGGACACAGCCCCTGGCAATTCCAGAGACTCTGAAGTTGAGCTGGTGGACATGGCCCAAATCAAAGATCTCCTAAGAACATCCCAGGCCATCTGGAGTCGGCAATCTACTAACTCGAGAGAGGCTCGAAAAGCCGTCGTGGCTATTAGGTATGTTCTAGGTGGCTCTCGTGCAAGCACTGAGCCCCACGCCTCCGAGGACGCATTGCTCTCTGCTGTTCCAGCCACAGCTGTCTCTTACTTTCCAGGTTAGTATTCTTCGTCGGCTTCGGTCAAGTGAATGAGTTACTAAGGATAAACAGGCTACTCAGACTTCACATCGAACTATGACATACCCGGTATGGACCTGGGATCTACATCTACAATGGAAGGAATGACATGGCCCATATTCACAGCAAACCTGAATGATGATGTCGAGCAGTGGCTTGGAGGGAATGGTTCCCAACAGATGGATATGACATTGTGACCGTTCTTTGTAGAGGACTGAATCCACGGGTGCCTTCATGCATGCTAAATCACAGACATGAGGGCAGGGGTATTCCCAGTCATTTCAGTGCGCTGGGTGTATTCGTCATCACATTCAAAACCCTTCAGTGACTCTTCCCGTAGAATCCCAAAGGAATACCCCGGAGCACGCCAATGCCACAAATAGTCCATACAACGTCCGTAGTAAAACGAGTGACGTTTTAACCATACTACAGCAGCTCGATTTTGATACGAAGTGGAACGAAGACAACGCCGAATATAACACACAGGGCGAGTTTTGCTAATACAAGAAGCAGACAAGAATATAATTTCCCGAGGCATAAGGATCCGACAGACCTTACCTTTTGGTACGGTCTAGCTATTGAGTTGTATCACTTCCATCATGGAACTTAGAGCTTCCCAGGGTTGAGTCCTGGCATCTCATGTATTTATAGAAATAGTCTAAGAGAAGGAAAGAATAAAGACAAAATCAAACAAATAAAGAAATAAAGATGATAACGATTTGCTAGCAAAACATTTCCTACTGCGGCGATTCATCAGCAAGTACCCCCTGGTTCCTCGACATCCGAAGTTACCAGTGGAAAGGCAGTTTCTGGGCTCGCAGTCATCTCCAGCATCAATTTTGAAGCTACTTGGATTCTAGGTGCCAAATGTTGATTGGACAATACTCATAGGTAAGTGCACACATGTTAACTCTTTGACAACCCTTTGACACTTTGCGACATTATCCAGCCCATGCTATGCAGCCCTTACTATGATTTAGCCTAATTACTCTGCAGGGTCTGGGATGCGACACGGTGGTTTCGACTTTCCTATGCCTTTAAACCCTAGGTGACACATACTGTCTTCCACTTTTTGAAATGAAACTTTGCCGCCCCTTCATGAGATTTGTGCTAATGGACTTGTATGCTCTCTTTGATCGTCCCTTTGTCTTTCTCATTCTACGCTCAACGCCCTTTGACTTTTTTTCACGTTTCATTGGTACTCCCCAAGAAGATATTTTGAATAATGGCTTCGTGAAGGATGGGGTTGCTCTTTGGGCTAGACTATAAATACTTGCGGCTTTCACCGTAGACAACGGTTTGCACAGAATCCTCAAACCCTTCGCCAGAGAATACCAATCGAAATACCAATCGCCATGGAGCCAAGACCAACCATCAAATTCAAGCTAAATGGGGTATCCACATCCGAGGCTGATATCGATAACTTGGAACTCCAAGCTTGCTATCGCGCTCTCGACAACCTGCGAAGCTTATTGTTCCAAGCACCGATGCTGGATCTTCTGAAAGACCAAATCGAGGAAGGAAACCAGTACTTCGAATCGATGATTCGAGCCTCTCGAGGGGAATTCAGAAAATGTAGAACTTATATGAAAGTAACCGGGGTCTCGGCGACAGAGATGAGAATAATCTGCCACCGCTGGCAGCTCTCCCAGCCCATCGATGAGATGGCACGAATGTTTATATTCCCAACGCACCCAGAAAACTATGTCGTGATGCATTCGCCAGGAGCTCCCACCGAAAATGGGCCGGACTGTGGGGTGGAGGTCATCGGGGAGCACATGGCCAAGATTCGATTTGTTGGTCTCATGGACAGCGAGATTCCGAAGTGGATGGCGGATCAGCGAGAGGAGGAGTATGAGATGGTGGAGTACTTGGTCGCGAAACTCGAAAGTGCAAGCAAGTTCTTCTATGTCATGAATGAATTCATGGATACCGAGAGTGGCTGCAAGATCAAGCTGCGCGCCTTTTTTCCCTCTGCTTCGCCCTGGTCATTGGTTAATCAACATGCTGAGCATCTGGCGGTCGAGTTTCGAAATCTGCTCCAAATGGTTTATGGGGCCATCGAAGAACTCGAAGACAGCTATTGACCGTTTTTGCGACCGACAGAGGGATCAGCGTCGCTAGCCCTTAGGACGAGATATCATCGGTTATTCTATATCGTCAGTTGTCTCTCTCAGTTGTTTTCTTTTGCAATGCAAGCATTATTGGACCGATTTTTATGGAGGTCATTGTGGAGTAGATGTAGTAGAGGTCAGGTCATTGAACTTGTAAGATGACAGATATTCAGTGATTCGAGTTTTGGTAAATCAAGTAGTCCTCAAAAGCTGCAGGGGAGTAAAACCAATTAGAAGATCTCCCACCATTGTAAGACTGTATGATAAGAGAAAGCCACTGGTAGTACAAGCCAAGCTGAAAGATCGGCTTACATGGCCACAATTCGGTGCGCGGGGAAGAGGCCGAGGATTGGACGAGTAGATCAGGGGGACTCCACGACTGACAATCGAGATTCAGTTTCCAACACTTGTGACCCTGCAGTCCAAAGCGAATGCTAGGCTTGGGACGTCCTCGATTGAAAGCGCGGGCATCGTTGTTGGATCTGATAACCGCAAAGCATACGTTGACACAGCCATCACCGCCCGCCGAGCTGCCACCGCTTCCAGACTCGCCCTCCTCAACTACCTTCACCCACTCCGTCTCCCCCCATTCCACACAGGCTTCTTCCATTATGAGTTCAGACGATTCTGAGAAACATGGCTCGGTCTTTTCGGTCTCCGGCCCTGTCGTCGTGGCCGAGAACATGATCGGTTGTGCCATGTACGAGTTGGTAGGCAGCCCCAGCTCCAAGATCGTGGAGAACCCCAGATACTGACTGCAAAGTGTCGTGTCGGACATGACCTGCTTGTGGGTGAGGTCATTCGTATCGAGCAAGACAAGGCCACCATTCAGGTCTATGAGGAAACAGGTAGAGAGCTCCGCAGCCCCCCCCCCCCCCCCCCGATCCGCATGGTTTCATCATACCCCCAAAAGAGCTATGCTGACCATTGTGACCTTTCAATAACAGACGGCTTGACTGTCGGCGACCCGGTGACGAGAACAGGCCAACCCCTTTCAGTCGAGCTTGGCCCCGGTCTGATGGAGACAATCTACGATGGTATTCAGCGACCCCTCAAAGCCATCGCCGACCAATCGAAGGGTATCTACATCCCCCGTGGCATTTCGGTGAATTCCTTGGACCGCGAGCGCAAGTGGGAATACAAGCCTACTAGCTTCAAGGTGGGCGACCACATCACTGGCGGTGACATCTGGGGTAGCGTGTTCGAGAACAGTCTGGTGAACGACCACAAGATCCTGCTGCCTCCTCGCGCACGGGGTACCATTACCCGCATTGCTCCCGCTGGCAGCTACACCGTCGAAGAGAAGCTGCTCGAGGTGGAGTTCGATGGTAAGAAGACCGAGTTCGGTATGATGCAGACCTGGCCCGTTCGTGTTCCCCGCCCGGTTAGCGACAGGCTGTCCGCCGATGCGCCCTTCATTGTCGGCCAGAGAGTGTTGGATGCTCTCTTCCCCAGTGTCCAAGGTGGTACTGTCTGTATTCCTGGTGCTTTCGGATGTGGAAAGACTGTCATTTCCCAGAGTGTGTCCAAGTTCTCGAACAGTGATATCATCGTCTACGTTGGCTGCGGTGAGCGTGGTAACGAGATGGCTGAAGTCTTGATGGATTTCCCCGAAGTACATGTCCTCCCCAAAATTAGTGCGATGACGTTTCACTGACTGCCTTTTTTCCCCCCAGCTCTCTATTAACGTCGACGGCCGCAAGGAGCCTATCATGAAGCGTACCTGCCTGATCGCTAACACCTCCAACATGCCCGTCGCCGCCCGTGAGGCTTCTATTTATACCGGTATCACTATCGCCGAATACTTCCGTGACCAGGGCAAGGACGTGGCTATGATGGCAGACTCCAGTTCCCGTTGGGCTGAGGCTCTGCGTGAGATCTCGGGTCGTTTGGGTGAGATGCCTGCTGACCAGGGTTTCCCCGCGTACTTGGGAGCCAAGCTTGCCTCTTTCTACGAGCGTGCTGGAAAGAGCAGTGCTCTTGGCAGCCCCGAGCGTGTGGGTAGTGTCAGCATCGTCGGTGCTGTCAGCCCGCCCGGTGGTGATTTCTCCGATCCCGTCACAAGCAGTACACTGGGCATTGTCCAGGTCTTCTGGGGTCTTGACAAGAAGCTGGCGCAACGCAAGCACTTCCCTTCGGTCAACACCTCTATATCCTACAGCAAGTACAATGCAATTTTGGATAAATACTACGAGAAGGATCACCCCGAGTTCCCTCGTCTGCGCGATCAGATTCGTGAGCTTTTGGCCAAGTCCGAGGAACTGGACCAGGTCGTCCAGCTAGTCGGTAAGGCCGCGCTGGGTGATTCGGATAAGATCACGCTAGACGTGGCCAGCTTGCTCAAGGATGACTTCCTCCAGCAGAACGGATACAGTGACTACGATCAGTTCTGCCCCCTGTGGAAGACCGAGTACATGATGAAGGCCTTCATGGGCTACCACAACGAGGCCCAAAAGGCTGTTGCTCAGGGTCAGAACTGGAACAAGGTCCGTGAAGCTACTGCTGATCTCCAGAGTGCTCTTCGCAACATGAAGTTCGAGGTTCCTGACGACGAGGCGGAGGTCTCGGCCAAGTACGAGAAGATCCTCCAGTCTATGACTGAGCGATTCGCTTCGGTCTCGGACGAGTGAAAGTGGTGACATCTTGACTTAGCATGTATTTCCCTTTAGATGTTTGTTCAAGCACATTCCCCTGTAGTTATTGTGTCCAAATCAACTTACTTTTTTTCATTTTGGTGGCCTTCAAACGTTGGTATAACTTCCAGATGTACATGTGATGTGGCCCGTACACGTCAGGCAGCACAAGACTTGCGCACATGACCGGAGATCAAGGCTATTAGGTTATTTGACAGGTAGAATTATTGTATTTCTTCAGAATATCCAACCTATAATACACTATACCAGTCGTGAACCATTACCTATTCTGATTGCAGCCTAGACAGAGAGGGACCGAGAGAGACCGCTCTGGACGCCACTACATCACCGCCTTCGAGAGTCGACCAAACAATCCCTCTTGCATCGTGCACCTCCCCGGTTCTACCTGATTTCAACTTCTCTGTTGCCTCGTTTTTTCTTGCTATTTCAATATTTCTTGCCTAGAAGCAGTTTTCATATCCCAAATCGCCAGCCATGGCAAGCCCTACGTCCGGCTACTCGTGCGTAAACCCCCTGTTCCTTTCCGATGCGGTCTGGCTAATCTCCGTACAGCATAAATGTCAATGACCCCAGCTTGATTTCGCTGGTCAACAAGCTTCAAGATGTCTTCTCCACAGTCGGTGTATGTATACCTGCTCAGACGTCACAGCTCAATTGTAATTCCAAGGGCACCACGTGTGCTAACACCACCCACTCGCTTCAGGTACAAAACCCGATCGATCTACCCCAAATCGCCGTCGTTGGATCGCAATCCAGTGGAAAGAGTTCAGTGCTAGAGAATATCGTCGGCCGGGATTTGTATGTTGGTTGTTTTGGGGAGCTTGCGCGGCCCCCCTATCCACACCTCCGGTGGCGGGGCATGCGACACAATGTCAACAATAATTGCTAACTGAATTTTTGCCTTGCAGCTTGCCTCGTGGCTCTGGAATCGTCACTCGAAGACCTCTTATCCTGCAACTGATTAACAAATCCCCCGCCACGAATGGTGAGAGCAAGTTGGAGACAACAGACAGCGAGTCCAACGTGAACGAGTATGGTGAATTCCTGCACCTCCCCGGGGAGAAGTTCTTCGATTTCAACAAGATTCGGGATGAAATCGTGCGCGAAACCGAAACCAAGGTCGGAAAGAATGCCGGAATCTCGCCCTCCCCGATCAATCTGCGCATTTACTCCCCCAATGTCTTAACCTTGACTCTCGTCGATCTGCCCGGTTTGACCAAGGTCCCCGTCGGAGACCAACCGAAGGATATTGAGAAGCAGATCCGTGATATGGTCCTCAAGTATATCAGCAAGCCCAATGCAATCATCCTAGCAGTCACTTCGGCCAACCAGGATCTTGCCAACTCCGATGGTCTGAAGCTGGCGCGTGAGGTGGACCCAGAAGGTCAGCGCACCATTGGTGTGTTGAGTAAAGTCGATCTGATGGACGATGGAACTGATGTGGTGGATATTCTCGCTGGACGAATTATCCCCCTCCGCCTGGGTTATGTGCCAGTAGTCAACCGTGGCCAGCGTGACATTGAGAACAAGAAACTCATCGCCCAAGCCCTAGAGAACGAGAAGAACTTCTTCGAGAACCACAAGGCATACCGGAATAAGGCTTCCTACTGCGGTACGCCATATCTGGCACGGAAGCTCAACTTGGTACGGATTGACCCCAACTTGTCTCAGAGACCTTTGAACTAACGGACTTCCTCTTTTTAGATCCTCATGATGCATATCAAACAAACCCTGCCCGATATCAAGTCCCGCATTTCCACCTCCCTCCAGAAATACACCGCAGAGCTAGGGCAATTAGGTGACTCTATGCTCGGTAACAGCGCCAACATCATCCTGAACATCATCACCGAATTCAGCAACGAGTACCGTACCGTCTTGGAGGGAAATAACCAGGAGTTGTCCAGCATTGAGCTGTCCGGTGGTGCTCGTATTTCCTTTGTGTTCCACGAACTCTATTCGAACGGTGTTAAGGCTGTCGATCCCTTCGACATCGTGAAAGACATCGACATCCGTACTATCCTTTACAACTCATCCGGTTCGTCGCCCGCACTATTCGTTGGCACCACCGCCTTCGAGTTGATCGTCAAGCAACAGATCAGACGACTGGAAGAGCCCAGCTTGAAGTGTATCTCGCTTGTTTACGACGAGTTGGTGCGCATCCTGAGCCAGCTCTTGACCAAGCAGCTGTTCCGCCGCTACCCCATGCTGAAGGAGAAGTTCCATGCTGTTGTCATTTCCTTCTTCAAGAAGTGCCTTGAGCCCACCAACAAGCTGGTCAAGGACTTGATCAACATGGAATCCACCTACGTGAACACCGGCCACCCTGATTTCCTAAACGGACACCGCGCCATGACTCTCGTCAACGAGCGCCAAGCAGCTGCTAAGCCTACACAGGTGGACCCCAAGACCGGCAAGCCTCTCCTCCCTGCCCGTGCCCAGAGTCCCTCGCTCGACACCACCGGCGAGGCTACCAACAACAGTGGGTTCTTCGGCAGCTTTTGGGCTTCTAAGAACAAGAAGAAGATGGCTCTCATGGAGGCTCCTCCCCCAACTCTCAAGGCATCAGCCAGCTTGTCTGAGCGTGAAGCCACCGAGGTTGAGGTTATTAGTAAGTGAAACAGTTCATACCTCCTCCTTTTAGCACTTTACTAACGCTCACGCAGAACTCCTGATTACCTCCTACTTCAACATTGTCAAGCGCACAATGATCGATATGGTCCCCAAGGCGGTTATGTACACCCTAGTCCAGTATGTCATCCATTCAAAACATCCACCCCAACCCCCGTATATACTAACAGATGATCTCCCTAGATTTACCAAGGATGAGATGCAACGCGAACTCCTGGAGAACATGTACCGCACCAACGAGCTCGACGAACTCCTCAAGGAGAGCGATTACACGACCCGCCGACGAAAGGAATGCCAGCAGATGGTCGAGAGCCTGAGTCGCGCCAGTGAGATCGTGAGCCAAGTCCAGTGATGAAATAGTGGACTTAGTCACTAGACGATTTATCCACAGAGGAAAAAATCATCCCATTGACCGCTGCGTTGGCGGAATTGGGCTCCTCGCATCTCTTTGTGATTTTTGCAAGACGCTCCGATTATCTTGACTATACTCCGTACTTGCTTTGCTGTTCGTGCCATCCGTTGGTTAGCGACTTGTTCCATTGGTCCCTTATTTAGATGTTGATCTGGGTGGTTCGGGTTCGGGTTTCGGATTTGTGTCCTTGGTGATCGTCTTTGGTTTCGATAAGAGGGGGGAGTTCTTTGCTTCGTCCTGCTACGTATTTTCTTTTGTTTTTTTCCCCAATTTGAGAGCTTTATACCGTTTTCCTTTCTCTCATTGCTTGGTCTGTTGTCTGTGTTCGCGGACTTCCTGCCTTGGACGCCCGGATGATTGTATCAATTAATGATTCTGTCTCTGCTTGATGACTTAGCTTAGAATTCACATTTGACTTTTCAATCTGATTCCCGGTCATTTCCGGTGTAAATCAGATGGTGGCTGCAATATATGTAGGGGACACATTTGGAGATGGTAACATTAGCATTTGAGGTGTTGGATATAATTGACCGGAATATATAGTGCCTATGGCGTCGTTCCCTTGACCACAGAGGACTTTAATTTGAATACATATCCAAAAAGAAGTAGTAGTAATATAGGAGAGCAAGACGGTGGACTACTTTCTATATGTTAGGCAAGATAAACCACTGATTATGAAGATGATGATGATGTGCTTCATATTTTACTTCTGCAGGTTTGATGTGGCAGAAGTGCTCTAAATACATAGAGCTGGAAAGTACTTCAGTACTTCCAGTGAATACAAAACAAATTGAATCAAGATCCCAAACAAATGTCGACAGTCACACGGACGTTGATGATGTCCATGGAAGCAAAGTTCGGGCTGAGATTTGAAGACTCAGCAGAGTCGGTGTAAGTGTTGGATAATGTAAATGAGCCCCCAAATCCTCCCAAAGATATCAAAACAAAGTTCATTCATACATTCCCATTCCATCCCCCTCCCATATTCTCCATATCCGTCCTTCCAATCTGAATGTGGGGCTGTGAGATGCGACTGTTGTGAAGTCAAGTCCATGCTGGATCGGTTTATCCATCGAGGTGACATGCTTCCATTCAATGATTCCATCACCGTCTGCCAGTGGTCTCTCTTAATGGGTGTGGAGGATGCTTGGACTTGTTGCCTTTTCGCCTTGTGTTTTTTGTTGTCTTCTTCGTTTTTGGTATTTTGTGTTTTGTTTTGTTTTTTTGGCCGTTGTGGGTTGTGACAATCCTGTTGCGTGCTTGCTGGGCGAGGTTGCAAGTCCCCAGTGGTGAAGAGTATTGCAGTCAGGGTGAATGTGTGGATTTTCTTTTTCATTGTTTTGATTTGTGCCTTACGATTGGAATTGTCAGCCTCATTGTCTTTGTTGGGGGAACTGTTTTGAAGTCTTACCATACTCATGAGTCTTGTCATGACGAAGTTGTGTTGAAACAACCTTGTCATATGCATGAATGAACATAGAAGATGAGAGAGGCATTGCATTTGATGCATTAGGAAGGCCTCGAGGTTGTCAAAAAGTTGGTGGTTGGTCATGAGTAGCTTGGGCAGAAGATCTCGATGATTGGTGTCCCATGTTTCAGTGTGCCAACCCAGTCCAGTTGGAAGTGCTCAGCAGTCAAGAGTAAAAGTCGATCTTATTATTGTCATGTTGACGAAAGTGACAGGTGTTCAGGTTTGTGTCTGGTGGGATCGTTGGTGTCGTTTCGTGAAGAGTTGATGTGGTCTCCGGTGTTAGGAACTGATGTGGCCCATAGCCCGGGCGGGTGCCGAGAGATTGGTGGTTGTCGAATGCTGAGAAATGTCTGGGAGATGTGCGCTGAAATTTCCATACTGCAATCCTGAGAAGTCGATCTTGTTAGCCTTCACCACCATGTAACTCACGTGGGCAGCATTGATACCAGAGTCAATTCGCAGTCCAAGTGAACTAGGAACAGTGCACTCCCTGAGCATACAACCCAACACGCCGCCTATTGGTGTTGTGAAGTATGGTGTCAAAAGGATGTATTGCTAGCGCACTTGGTAGCCGTCGAGGATAATGGCTCTTCATGCTGCCACAGTCCCAGGTACTAGAAACAGGGACCGCCTGATCATACAACTCAACACACCTCCTGTTGGTACTGAGAAGCATGGTGTCAGAGGATGTATTCCTGGCTCACTTGGCTACTGTCGAGTAAGGTGTTGAGGGGCCGGCAGCATGTAGTCTGCAACATTGCAGCAGGTTGGTAGGTTTCCGCACTAGACTGGGTGGTAGGATGCAATGACCGTGAGAGATACGAGTTTTTTTTTTTTCTTTTCTTTCTTTCTTTCCTTTTTTTTTCCGAAGGGAGGACCGAATTGAGCAGGAAATTTTCGAATTTTCAAGGATCTCGTGGTCTGAGGGTGGTGACTGGTGACTGAGACTGTTAGCTCTGGCAAAAGAGAACCACGAGTTGAGGAACAAACCACTGTGTCATTGCATCCCTCTTGATTCAGGGTGAATCATAAGCTCTGCTGGCTGGGCCATGGTGGAATTGGAAAGTCTCGAAAGACTCCAGTGGAGAGTTATCAAGGAACTGTGATTTTGGAAGTCAGCCTTGAAGCCCTGGAGATAATGTTTGTGATCTCACCAAATCTCGCTTTCTTGACATTGTTAAAAGCAACCAATTCTCCATCCCTTCTCCCTTTCCCTTCCCATTCTTCCATTTTCCTTCTCGTTCCTCTATCCAATCCAGATCTGTCCTTCCTTTTTTTTTCCCTTTTTTTGTTCCTTCTCCTTCATTTCATTTCCTTGTTTTGTTTTGTTTTGTTCTGTTCGCTATTGCGTGGGGATCGATGTGTGGTTGATGTGGTTGATGTGGTTGATATTTGTTTTTTTTCCCTTGTGGTTTGTTTGGGTTGAGTTTCAGGCAGTTGCTAGAGGAGGGTTTCATCCACAGGCAAAGTGGGTTTGTTGTGCAGAGGTATGTTGTTAATGATGGGGAGGCCAATGGTGGCCTTGACCTGGAGATATTGGAGTGGCAGCCAGGATGCATATGCCGGGGGAGGTGTGGAGATCCGAGTTCGACTGTTGTAGACATGACGGCAAAGGCCAAACTTTTGGAAGCTGGCGTGGATTACTGATAAAAGTATTTACGTTAGCAACTCAAACAATGAAGTGGATGTGGAAAAGAAATACAGTTGTCATATGTCACATCCATAAGAAAGGTGGCCTCACAAGGTCGCTGTGGCTATTCAGAGATGGAGAGGTGTGTGAATTGGTTGTGAAATATAGCGGTCATGCACAGAAAGTCGAGGTAGTGGCAGGTACATACAAGAGGATGCGAGGCAGGCAGATTGAAAAAGGTGAGAGATAGGATTCCTGTGACAGAAGACACCAAGGCGAACCTACGTCAGCCACGGGACCGGTTGGTAAGATCTTCCACTCATCATCGTAGAGCAGAAGGAACAGAGTGGTGGGAGGGTTCTGATGCTAGAGATATTACCTGGATAGCTGCAAACTGCAATCCGGGTTGCTGCACGTTGTGCTGGGCTGGACCCTCGAGGCAAAGAGGCTATGTCAAGCAGGGTGTTGTTTTTATTCTATATCTGTTGTAGTTAGTACCAAGCAATAATGGAAGCACACGAGCTCGTGGAGCATGACCGAGGCCAGAGGTGATTGAGGTGGAGGAAGGTGAGTGGGAAAAGATGAAAAGAAGTAGAAACTCATAGAACGCGGAACAAATAGTTTTATCAAATCCTTGTGTATGGTATAAGGTCTGAAGAGAAAGGCTGTCTAAAGGATGAAACAGATGGGTAATCTTTTTATATGTCTGAGATGGTCAGCTCCGTACCATAAAGGGATGATGGAAGAAGAAGAAGATGACGATGATTGATGATGATCATGGGTGATGGAACAAACTTGGTAAAAGGGCAAGGAGGTAACAGCATGTTGAAGAGTTAGTGGATGCCGGAAGTAGATGGGGGATAGGAGTGAAAGAAGATACTCACAATGTATAGTAGAGATGCATAATGAAAAGTCAGGGTAGTGAAACCCACATAGTGTGGGGTCTGTAAGACAAGTGCATGTTAGTGACTGAAGGGTGGTGATATATAATGATTGTGATTATAGGTAGTGATGGGTGTTGACAGGTAGTAGGTAGACTTACCAGAGTGGACATAATAGACCACATGGGTGTGGTGTTGACGTGACAGACGTGACTTGTCGCAATAACGTGTTGCTCGCAGTCAGAGATGATGACAGGGTCCGCTTCCAATGAATCTCGAGGGAAGATATGATGGAAGGTGTGATGGAATGGACAGGGTATTGGCGAGACTTAAGGTGATGATGGAGTATACTTGAGAGTGATGAAACCCCAGATGGAAGGTAGGGGGTAGATGAAATCAAAGATGAGAAGAATGGGGGGATAAGGAAGGAAGAAAAAGAAAAGGAGGAAGTGGGGGGAGGGGGGGTTTATATAGGTAGGGAATCCACCATTGAAGAAGGTGCCCCCCTGCCTGTTTCGGAAACAACAATGAGAGATAATGGGGCCCCCATGTTCATTGTCACAGCAGGTGACACCCCCTCCTCAGTGGGGCTTTAGCTGCATATTACTTCAAAAACACAGGGGATTCATGCGGATCTAGTCAGGCAGATATAAAGCCGTCATCTACTGAGCACCCTTGTAGAAAGAATGAACAACCGTAGCTAGTGAAGCAGCACTTAGGATAAACTAAAGTGAAAGTGAACTCTAGCTAAAACTGAAGCTATCACCATCATATTGTACTATTGCTATGTATTATATAGCTATATCTAATACCCCAGGCTCATGTTTATGGGGTCTCCCGGGCCTCAGTCTCTCATATCATCTACATAAACAACCGACCTCAGAGATTTCAAAAGTACAGAGGCCACTAATGAATATATGGGAGACATTATCCTGCCTACAAGCCAAATACAAGAAGATTACACCAGGGAAATCTGGGCGAACTTCGAACTAAGCAACAGATTATGTTAAAGAGTAAATTTATTCCGAGATCTATGAAGGGTTGAAGATAAGCTTTTGACGCTAGACTGTGTCTGGAATAGCGTATCCGCCCGTTATGCGGCTAGCCTCCCAAGGTCTCACCAGCATCATAAGTATAACGTATTTCACAAGCGAGCGGCCACCTCGAAAACACATAGTAGATATGATTTATTCTACATTTATATTTTAATAACCATGTTATTGTTTTATCTACTCCTTTGTTTATAGTCATTGATAAGACTTATTAATACTTTATATCTTTTCTAAAGAAAGTAGAAGGCTATATTATCGCTATTTCAAAAAATACCGAAAATTACGTTATAAAAAGCTAGAAACATATATATCTTAATCACTAAGTCATATATATTCTTAAAATTCCGTAAAGATACTAAATATCGCCTAAAAAGCATAAGGATATAAGGAAATACCTATATAGATCACCGTTGTTAGGATATCAAGTTGTAACCTATCGCATCTACTATGTGTTTTCGAGGTGGCCGCTCGCTTGTAGTGGCCACTCGCTTGTGAAATACGTTATGACATCTAATAGCCTTATTGTCAAGGCGCGTTTTCTCGTGGAGTTTCTGGGGTACTACTTGCGTATGGGTCCCCTATCCCTGTCGTCTCCTGGCCGACAGGGCGAGGAGAACAGACACAAAGCAAGAGGCAAAATTGCAAAGCGAAAAGTTGGAAATAGTGTGGCTCAAATTCCCATGGTTATAACGGCCGCAGCAAGCAAGAAATAACCAGTGGAATTGAAGATTGTCTACTTTCGTCCGGTATGCCGATAAACATAGTGCCAATCCTCCTCCTTGAGGTCCTGTCGCACTTTATAATTCCTCTCCGCAGCATCAACAATGCCCATATCCACATCGGCAACGATGAATCCTTCCTCGGTCCCCATCTTCGCAATCGGACCCACAAGAGGAAGCGTAATCTGCGAGAGACCCAAGAAATCCTCCGACGGCCCGGCAGCGTTGGCGAAGACAACACCACAGGTATTCTCAAAGCAGCGGGATGTAATTGTCGACTCGAGGAACAAGGCTTCGGAATCTGGATTATATGCGCGGGCTTCGGGGGAGGCATCGTGAGGAGTCCCTAGCAAAAATTTCAGTTAGATCAGATACCACATCCAAGTAAAGGTAGGGAGTAATCCAACATACAGTAGGTAGGCGCAATCACAATCTGCGCGCCGTCGATTATCAGTTCCCGGAATGCCTCGGGGAATGCCAGATCCCAGCAGATCAGCATTCCCACGCGACCGATCGGGGTGTCGATTGCCACATGGGGCTCTGGGCCTGAGGAGGTGAGGTGGGATCGTTCCGGATGCCAGATGTTTTTTTTGCGGTAAGAGCCAAGCACAGTGCCATCATTTGAGATAAAGTAGGCCGTGTTGTAGAACAGGGTTGATTGATCGGGCTCTGTGTGCTTTTCGATGATTGTACCCGGTACGATGCAAATTTGCAGTTCCTTGGCCAGGCTTTGGTAGTTTGCTAGGTACTTGGCGGATTCGCCGGCTTGAACTGCCCAAAGAGGGTCTGTGGGGACCATGCCGCTGAGGTGGTATCTAGTTGTCTTGAATCAGCAAGTGTTTATTTATTTGGAGAGCTATCGAGTGTCGGTAGACACGTTTCTTACTCTGGAAGAACAGCGAGCTCAGCGCCTTGTGCAGCGGCCTCACTAATGTGGTCGCATGCTGTCTTATGATTGTACTCAATGTCAAGCTCCTATAATAATGTAAGAATGATTGGAATGGACTACATGTCTGCTGTGGTTCAAAGCTCGGGGACGGCCCAATTCGATGCACCCACCTTGATCTGCCATTGAATTACGGCAATGCGATGCGTAGAGGCCATGATATGTCAATTTTAAATGTACGAGACGCTGATTATGTAGAAGATAAGAAAGAAACACCCAGAATTAATTACTATCAAATATTATCCACCGGTTACCCCAACATGAAGTTTGGAGAAATTGGGGTCGATGACTTCAACGACACGACCCCAACCCGACTCCACGAAATCGCCTATCCAAGGAATCAACATATCTAGTACAAGCTTGGAAATAAAAATAAGATGATCCGTTCGATATGGGGACTTTATACGATGGCGAACACCTGTGCCAATCCTTTAGATCAAGTACCTGGTGTCAACCCCTTAAAAAATTCTCACTCGGCAACCTCAACAATTAACTTCGTACAACTCACCCCCCGGAGTAGCACATCCAACCCAGCATTAATAGCCCCCAAACCCTTCCCCACGATTCTCGGCTCCGGGCTCGGCCTAATAGTCCCATTGGCCAGGTTCTCCCTCAGCCACGCCCCCATCCAATATCGGAACTGAGCCGACCTCTCCCCTTCGTCCATCGACGGCATCAAAAAGATGGTTTCCACTCCATTTACCTCTTCCACATCCGGAGGGATAATCGGGGCTGATCCTATCTTCGCCCTCTGGCTCTCTCCGCCTTGATCGTCACTGAAGAAAGCCTTAAGCACGGCCTGGCACGGCGCCAGCTGCCCCGTGGCAAGAAAGCAGTGCCGAATCACTAAGCCATCCTCTTTGGCCGCAGAAACAATGGCATCCACAACCTGTGGTTCCTTGTAATCGAACACGCGGTCTGCGCCTAAGGAGCTAACGTATTTCCGATTCGCCGCACCAGCCGTAGCGTAGACGGCGGCGAAACAAGAATCACGGTCTTCCCGCAGCAGCCGGGCGCTTTGCACGCCCATTGTGCCCACGCTAGAGGAAGCTCCCCAAATCAATAAGGCCTCTCTCTTTTGTTTCTTATTTTCCTGGGTTATAGCGCCGGCTGGGGCGGAAGAAGAGGCAGTGGCTTCTCCCACCCGTAGAATCCCCATAGCATCCCACGCGCTAAGGGGCACCTCAACGGCGACGGGCAAGGTTGCCGCTTGGTTCCAAGAGATACTCTCATCTGGAAGAGGCAGAGCGTGCTGCCAGGGAATGAGGCACCGCTCCTGAAAGGCACCGTAGTTAGGGTCGTAGGACTTCCAGAAGGAGGCAGCGTATGCGGCGACGCGGGTGATTCCCGGTCGGAAAAGGGGGCCGGCGCCCTCATCGGTAACACCGACGGGAACTTTGCTGCCGACCTCAAGTACTAGTCCCGAGATGTCGAAGCCGATGACAGTGGGGTAGGTAGGTATGAAGAGACCGTGGTCACGCATGTGACCGTCTGCCGGATTGAGAGCTACAGATTTGACTTCGATGAGGAGCTCTCCCGGGCCTGGTTTTGGCGTGGGGCGATCTTGAAGCACGAAAGGCTCACCTTTTGCGAGGGAGACGGCAGCAAGATGGGTGGCCATTCTGGACAGTTTGTGTGATTAAAGGCTCGAGATGTGGAATTTAATGTTGACCAAGTCTGGTTTTCAAGCCTTTTTCGTATAATATCAAGGAATGCCCTTCTTCTTATACACTAAGCCATTATTACAAGTTAATTATTCTTCCAGTGACGCACCCGTCCAACGAGATCTTGGGTTGACTATAGATGAACTTTCGGCCAATCAGAGACACCTGCATCCGAACAACAGCTAGCGTGAAAGGTGGAATATCCGAAAGAGGATTAGCTTGTGGGGTACCTACTTAGTGTCATCGGGAATGTGACTACCTCCACCTGGTTGAATTTCCATCAAACTCGAGAAAAGTCCTCACACTCAAGCTGCGCAAGGCATGGCTTCGAATCGTCAAAGAGAAGCGCGGGAGGGTAGGACTCTGCGGAGATCGAGATTTGGCTGCCGAAATTGCAAGCTTCGAAAACTCAAGGTCGGTAGCCCCAGTCGTTCAATCATCTAGTGCTTGGCTGACCGAATGTCCTTGGCCTACTAGTGCGACGAAGCCAAACCACAATGCAAGAGATGTAGTTTGTTCGGGATATTATGCAATTTCATGTCTCACATTCCCGACCTCCTGCCCATCGCCGCTGACGCAGTGCGGCCGTTAGTGGTTCGAGAAAAGGTCGAGCTTCGGCCCCCTCTCACGAATACTATCTGGACGTCTGACGCATCCACATCCTATCAATTAAATGCAAGGTGTCAAGATTTTATAACCAGGTATCTTGGACGAAGTCTCATTCCTCCAAACGACCCCAATATGATACAAGTTAATCGCAAGCTCCTGGAACTAGCCTTCACTGTAAGTTTTGTTATCTTAATTCTATCTGATGACAGACAGTATGGAAGCCGAATTATCCATCATCAGCCTGATCTCAGCTAATATATTTACAGTGCCCTTTTTTAATGCACGCCTCTCTGGCTGTGGCGCTTACATATGATCGCCATCTGAATGGCTCCTTAGGCTGCCGACGCACTGTAGAAGAGTGTTACCACTGGTCTCAAAGCACAGTCCTCTTGAACAAGCGGCTAAGGGAACCGATTGAAGACAAAGATAAGGATCCAATATGGGGTACTGCGGCTGCTCTGGTTATCTTAATCTTCTCGTCCCCTGATTCATGCATACCGGAGCAAGCGTGGCCCCTAAAGTCTTCCGACTCCTCTGACCTGGATTGGGTGCGTATGAGCAAGGGTAAAATGTCATTGTGGCATATAGTCAACCCGCTGCGACTGGACAGCCTATTCCACGTCATGGCAGCGACCTTTGCTCAGATGCATGCACCATTGCCAGAAAGAGGCATAGATGGTATGCCAAGGGCCTTAGCTGCCGTGTGTGACCTCAAAGACTCATCTACGGCGGAAACTAATCCGTATTTCCATGCTGCCCACGCGGTATCCCAGATCCTGGACCTCCCGGATAGCGAAGTCGGAACAGGTCAAATTCAACTATTCATGCGGAGTATTCATGGCCCTTTCGAAGACTTGCTCCGGAAAAGGGACCCTGTAGCGCTATTGTTGCTCTATCTATGGTACCGCAAAACAAGTCGCAGTATATGGTGGATTGAACTTAGGGCTAGAGTGGAATGTCCCGCTATTTGCCTGTATCTACAACTATATCATAAAGAGAATGATGCTGTGCATTCATTCCTCCCAGCAGGAGCTCTCCTCTATAGGTGGAAATAGTCAGGCTTTTGAACCTTCAAGGTCCTTAAATCCTTAACATGAAGTACTGCAGCGGTGGTTTCTATGATCTCTATTGCGGAATGCACTTTATCGTAAATCTCTCTTATGTTGAGTTCTACCATTGTTAAAGGAGTCAATGCCGCCCGGGGGGGGGGGGGTCTCACTGCTGGTGGTCACTATGTGCAGCCCGGAGTTGAGGGCGGCATTGAAACCTCCTGGGGATTGAAGAATCCATGGTTCTCAACACTCCTATACTAAGCACAACGAGGATCCTCTATATAAGAATCCATATGTTCTATATTATATATTTTCAGACATTTTAGCATTCTGATTGTACACTATATTCCTGGTTACACGCAGTATTCAATTCAATGTAATACTTTAACAAACTCACTTCATACCTAAGTTGTGGCTTCAAAACAATTGCACAGCGTAGAAAGTAAAGAAAGACCTTTCAATAATCAAAAATCACAGAACAAATAAGTTTGTCTCGAGTGAAGTTGTATTTTAAATTCGACTAGATCTTGCATACTGCTGATCCGCGAGATCTTCCCACAATTCTAGAATAGCCTCGCAAGAATTCTGGCCCTAGGAGATTAGAAGTTCCGAACTTTGTGAAAGAGAATGCTATGCTGCTATCTTGGCAGCGCAGCTCATGGTGCTATATTATACTATGGAGTAAGGAATGGCCTAGAGATACTCTGGACATGCTTCAGTATCTAGAAAAGATCATCCCTTTAAAGAATGTCGGGCCGCCGGTGCCGCCTAATTTCTCCCATTTCAAAAATATTTATGGGGCCCCTCGCATTGCGTGGATCTCTTGGATTTGTTGAATCTCCCGTCAGCAGGTTTTAGTAAGAAAGCAAGTACAAAGGCGTGAGACACGTCGATAAATAATTGGATAAAACGCAATACCCTTCTGCTGCCAAGTATAGGGCGGCTGTCCTATCGAAGATGGAGAATGCATGAGGCTACAACGGGCCAATAGGAAGCAGCAAATATGTGATATTCCGGCAGCCCTAACAGCATAGGGGTAGATTCTGCTAGGAACGGGCCACGACATAGCCGGAATGAAAAGTGGGCCAATCTGGAACATCCCCTTAATACTATTAGGCAGCTGTATAATTTGAAGATGGCGAGTTTCAGGTTTTGGGATGATGTGTAAGATGCCAAGATGGAGTACTTCATCTTCACATGGGAATGTGCCCTAGAATGCCCAGGTGCATGTGCAACTCAGGGATGTTGCCTAGATCGTACATGGAGCGAGGCCGAGTAATGAAATCCGATTTGAATCCTTGCCAGTAAAAACCTTATCGAGAATGGAGTTTGCGAACCTTGGAATCCACCGAAGCTGTTTATTTTTTTTATCTCTTCTCTTCTATCATCTTATTACATACATACATTATTACCTCAATATAACACTTCCAAGCGTACTCCGTACCTATGTATTTATATCAAAACTTAAAAGAAATACACTTTGCTTCGCCACAAACCCCAATGAAACGGGCCAAAAGGGATCGACAGACCACGTTTTCTGTGGCAGTTGACAATACCATACCGTAATGTAATCTTCCCGCATGCGTGATTTTCCTATCGCAGCTATTACCAGGTTTTTCTTTTTTTCTCGCTGAGATTTTCGACCTTTTGTCTCCATTCCTTTCTTCTTGTCTTCCCTCCGTTATGCCCTTGATTTCCTCTACGCACAATTGTGGCTCAATGCCACGCGGCTAAGAGCGGCGTCCCCCGTGGTCTCTTCCTGCACGAGTCAAAACTCTCCGCTCGGTAGCGATCGACGGGACCACATGTATGCCGCGCGAAAGAAAAAAAAAAACAAAAGTCGAAGATGTAACAAGCTAATATAATGCAATAGGTTTGAAAAATTCCCCTCCTTTCGAGAGCAACCCATCTCGACATCCTCCCCTCCGCGGCCAGTGCCAGTGGTCTCCGCTCGGCAACGGTCATCTGGCCGCAGTCCGTTCAATATGTTCTCGGCCTTTCTTCGCCGGGTGACATCCTACAAGGAAAAGGTCCCGTTTCTAAACGAACTACACCTTAATTTCATCCTCCTCCACTATGCCTACATCATATCCTGGGCTATCATCGGCTCCATCATCCTTTATCCCGGTGGCAACATCGACTACATTGATGCGCTCTTCCAATCCGCCGGCGCCGCCACACAGAGCGGGTTAAACACTGTCGATCTGAATAGTCTCTGGCTATATCAACAAATCGTCCTATACCTGATCACATGTCTGTGCACGCCGATCTTCATCCACAGCGCGCTGGTGTTCATTCGGTTATACTGGTTCGAGAAGCGCTTCCAACATGTGGTCCGTGACGCTCGCGCGATGCGACGGACCCGATCCCGCATGGAAACCGTGACCGATGATGGGGACAGTGGGGATATCAATATAAACCGCGCGGAGCTTGGGGTCAGCGGTCGACCCATTGTGGTGATACGGGACGATTCAGGAGACGCCCGGGACGGTCGATTGACGGATCCGGCTAGCAAGAACATCAATTCGGGCATCAACACACCAGAAGCGCGAGAGAGCAGTGCCGACTCCAGCTCCGAGGGAACAGACACGGGCAATGAACCTCGCTTTGGCCTCGGTAGCTTGAAAGTACCAACCCATTTGAACCCCGAACATCACATTGCCTTCTTGGAAAAGCAGCGCAAGGACAAAGGAGCTCTGCGTATTCCGAGTCCCCGAGAGTATGACCGTGGTGGTGCGCCGGAGGCCTTGGAAGAAGACGTGGACCAGGAGGGCGAGCAGGCTCAGCACTCAAGTGACCACGACGACCATGACGACCAAGACGACCAACAGAGCCCCGGTGCACACCCCGAGGAGCTTGATCAGCTTGGTCCACTTGAAGGACCACATATCACCATCAACGAGCCAGATATTTCACGAACTCGTCCACGCGGAAATACGTTCCCTCGTCTAGAAACTCGACCCACTTTCCGGGAGACTAAAGATGGGAATGAGACTACCACTCTTGCCCCTACTAATACAAGGAACACTTTCAGGGGGGTGTTCCGATCTCTGACACAAGAGCGCGACCTTAACACTCAGCCATACCTCAGTTGGAATGCGACGGTCGCTCGTAACTCCAATTTCGTTGATTTGACTGAGGAGCAGCGTGATGAATTGGGCGGTATCGAATACCGTGCGCTTAAGACGCTAGCCGTCGTTCTCATCACCTACTACGTCGGTTTCCATCTCATCGGCATGATCAGCATGATCGGCTGGATCATGACAGAGAACAGATGGGGCGACGTTGTCCGGGCTGATGGAGTTGGGCGGCCGTGGTGGGGAATCTTTACCGCTGCCTCCGCCTTCAACGATTTGGGTTTCACCTTGACACCTGACTCGATGTACTCCTTCCAAAGGGCCGTTTTCCCTTTGCTGATGCTAGCGTTTCTAATTATCATTGGCAATACGGCCTTCCCATGCATGCTTCGTTTGATGATCTGGGTTCTTTCAAAATTCACCCGCCAGGGCACTGCGCTATGGGAAGAATTGAAGTTTCTTCTGGATCACCCCCGTCGATGCTTCACTCTATTGTTCCCTCGCAATGCCACTTGGTGGCTGTTTGCGATTCTCGTCTTATTGAATGGCATTGATCTGATCTTCTTTGTCATCCTGGATGTGAGTTGTTTGGTTTTCTCTCTTTTATGCGATTTTCACTGACCATCATTTTGTAGCTCAACGATTCCGCCGTCACTGCACTACCGCCCGGAATTCGAGTTGTGGACGGCTTCTTTCAAGCTGCTGCGACACGAACAGCTGGTTTCGGAATCATCAGTCTTTCAGAACTTCATCCCGCCATCCAAGTTTCTTATTTGATCATGATGTATATCTCAGTCTTTCCTATCGCTATCTCTATGCGTCGAACCAACGTCTACGAAGAGAAGAGTTTGGGAATTTACGATGCCACAGACGAGGATGACAACGAAGACTCCAATGCTCCCACCTATATCGGAGCTCACTTGCGACGTCAACTGAGTTTCGATTTGTGGTACGTCTTTTTAGGTCTGTTTATCATTGCCATTGCGGAAGGATCAAAATTGCAGAACGTGAACGACCAATCCTTCCAGCTGTTCACTGTTTTGTTCGAAGTCGTCTCAGCATACGGTACTGTGGGCCTTTCTTTCGGATACACAGATGTCAACACCTCCTTCTCGGGACAGTTCAATGTAATCTCCAAGTTGGTAATCATTGCCATGCAAGTCCGTGGTCGCCACCGTGGCCTGCCTTACGCGCTTGATCGTGCCGTCCTTCTCCCCTCCGACGCCCTCAATCGACACGAGGCCGAAGAGGGAGAGCGCCGCATGCGCCGCCGCGCATCCAACCTCAGTGGTGGTGGGTCTTTCGCCCAAGCGCAATCGCGTACCTTATCTCAAGCAAGGAACGATGCTGGTCTATCTTCGGGTATGGAAACCCACGACTGGCAGACCCAGCCTGCTCCCAATGCAGACTCTCTGGTCCATCGTTCCTCCACTCTCCGATCCAATCGGTAAAAAATGAGCGGAACCCTTTTTTATACCTATAGAGGCTTGGCGTTCTACATACGTGCCCTGGTGGTTCAATCTTAATTTCATCACACATAATCTAGATATATTGGACTTCTATCCTACCACTTATTTAGTAAAACACGTGAAGTTCGAGGGTTCTTTGTCTTACATGTCTTAACTGATTGTGAGGACAAAATTCAACCTTTTAACCAATATAACTACTCTAGATCATCATGGTATAATAAGCAGGGAAAATAGAGATTTATTGATATGTACCTGAAACTTGCATGGTAGTAGTCGATATACGGCGACGAAATAGACTAGGTTATTTACAGCGAAGTGATCGGTGGGCCTCGCAAGCGGGAAGGATCGGCGCTTTTCCATTGTAGGACGGAGTAGATATCCATGACGACAAACTACATAGCCTTTTTTGTAACATCACAACTCTGTAATTGCGTAGAATATAGAACAGAACTCATCTCTGAATCCAAGTAAACTAATCCGTATCAACTATCGCCATGGCCAACCAACAACTATCATATCTAAATCAATACAGCGGGACCAACCCGAGTCTCCCTACCCTCGAAACCAAATCCCCAATCGCAACTTCTAGCCAACCAGAAGGAGACAGAGACACCCCAGCCCAAAAGCCCTGGTATATCCCACAAGGCTGGTCCCTGCAAACGAAACTCATCGCCAGCGCTACAGCCATAGTAATTATATTAGCTGCAATACTGATCCCCGTCGAAATAATCAAAAACCAATACCCAAACTACACATCTTTGAACTACACCCTCGCAGATGAATACTCCGGCCCAACCTTCTTCGACCAATTCACCTATTTCACAGACGAAGATCCAACAAAGGGCTTCGTCGTCTACGTCAACAAATCAACCGCCAGACATCTAAACCTCACCTATGCATCTGAATCATCGGCCATCCTGCGTGTCGACGCTTCGACCCCAAACGCCCGCTCTGGTCGGAACTCTGTCCGTGTCGAGTCGAGAAATACATATGATTCAGGTCTCTTCGTCTTCGATATCATTCATACACCCTTCGGCTGTGCGACCTGGCCTGCGTTGTGGTTAACAGACGGCTATAACTGGCCGATGAATGGCGAGATCGATGTTCTTGAAACTACAAATATTGGAAGTCATGGCAATGAAATCTCAATTCATACTACCCAGGGTTGTCATATGGATGTCAAGCGCAAACAGACCGGTCAGGGTATTTTTAACAATTGCAATAATGCCACGGGTGGAAACGCTGGCTGTGCTGTCATCGGTGATGAGAATAGTTACGGAGAGGCGATGAATAACCGTGGCGGAGGTGTTTATGCACTTGAACTCCGTGACGCTGGTATTCGGGCTTGGTTCTTCCCCAGTGGAACTATCCCTGTTGATATCACGGCGGCAAATCCGGATCCGAGTAGCTGGGGCATTGCGCTGGCGGATTTCCCGAGTACAAGTTGTGATACTACGTCGCATTTCAAGAACCTGAGTATTATTGTCAATATTGATCTCTGTGGTGAGCTTGCTGGGCAGAAGCAGTTCTATGATACTTTGTATCATTGTCCGGCGACTTGCTCGGGCTTTGTTGCTAGCAGTCCTGGCAGTTTCGTTGACGCCTATTGGGAGTTTAAGAGTTTCAAGGTTTATCGTGCTTCTTGAACTTGGAGAAATGAATCAAAGCCGGGGATTTTCTTTTTTGTTTCTTTTGCTATTTGCTGCGTGATATGGAGGGAGTTTGGTACTGTGATATACCTCGGGGAAGTCGATGTAGACTTTGCTCAAGCTACGGGACTTGGTTATTCGTGGGGGCGTATGAATAGACAAATGATGACCTATTTTTCTTCCATGATCTTTGTATTTTCAATCTCAGTAGCGAAGTGCTATTGGATAGGAAGTAGGAGTATATCCAGACATAGTTGGAGTCCTAGAGCTTAACCCACGATGGGGCAAATGTGGCTAAATATCAGAAACATCTATGATCCACGCAGGATAGAGTATCCCCTCAAATGCCCAGGTGTAATTAGCAGTCAAAATAAGCTAGATAGTTGAGTTAGTACTGTATGGATCCCTGCGTGCAGAAGTGCTAGCGATTTGCATCCCTAGAATAAACCAAATCCACTTGCAACTCCCCGCGATACGTTCATACCCATCCCATTAGTACCGCGGACAGATACTCGCCGCCATATCTTTAGGAAATGCCTGTAAGTTGGTTTATTAGCAGGGACTCAACAATACCTCGAATAAAACCCACCTTGAAGCTCATGCTCTCGGATCATCTCTCATCACTGTAGCGCTCCTCGCCATTCTCCTCATACTCCCTGTTATCAATATCACCCCACCATCCTTCACCAGAGACCTCGATTGGGTCACCAATGTGATACAGTAATCTTCCAGAGAGGTGGTGTATAACTCCCCCTTGCCACCAGAAGTTAGCGTGAACAGGACCAATCAATGCCTTGAACTCTTGGCAATATGGCTTATCCTCGGCGAGATCGAAGTGCTCCACTTGAGCATTGTTGGCTATGACGCGTAGATGAGTGTTGACGGTGCCGGAGAAATGGTGGCTTTCTCCATCAGGGGTTTGGATCAGGGCACGTATCCTCCCTTTGTTGCAGGTCAGGCTGCCGGGAGATTTATGCTCCTCGCGCGCTTGGCTAGTAGATTCTTGATTCACCTTTGTGGAAGATTGCGTTCTTTGGAAAATTTTGTGATAATAAGTTAGAATGGTGTCTGGAGTTGATCAGTCCACCGGTCTTCTTATATGTTGAAGGACGAAGTGGATTAATTGGATGGATAGTTTTCGGCGCAGCGATGTCACGGCAAGTCAGATGGTGTGATGATCCCTTCTTAAAGACTTCAGTAGAAAATAAGAGAGATATTGAAAGTCGCTGTGAGAAATAAGTTTTGAAATAATGTGAAAATAAAAATCGGAGGTAGATTTTCAGTTTCACTTCATTGCTAAATAAACATAGAATGGGTATCTCTAACAAAGATGAATCGTCCATCAAGCACAATCGGCTATCAATAATTCATCTCCAGATCAAAAGACACGGAATGCATCAATACTGACGAGAGTGGACTTAACCTTGCGGTGTCATAGTATGGGGAGCCAGTAGCCCAAGTGAATAAACCTTAGGTATACCAAAAGAGAATCTCGCGAGATAACAATCATAATCGTCGTAACAACAAACATAAGAAAGACATGAAGAAAATCAAAGTAAATGAAACACAACTATAGCTGTCGAAGCAGACTGCCATCTGCAAAAGGATTCTCCGGGGACATATCCAACAACGGCCGTGTGGCATTTCGATCACCCGTTGCAACGCCATGTCCGCTGCGCGGTTTCCGATGACTAGCCGTGCTGGCTGAATGTGCCAGCAGGCTGTTAGCGGTGAACTGGCTGGCGGCGGGTACCGGGCTTGCTTCAGCAGAGACTGGGGCCGCGTATTTGTTTGAGTGATGGTGCACGCTGCGGGTGGTGTTTCGCCGCTGGGGTGTGGTTTCTGCGGCCGGTCGTCGCCACGAAGTTGCGGGTGGGATGGAGATTCCTCCTGGTGTCTGATCTGGACCAGTGGCGCCGTCGATCAGTTGCATGCCAGGTTGGACTTTGACGCCGCGACCCTTGCCCGTGCGGCTATGCTGTGGTGGCTCGGCATAGACTGGAGTGAGGTCAACCAGAGGCTTCTGTTTGAGAGATAGGGTTCGAGTAAAAGCAGAGGTATCGGGAGCACGAGTCATTGTGTTGGTCCGACTATTGGGATTTGAGTCGTGGCCGGGGGTATGTATGGATCCTCCGCTCATAAAGCCAGTGCCTGAAAAGGCTTCCTGTTTAGCTTTCTTGTCGCGATCATCCCGTTCCCGCATAGCGGTTTGTCGCTGGGTGTAAGTTCGACCTAGGAGTCCGGATGGTGCAAACGTTGAAGTTTCTACTTCTTCGGATGAAATTCCTGAGAGTAATGCCTGGTTGTCGGCGAAAGGCCCTTCTGTATCAATATCGAGCGTGAGGGTCTGGGGATATGATGGTGGAGGGGGCACGTGTCCACGAAGGGTTTTCTTCCGCGCAAAGATGTCTTTGGAGCTTGTGGGCCTCCATTGGTCAGAGCTTTCAGTCGAAGTCTCCCGTTCTAGGAGTGGGACTTCGTTGTGTACATTTCTGGGCTGATTGGTCGACTTCTTTGTCCCAGCACGCTTCAGGAGTGTCTCGGTCTCTGGTTTGGGACCTGCGCCCTTCTTATTGACAAGATACCAACTTCTCCACTTCTGTACTGCCCGGTACCATGTATCTGCAATAGACTTGTCGCTGGTCGAGAAGAAGTGCAAGAAGTTTTCGGTGGACAAAAACATAGATGACTTCTGCTGGCTCTTAATTGCAAAGCATAGCTTCTTAGGCGGTTTGATATCCTTGTTTAGCGCTCGCGCGCTAGGAAAGTAGATGTCATAGTCGGATATATGGCAGATATTGGTCTGTTCCTCGGCGTTCTCCTTTTTTGAGACTGTCACTTGTCCGTCCGCACGCAAGGTGACATATCGCTTATCCCACTTGCGACGTTGCTGGGAATGGTAAATATGCACAGTCACTGGGGATGGTTGCCCACTGGGGGCATGCCCAGCATCGAGCTGAGCTAGGGCTTCCACGCTGGAGGGAGGAATAACAATGAACTGGTTATCCGCATCATGTGACCAGGAATTCATGACTTCCCGGATATGCTCATAGCGGCGGAGAGGGCGCTCTAGACCAACTTGAGAGTAAGACTCCATGAGAATGAATCTCTCCGCATCAATATCCCGAGATAAGTGCTTGGTGGCATCTATCAATATATCGCGGACTTGAGTTGACGGGGTGACCGTGAGATCTGCAGTAGCATCTCCATATTTGACGAGCGCATGCCGCTCTCCAGCGTTGACAGCGCTGACAGGAGCATCAACTCCTGGAACCACTCCGGTTCCGCCTACCCCAATGTAGTTCGGGAGGGGCTCGTTTTTCTTGGCGGATC